TATTTCTACTTTGTTTTTGAAGCAAACGACTTGATAGTCGTTAGTCCGAATTATATTTGTTAGATTTTAAATCGGATTATCAATAAGATAGTCTGTATTACATCATGTTAACAATACGTACGAGAATCCAGCTCTCCATTCGAAGTTGTCCATCAAAGTCCACGCAGTGTAACCCAACACTTTAACTCCATCTTCGTAAATTACGTTCAGAATCTCTGTCAGGTAATCCTGAAAGTGTTCATATTTTTATTTATGTTTTATTAATAATGACCTTTATTTTAGCAGCATAATAAAATGAAGAACAAGACATAGAAGGAGAAAGATCGATTATTAACTTACATTGAAGTATTTGATACGTCCATAGTCCTCGAGCGTGCCGCGATCTGAGCAGCCATTCTCAGTGATATAGATAGGTGGGTCATTGTAAGAGCTCTTGCACCACCGCAGAAGGTTGGCAAAACCAGTCGGTACAATCTGTTAGTACAACATAATTATAAATCAAAGCAAATATATAACACATGATATCACAATGGAATTAAATATTTGCTTACCCTAAGCCATTCGGACGCGGATTCACCGCCGACATCCATTGTTGTCACTGCGCCGATATCCTTCAGCCAAGAGGGGGACTTAGCGATGGGGTCAACTCCAGCACCGGTGATGAGATGCGTCGTGTAATGGTTGATGCCGAGGAAATCTGAAGTTCCCTTGATGCGCTGTATCCAGTAGTCGTCGAATTGTTCGAGACGGGGCTTGGGCAGACCCTCAGCGGCGCTCTGCTGGGCGACGTTTTCAATCATCACGGCCGGGTAACCGCCTTCTGCTGTGAAGATTGGGTGTGCGAACCATCCGAACTGTAATCAAGAACACATGATTATATTTCTAAAGACGTATACGAAGGTCATTGAACTGAAGGCGTTTTACTTACTTTAAACTGATTGGCGACCTCAGCTAAGGCGACTTGTTCAGCGTTGCTTGGATCGCTCGGCTCATACCAGATGGCGTTGATGGAAATCATGATTTTCCCGTCCTGCTTCGGCCTGTAAGTCTCATTGTAGAGATGGTACACTTCAGCGTGGGCTTTCAGTAGTGTGTCACTGCACAGATAATTTCCTACGCCGTGACTATCAATGGCTGGGGCTTTCTTTTCATCACCGTACGCGTCCTCACAGATTTCGTAGGGCTCGTTGAACGTGATCCATGATTTAATGCGGTGACCGAACTCCCTGAAGCAAAGGTCGGAGTAGTCGCGGAAGTAGTCAATCATTTTCGGGTTCGCCCAACCGCCGAGGTCTTGGAGTGATTGAGGCAAGTCCCAGTGGAACAACGTTACCTGACCACGCGAAAAAAAGAATTGAAAACAAGTGAATATAATGAACGTATCTCTTTAATACAGATAAGTTTGACAGTACACAACTTACCAATGGTTCAATATTGTTCTCGGCGAGGGCATCTAGTAGCGCGTTGTAGTACCTGATGCCGTCAGGGTTGACGTAGTCGACCCGGCCAGTAGGCAGTATACGGGACCAGGAGAGCGAGAAGCGGTAGAAGTCGACACCGATGTAGGACAGCTCCTCCACGTCCTCCAGGTACCGATTATACGAGTCACACGCCACATCACCATTAGTGCCGTCGGCTATCATTTCCGGACGAGTGTGAGTCAACCGATCCCATACATTTTCTGACTTTCCTGTACATCAAATGCATGTACTTTGTTATTATTTTACCGAAAAAATAAAGGCATTCATATATGTCTGTTTTAACATATAACATTAGACTTCTAGTTTTTACTTTTATCTACATAATTACAAGTTTTTATAAGTCAACATTGATAAGAATTTTTGAATGCCTGCGTATTGAATTTTTAAATGGAATGTAGTAACTCGTCAAAGGGGACTATGCAAATCGATTTTATCTAAAGCAATTACTATATATATGCGGGTAACATATTTAAAATATAGTCAGTAATGATGTGTGTTATACTTTTTGATGTTATTTAAAATTGATAAAAACAAGGCTAGTAATAATTCACAGCACCCTAAGTAATCTTTGCAAACTCTAGAACTTCCTACCAGCTACATTGATAATAGATAAACAAAATGATTGACAGTACGACTAATCCTACTTGAAACGTTTGATAAACGCCTCTGAGAGATATCATTTTAAAGGCGTTTCCTAAAATAGGTATCTTTATGTAAGAAATCAAATGTAAACTCTTTCATCGATCTTTTATCATTGAATAAGAAAGACTATATTCTTATTTTTGTCTTTACGTATTCAGAATTAGTTGCCAGTATGTGATTCAAAGACTTCAAACACCATGTGATCGGGGGTTCGAATCCCGCCATTAGACTACTGTCGTAATCCATGTCGTAGCATAAGCATAGAGATTAGTTGAAATTGTACAAGAAATATTAGTAAATTAACATAAACCTGCAAATATTTTATCAAAAAAATACTTTTTCCAAGTAGAAATTAAGGAAAATAAAACATGATCTTACCGCTGACATTCCATGCGCCTTCAATCTGATGCGAGGCTGTCGCTACACCGAATGTGAACCCTTCTGGGAATTTGGTGTAGTGTGCTTGAGTCCTGTGAAACGAAACATTAATATTAGCGTGAGCTCCTACTGCTGTCACATTTGTCTACATTAGAGGATGTTTTTCTACACATTTTGGAGCGTAGATGATTCTAATATTCGCGAGAATGGGTATTTAAGTTTAAGTTTCATGTAATCGAACCTACAATTTCATTTTTAAGCCATGGCCCCGTGATAATTGATTGTGAAAAGTATGTCAAGCCTACCAACCTCATAATAATTATTTATTATTTCAAGTCTCATCGCGTACGCAAACATTGCTAAATGACTGATTGTATACTGTGTGTGGTGGGCGATGTATCAAATGTATACGATAGCTATTGTTCCATAATTTTCGTGTTCAAATTCCCATACTATATTTTGTGTTTTCTTATCAACTGAAACTGTTTATAGTTAAAATTGATTTAATAGTATTCAAACTTTTTTAAGGACTTTTAACATCACCTGCATATTGAATCAAAATTAAAGTAATACGTCTAGACGGGAGTTTCCGAGACCAAAATATCTGTATAAAACATATCGTCATCCCTGTCATTATATTTGACAAAGCAGAGATAACAATATGTTTTAAAGGGAGGTTTTGGTCTCAGAAACCCAGTCAACGTTCTTAAAGTTTCCTAAATTATATGAAGGATAGAGGCCATAAAATAATGTCTTAATAATAAAAGCGTAAATTTGTTTGTATCAACAATCACTTAAACAATTGGTGTTATAACTTATTGTTACTTGATTAAGTTTACGTAATGTAACAGCACACGGTAAGTGAGGAACGTACAAAAATGCCGACTAAATAAATCAAAATGCATTGTTGGTGGATCGAAACATTAATTAGATTTTAAAAAATCGGGAAATATTCACGTAGGAAATGAAATTTTGTTTTTTATAATACATCGATAAAATCTTTGTGATACCGAAGTGAAGGTAATGTTATTTATTTAACAATAATTTAGTGTTAAATGAAATCAGATCGCTGCTTTGATGCAAGAGTGTTCGGATAAACGGTACTTTTCATTGACCAACTTATAAAATGGTACCAATGACATAATGCTTACAATACAACGAAATATTAAGTTTTTAAGTTTTAACAATAATGAAAATAACATTCCTATAGTAACATAGGATTTTATTAATAGGTTTAAAATGTTTCAGGCAGTAATTTAATGATTGTATAATGATACAAGTACGTTATAAATTAATTAGAATTTTTAATTATATGCAATTAGTTTTATAAAGAAACATAAATACTTAATATAGTACTTAGTACTTACAATTGGTAGAGTGTAAAAAGGGTGATAACAGCGCGGAACGCCATTTTGCCGCGCGCTGTGTCGCCGCTGAGTTACAATTACCAACTGGTCCGCGGGAGGGCCACCTCTCTCCTCTTCACCTACTATTTAACAACAATCTCGAGAGGTTGCCGAATTTCCTCCTGATAAAGTCAAAGACGTGGGATTATCTATCGTTTCTATGACAGAATTATTAATTAGGTCAATGAAAGGTCGATCTAAATATAATAGTTTAGTTTGTTTTTATAGTATAAGTTGGCGTCTACGACTTCGTACGCGCGTAATTAAAAAAAAAAAACTTAATTAAGAGCCTATGTGTTCTTCCAGACTATTTATCAATTCATCCAAACTTTCGCCTTTATAATATTAGTAAGATGACTACTCAATTTCGTTATTGTTTTTTTTTAAGTTATCACCAGAACGGCTGCTTGGATCTCATTGAAATTTGGCATATACGTAGGTCGTAGCCTGGAAGAAACAATAGGCTACTAATTAAGTTTTTTTGATACAAAAATGAACGGAATTGCGGGCAACAGCTAGTAACAAGATAAAGTACTTTGACATAAGGGATCACGGATTACTGTTTAGATGTAAGAATAGGTAAGATAACAAGCCGTCAAATGATAAAATCATATCTAAAGCTATATCCGCACAAATATCTTCCACAAATGTAACTTAAAAGTGGTAAGAAATACTAGTATGATGGCCTAATCTTAGAATTGACCATTTCATTATATGAATATATCACGTCCGTAATAAAACTTCGAATTCTATAACAATTGACGATTCTCATTTGTTTATCAGCTAGAAATATTACTACATTTATACTGCAGAAACAATATGAATATTCAGTTTTTTTTATAAAAGTAGGGTGTAAGCAATTAGTGGGAACACCAAGATTATCAGCGACGTACAGAGTCGCGTGCGACAGCTAGTATGTCCATAAAAGTGTCACTGTACTTAGTTGCTCACAATTAAGATAAAGTCCTATTTATATGTCGATGTCTGGGTACATTTTATATTAATAATTACCAATGTTATTATTGCTAGATTGTTGTTATTTGTCTCGGGGCTTTTGCTGTGTAAGGACTATTCTAAGTTTCTTTTTTTAATTATGATTTATTATCTGATACTAATATGTGTTGCATTAATAATTTTACATTTATTATTAAACTATAATAAGAAGGCAATCATGCTGCGGAAAATTCCAGGATTTAAAGATATCTTTTTGATTGGAAACATTTTAGATATCTGTCTACCACCAGGTAAATAAACTTATCTTATTTCTATAATATAAATGCGAAAATTAATATGGATGGATGTTAGAATGTATCTCCGAACGGCTAAACGTATCTTGATAAAATTTGCCGCTGATTTGTATACGTAGACATAGCATGGGAGAACACATAGGCTACTTGTCAAGTTTTCTTTAATTCCAAGGGGACGGAGTCGCGGTCGACAGCTAGTATTACATGTGGCCCACTGAAAGAACCGCACCAAACGGCAATCCGTAGTGTCTGCCCACCCTTTTGAATTAAGAACGTGATTGTTTAAAGACGTTACTACTTAATACTATTTATAATTTAATTTTTATCTTATTAATATACGTTCTAGTAAATGTTCTTATATGTATTTTAATGTGTTCAATTTTAGTGCAACTTTTTTCCTCGATACGACGAATAGCAAGAGAAAAAAATGGCATTTATAGATTTTGGTGCTTTCCTATTGCCTCTGTTAACATTTACAATCCCGAAGATGTTGAGGTAATGAAGTATTTTTTTATTGATAACATAAAATATAGTATATCTAATTAATCACTATATGTTATTTTAATTTCAGGTTATTCTTTCTAGTATGAAATATCACGAGAAAAGTCAAGCTTATATATTTCTGAAACCATGGTTGCACGACGGCTTGTTATTAAGTTCTGGTTGGTATAAAAATTTTAATCATTAAAAAATGTCCTTTAATCGGGCATAAATTTTAAGGAAATAATGATAAAATGTTGTTATGGTGTTTATAGAAAACCTAACTTTTGTTGATGTAAAAATGTTGTGTAACCAGGAACAAAATGGCAAAAGCGAAGAAAGATTCTAACGCCAGCTTTCCATTTCAATATATTGCGTAGATATCATGCAAGTATTGCTGAAAATACAATACGTTTGGTGGCGACGCTTCGTAAAGCAGTTGACACACGGGTTGACATTGTACCAGTTATGTCTGACTGTACTTTAAATATTATTTGTGGTACGTATGATATAACAGGAATATCACACTAAAAAATCTTAATTCAATTTATAAAACAATAGCTGGAGCTTGGACAACCAACATAACTCACGAATTATTTCTTGACAAATAAGACTTTGGAACCCGATTTTGATAATTTAAACTTTTATTATATTTTGAACTAGATTTTCATTGACTTGGTACCGAATTAGTACTTCGTACTGAAATGTTGATCCTCCTTTATTCAAATGTGTAACTTGATCTTTTTATGTTTAAAATAAATCAATATATTGAATGAACTATAATAATATTTTCAGAATCAATAATGGGTACAAAACTTAACGATGACAGTTTAGGGAAGATTTATAAAAACGCAATATATGAATTAGGGCCTGTTTTAGTAAAGCGATTCGTCACTCCTTATTTGTATATCGATATTATATTTAAATTATCAAAAATGGGAAAGATACAAGAAAAGACACTTGGTATTATTCATAATTTTACACGTATGATTATAAATGATCGAAAAAAATATGTAACAGAGAATGGTATAAATTTGTTCGAAGCTGTGGAAGGTAGAGACGATGATGAATATACAATGATGTACGCTAAGAAGAAGAGAACAGCAATGTTAGACTTACTCATTTTAGCTGAACAAGAGGGTTTAATCGACCCAATAGGTATCGAGGAAGAAGTTGACACTTTCATGTTTGAGGTACATTTATTGATTTTTTTTTAAACTGAAGAAACCATGAGACGAAAATGAATTTAAATTTATGTTCCCAGGGCCACGATACTACGGCAGCAGGGTTAACATACTGTCTGATGTTGTTGGCAAACCATCCATATATACAGGTTTAAGTATTACTAATATTTAAAATAGTTAATCCAAATTGAGAACTTTCCAAAACGTAGTATGTTGAAGTGAGGCAAAGGTCACGAAGAATTTCCACTTCATAATCGGGGTTCATTTTAATTAGAAACAGCTTAAATTAATGGACATTTAAAATCTTCTATTTTTGTTAAAAATGTTTATTTCTTGTAGGATAAAATATTTACAGAACTAAGAGAGATATTTGGCAACACTAAACGAACCGCAAGCGTTGAGGATTTAAACGCGATGCATTACTTGGATCGATGTATCAAGGAATCATTCCGACTTTACCCGCCAGTACCTTTCATTAGTAGATGGATGAATGAATCTGTAACATTAAGTAAGCAATTAAACATTTTAATATTTTATCATAAACTTCAAATGATTGTAATATCATTTTTATAGGTTACAAGCTGTCGCCCGCGACTCCTGTCGTGCGAAATTAAGAAAACCATTAAATAGCCTACGTGGTCTTCCAAACTATGTTCTACATCCATGTAAAATTTCATTAAGATCCGTTGAGCCGTTCCCGAGATACCATTTAACAACCATCCATCCATCCATTTAAACTTTGGCATTTATAATATTGGTAAGAAAAGATTAGCTTAAGTAGCAAGAATTCTAGCTACTAGGAAAAGTCTCGCCTGTTGTTGTTTTGCTTAGTGGAAACCAAATTTCAGGTAATTACACAGTACCAGCAGGAACTTCATGTCACATACATATATACGATTTACATCGCAGTGAACTTTTGTATCCTAGCCCGACGGTATTTGATCCGGACAGATTTTTGCCAGAAAATGTTGCTAAGCGTCATCATTACGCCTACATTCCTTTTAGTGCAGGTCCAAGGAATTGTATTGGTATGTGCTCTTCTCAAATAACTTTTAATTTTATTGTATACTAGCTGTCACCCGCGACTCCGTCAGGCTTCAAAAAAAAACTATTTTGTAGCCTATATATTCTTTCAGACTCTATTCTACATCTATGCCGAATGTCGTCGAGATCCGTTGATGCGTTCTGGAGATGTCTTTTAATAAACATCCATCTAAACATTCTCATTTATAATATTATATGTATTTGATTACCTATATACTTATTCATTTGCAGGACAAAAATTTGCAATGATGGTAATGAAGTCTGTAGTGTCCGGAATAATAAGAAACTTTGAATTACATCCAGTGACGACTTGTTCAGATCTTCGCTTCCAGGCTGACTTGGTGTTAAGAAATTCTGAACCTGTGTACATAAAGTTTTCAAAAAGAGAAATTGCTATTTGAAAATTAAAGGCAATTGTTTATTTCCGTAGTTTTTATGTTATCTACGGCTAATAGCATAAATAAATAAAAAAATTGTAACTAATAAAAGTAATTTCTAATAAAAACATACGCTTTAAGCTTCATCGAGTAGTCCCTGCATCACACATAGGTAGTCGACGGAGGTAGCGAGTGAGTGGGCTAGGAGAATGCTTCGGGTCAGTACTTCGCGAACTTTCCACATGTCATCGACAGGACAAGGACGGAAAATGGTGGATAGAGCGCGCTTTATAATTCTCGTGGGATAGAAATGATGTGGCTGGTTTAGCCACCAACTGTAACAATGATCTGTCTAATTCAAACCGCAAGGAATGGAATAAACATAAAACTTGAAATTACAGATTTGTATGCATATTGATAGGATGATATTTACACAAGTAGAGTTCTATAGGGAAGGAAATATTATTTTTGTACCAGTTTTCAATCCAATAAATGTAGGTAAAACAACTACAATCTTTTACAAGGATTACAATTATACAATAGTTATAACATTTGGTACTGAGTTACTGACCTTAAAAAAAGTCCTTCGTAAATAAAATAAGTAACAGACACAACGAATAAAGGATAGAGTAGAGGCATCAAGACGAGTAAAATTAAAAGCAATGTGGCGATGAGCTTAAGGAAGGTAGGGAAAGGTGCGCCATATCGCCATAGACTGCGTATGTCGCACGCGAATTCCTTTATCAGTACTTTCAATCGTCCCAACCGAGAAGCGGATCGAAACTGTCAAAAACATACGAGTTTTCAAATAAATTTGAGTACCATATTTTCCGTGAATTTTTTTATATGTCTATATGATACGTCAATAATCGAACTTCGTTTTACAATTGAAGTTTCATTGATTCATTAAGTCTAGGTTATATTAATAGATAATTGCTGAAGATATGAATACTCTACTGCTTATTGCCAATTATTCTAACGAAGAAAAGAGGAAATGAATAAAGTAGAGTCGATGTTTCTTACTTCCACCATAAAAGCCTTGTTAGTACGACGGTAGGGTTTCATGATAATATGTTTCTAATATCTCTCACAGTTTCATATTGATAAAGGATTTATAGAGTAGTGCCTGAGAACTGGTCTTCATATTAATTTTAGTCACATGTTTAGGAAATAAAGTGGATCCTTCGCCATTGTTATGACGTTGATAACTTTGATATATGTCATAAAAGCAAAACATGTCAACCATATGGGATACAGGATATATTATGCAACACATAAATCATATATTTTCTTTTTTTTTTTTATTCCTGTTTCCTTGGAGAGTTTTATTTAATTCTAATTTTTACAATTCATATTCCAAACTGTCGAAAACAGAAATCTCGATGTTCCTGGCTTTCTGATTTAATAAACTGATTGAACGTTTATGTACCAATATAAAGGAGTTGGATACATCATCAAGATAATGAAAAAACTTGAGTAAATTCAATGAAAAATATTTTTTTGTAAACTAGACTACAATAACTTGTGAGTAATTCATTCTATGCTTAGCTTATTATAAACTGACGAAGATTACAATTTGTTTTATAAGAGAAGGGGGGCAAACGAGCGGCGGGAACACCGAGGTGATCAACGACACCCATGGACACCAGAGGAACTGCAGATACTTTGCCGGCCTTTAAGGAAGTGGTATGCTCGCTTCTTGAAGGTCCCTAAGTCGTAGTCGTATCCAGTGATTTGAATTAGTTTTAAGATTATGTTCGTTCCTCAAACTTAACATAGACTGGTTTTGTAGAGCGGAGCATCAAATCAGAGGTAAAGACAATATCTTCAGGCTTGGTGACTGGCAGTAGTCGGTACCGTCTTAATATAGCTAATATAGCCAGCTTCATTTCAATCAGTGCGAATTTCTGACCTGCGGACAAGGAGGAAGAATAATTAAGTGAGAAAAATAATTTGAAAGTCTAGTGATTTGTTCAGTATGATTTGATTGTTGGTTCAACCATGGATGCTAGACTATTCAAATATCGAAGATATTCATAGGCTTTTATGACTTCGCTTCTCAATTTCTTATGCTTCTATACGGAGTTTAGCGTACAAAGTTAGGTTAGGTTATGTTAGGTTTGTTATTTTTAAATTTGGAACAGCGTGTGTAATTTCCCTTACGTTGCATCCGTATCACGTATATAATTAGTGAAAAAAAATATATATATTTACCGATACAATTACGTGGTCCGGCACTAAAAGGTACGTAAGCGTACGGATGCCAAGTGGACTTGTCTGTTATGAACCTTTCAGGTTGAAACTGGTCTGGATTGGGGAACTGATCCTCGCGTCTATGTAGGTCGTATATCAAGATTAGGCACTGGGTACCAGCTGGCATCACGTGGTCCTCTATAAATTAATTCAGTTAAATTAGTTCATACTGTACGGTAATCTGCTCATATCTACACCCGTGGCATCGTCCTCGCGGAATTAAAAAAAGAAATATAATCTATGTCACGAGGGCATAAAGTAGTTTCGAACAATACAGTTCAAACAAACAAATCTTTACTCTTTATTATATTAATATAGATATGACTCACTCAATTTTACGTTATGTTGGATATTCCTTAAAATAACAGGCACTGAGGGGTACAATCTGAGGCATTCTTTGACACAGCAATCGAGATATTTTAATTTAGCAAGGTCAGTCAAAGAAATCGATTGGTCCAAAGGTGAAAAGAAATCATTGTACTCTTGAATGACACGCTCCTAAAAAGTACATTTATTCCATTATTGAAAATATTCTTGTTATTGTTTTAACTATTTAATTGGTAATAATTTAAGACCGGCAACGCAACAGTTCATCTGGTGTTGCGGCTGTCCATGGATGTCGTTGATCACCTCGGTTTTCTCTGCTCGTTTGCCCCTTCTCTATGTTTTTACATTTGTAACTTTTAAATACAATTTATACATATACCTGTGCATCAAAGTTATTGGCGAATACCATCAAAGCGTACTGCAGAGCTGTCGCAGAAGTATCGTGACCCTGAAATTGAAAAAAATTTTAAGATTTCATATTATTTTATCAATTAAGTAAATGTAACATTGACTTACTCCGAACATGAATGTGTCAACTTCTTCTTTGATACCATCAGCATCGATCGCCCCTTGTTTTTCTGCCTGAAGTAACAAATCCAACATTGCTAATCTTTTTTTTCCTTTGAAAGTAATATCTTCGTCTTTTATAACAATATCGTCTTCTTTAAATGTCTTTCTTCTCGTATCTATAACACGATCACGAAATTGATTCATCATTTGTAATGTCCTTTTTTGCTTACGACCTAATTCGGTTAGGGAAAAGATAAAATCTGAATGCATCCAAAGTTTTAATGTCCTGACAATGGCAAGGTTTGATAAATCGAACACTCCTTGCTTGTACGCTTTCGCAAAATCTTTTGATTCTTCGTCTAGTTTGATACCCATTGCGGTTTCTGTAATATAAATCGCATAATTTAATAAATTGTGCATCTCGTTTCAGTCCAATGCTGAAATGGACGTCATAATCCGGCGGCCATTAGGTTATTTTTTGTGATTAGTCGAAGTATTGTAGGGTAGCTAATGTTATAAAGATAAGTAAAAAGTTTTTTACCAGAAATATTTCTTAATTTACCTCTTTTAAGCCAATGCGTTATTCGTTTAAAGAAGATAGATGTTTTTTGTTTGCAATAACATAACTGATTCGTAAATTAAAATATAATAGTAAACCATTACTGTCTTACCGCAAATGGAATTCAACGTGAAATTCTGCAAATAATGTTCCACATCGGTTTTTGATTTACCAATTTCACATTGTAAATTTTCCACTAATTTTCTGCTGTTTTCTTCTAATATTATTTTGTAAATCTTTAGTATATTAAAATAAAATGCGGGTGTTAATAACTTTCTTCTGAATGCCCATTTTGCTCCTGTAAGGTATAAAAAATTAGGTCCTATTCTTGTGTGACCTGCAGAAGCTACAAGCGATGGATTGGCAGGAGAAGGCGACTTTGGCGATGTCTTGCGTCGGAGGCCAAGACCCATTTTAGGTCTCTGTGCCAGCGGAGTATAACTAGTATTTTGGTGTGCATAATTTAAATAAAAACTTAACTATAGTTTCTTTTACCTTGGCTCTTTAACTAGATTTTTCTGTATTAATGGAGCCAATAACTTCCCTTACGATGTTACAATATTCATAAGTTAAATAAAAAATTTAAAATGTTAAGAGACCAAACAATAGTAATAAAAAAAGGAAAACAAAAGTACACCATTAATAATTAATAAAAGTTTAATAAATGTAGTAATGTGCGTGTATGTGTGTATGGATGTGTTAGTGTGTACATGTGTGTTCGCGTGTGTGCATGTGTGTACGGGTGGGTGTGTATGTGTAAGTGGGTGTGAGGGTTGTGTGAATAATTAGAAGTTTACCTGTGCTTATTGCTAATCCTTCTGCCATCCACGGCTTTATAAATTTGTATGGGTAACCTTTGGTTATATATTTCATGTCACTTAAAATTGTCTATAAAATAACATTATCGATTATTTTAGCATATTTTTTACTGTTGAATTTGGATGAAACGTACAAATTTAGTATAATATACCTCAGCATCTTCCGGATTGTATATGGCAACAATTTTTTTATTTCCGATTTGTATTTTGAACAGTTGTTTGTATTTTTGTGTTAACTGTCGGAAATAATAAAACGCGAATACTGAAAATAGAGTTTATTTTTATTCATAATTGTGTCTATTCAATAAGGTTAAGAATAAAAGTGACCTTCAACTCGATTAAAACACACTCTGTTAAGTATATTAGTAAGGCTATATAATTTTTTTTTTTTTTATATCTCATAAGGTGGCGAGCTGCCACCTGAAATCGCTAAATAGCGAAGCGACCGTTGCCCATAGACATACGCAATTGCATATGCGTTACCTACTTTTAATCGACGGAAGAGAGGATGCACAGAAAGAAAATATTTTCCCTTCCCATGCATCCTCTCATCCGTAAAGTCCACGTCTACTTCCCATCCTTTCCTTATAAGGCAAAGGGTGGGAAGGGAAAGAGGACTAAATAAGGCCTCTGGGACGCACACTCAACAGACGAAACGGGGAATTGCTTCCACTTGACGCCTGTCTTCTGTGTGGTCGTCGTATTTCACACGAGCCGAGCCAATTCGTGCGAAGATGTTTAAGCTGGCTCTAACACTGTTAATGTTATTTTATCTTAGTAATGTTGTCTATGTTAACATAATTTAAAATCGAGACTTTTCCATATTAAAAATACCATACCCGTAATGGAAAAACAAATCAGATTACATCCACAAATAATTTTCCCGCATTTAAGAAGACGCTTAAGTTATTAACTTAGTTGGTTTTTGTATTTAATTATAAATTTTTCAAACGTGTTTAATAACACTGCTAAAAACAATATACAAGCCAAATAAAAACTCTATGATTAACTTTTTGCGAATACGAAACAAAAGAACAACGCTATAAAAATATATTGCCAACATTTTCATAGTAATCTTATATATACCTAATCAAAATAAAGATACAATTAACATGAGAAATAACGACACAAACCTACAAAAGAATTCACCTTGAACTCAACTACCTCATTAACATTATTAATTCTTTATTTTATTATATGGTTATGGTAAATCTGCAAACGGACGCGAAAGATTTAACAGTAGTATTCTTTGCGACTACAAAATGCGGTTTATCCTTAGGATTGATTCTTTGGTGGACCTTCATTGAGACCAAGACGTTAAAACAGACTGCTTAGAGTTTCCCGTGTTTGTCGGCCCTTAGGTAAGCTATAATTATAAGAAGTAAGCCTCAAATAGGCCTCTCCACAAAACTATTCTGCAAGTAAAACGGGAACCTTTTTCACCTTTATATGTTCTTGACTTTATGATCTCTACGAATTTCTTAAATATTTAATAAAAAAAAATGAATGTCAATATTTTTTTGTCGTCAGTTTTATATAGAAAAAATTTGAGGTTAACTACACGGCACAGTAGTTTAAAAGTACGTAAACATTTTAAAATAAATAAAAGAAATAAAAGTTTAAGTAACTAAAAATGATTCGACTTATAACCTATGAACCTATGAACATAGTCTTTAGTAATTTTATGCCGCTTTTTAATTTATTTTAATTCTTTATTTCTCAAAATATTATATCAAATGAAACAAAGATATATTATTAATAATTATTTAGTCTAATAATAATAATAACAATATCTTACCAGGTCCTTCTAAAAAGTCCAAAGTATTGTGTAACAAAAATAATCCTTTCGGTCCGGGAATTTTATCGAAATCGTCATTTTTGTCGAATTTATAATAAATGAACAATGCTAGTAATAGTATCGTAAAAACCAAAAGTACCCATAACATTATAGTTATTATTAAAATACTTTAAATAATGCAATAAACTGCACCGCGTCGTGTCTTTTAATACTGAATGAATGAAAGAGCTCGTGCGTTTGAAACCTGCTTTTATGGCATTGCAAAATGACTTAAGACAAGTTTTTTTTACGCTCACAGGTTTTTGTTAAAACTGTTTTGAATTTATAAAAATGTTTCGTACAGCAAAAAATTTAAAGTTAATTTTTTCAACGCATTTTTTTTTATTATAAAATGTCGAACGTATAATTATTTTTCATAGCAGACGATGGTGAATGTGACAAGCGTTCACTTGGTATAGCATGGCTAGCCTACTAGACTACTTTCCATGGACCGAGGAAGGATTTATCGAAAAGAGATGTTTCCCTATTGTACACAGGATGTCCCAAGATCAATACACGGACCTTTTAAATATTTTAAACAAAAATATTATAGAATTGTGATTTCATTTAATTTCAGCGTGAAAAGTCGGCTGTCATCTGTCAAAAGTTGTTAAAATCCGATATGATTTGGTATTGTAAAGTATTACGTTTTCCAATCACAATTAACTCTCATTCAGAGCGAATTATATCAAGTGCTGCCCGCTAGGTGGCGTCCTTGGAACACCTTTATAACTAGTAATCAACCTGTAATACCTTTAGATTTTATAAAAATATTAATGTTAATTCCTTATTGTTATCAAATTCTCATGACAGTAAATTTTTTTTAGCACGAACACAACACTATATTTAATTTATACAAGTTTTATGTTGGTCTCCAGTTCCAATATAAAAAAAGGAATATTCCTTGTAAATATTTAAAAAATTAGATATACTCTCGACTCGCGACTTTGTTTGTAGCCTGTGTATTCTTCCAGACTATGTTCTACATCTGAGTCAAATTTCATCAAGATCCGGTGAGTCGTTCTGGAGATACCTTCTAACTTTTAGACATTATTAGTAAAAATCCTTGGGTGCGAATGGCGCACTTTCATTACCAAGTCCCGTGTCAGAATGATTAGTGAGGGGACATTAACGTCGACATTTTAGCAAGGCTAGTGTTGCGCCAGTACACCGGCACAGTTTCGGATTTTCTTCCTAATGTTACAAACATCCATGAATCCATCCAAAACTTTCGCATTTACAGTATTAGTAAGAAATAAGAAGTAAGATTCACTTACCCTATTTATATACATAAATATAATAAATAGAGTTATTAATAAGATATTTATAATTATGAATGTATAATGGTTACAAACGATAAGCAATGTGTAAAGGACAAAAGGTCAAATGATCTTTTTAATGGTCTTTCGTGACTGTTAGCTTGAGGCATAAGCAATCATTAAACTTCTAATATACTTTTAGACATTATTAGTTAGAATCACTTGGCGCGAATGACGTGCTTTCGTTACAAAGTCAAGTGTCAGAATGACTAGTGAGGGGACATAAACGTCGATATTTTAGTAATGCTAGTGTTGAGTACACTGGCTCATTTCCGGATTTTCTTCCAAACAATACAAATATTTTACAAGCCAAAAAATTGTATATGAAAAAACTTAAATGTCCAATATCTGCTCAAAATCCTCTTCTTGTACAGTTGCCTGTACACTAGAGTGTTATCAGTTTTATTTACTTGATTGCTTAATGTTTACGTCTTGTACAGTCGGCTGCATTAATAAAGTTGCTCTTGTATATGTGCCCCGTTATCTTACTCTTACTATTACTATAAATGCAAATATTGAGATGTATGAATGAATTTTTGTGGAAAGGTATAACTAGAACAGCTCAACGGATCTCGTTGAATTGGAATTAGAACAAAGTCTTGAAGGACGCAAAGGCTACTAAAGGTTTTTTAAATTTTAAATAATCACCGTTCTTTGTCAATTATGGTAAGTCAAGGTTATAAGAAATAATTCATGGAATAGCTCTACTTTATCCTCTTGAGCAAGGGAAAATCCCGGGGAAAGGGCATACAGCTAAATTGGGTAGGCTAACCCTAACCGGAGTGTCGTTCCCCGAGGCACAAGGTATGCGTAACGCATTCCCCCTTTAAATAATGGCTAACCCTAGTACCAACCTTACGAAAACAATTCAACTAATTTACTTATCCTTTCTGACTCTATTTGAATGTTGGTAGGTCAACTGTACATCGACTTTTATATATATTAACCGTTTAATATCTTGTCATACAATGACTATTAATTCCTTTGGTAATCCTATGAATGGTCTATATACGAGTATGTAATAATTTGCAAACAGATATCCAAATTATTATTGTGTAATAGATAACTATGAATTAAACGTACTTGTTTTTTATTTATTTTTTGTTTGTATGTGTACATATTGATGTCAATAATAAGCGATAAAAAATTGTGTAGTAGAGGGCAAGTGCATGTAAACGATAAATACTTTATCAAGTGGGTCTGATTAACAATACGCCAGTTATGTTTGTTCCACCACGACGGTAGCATTGTTTCATACAAAATGTTATTTTTCCTTTTATATTTCGCGGCGATTTTATTCATCGTTCATATTCTATTTAATTATAATAAAAGAGCAGCTTTGATAAGAAAAATACCAGGATTAAAAGATCATTTCATCGTTGGTAATGCTTTGGAAGGAGTTAAATCACCAGGTAATGTTTTTTTTTAATTATCTTACTTTTTGGAATATATGTATGCATCTGGGAAAATGCGTATATTTATTGCGTTTCTAAGCCTTATTCAATATTATTGTATATGCATATTCAATCTATGCTTTTATTAACCGACTCCAAAAAGGAGGAGATTCTTAGTTCGTGTGATTGTTTTTTTTTTTTTTTTTTAATCGTAATAAATTGTTAATTCTATGGACAAAATAATAATCCTCGTCTAGAAATTAAATAATAGACAATTTTACTTTTAAAAAAAAAATTAAACATGTAATATCAAATTATATCTTTTTTTAAAGTCAAAATTATTTAACGATGCAAAGTTGAAACGTGGAACCGAGCGTGGATATGTAATTTTTAAATTCTATAATTTTCACTATCTTGTATTATAATATCATGATTCAAATGTATTACTATATATCAATTTGTATAGACGTATAAAATAATCCCCATTTCCATTGGTCATGGGATCACGCCTTAACCCCTAGACTACATTACGCTTTTTTAATTATTTTCTTTGTGATAAGAGAAATTTATTATAAACAAGAACATTGCAGTAAATTAGAATATTATGAACTCGACTTTTCAGCATAGATATAAAACATAGTCTGGAAGGCTATTTATTAACTTTGTTATTTATTTCTACTCGAACAAATTCTGGTAACAGGTAAAAATTAATAATTTGAAAGTTATTGATATTAATTTCTTATTAAATTATTAAAAAAAGGATTAAAAAACAAATTTAAAATTTATGAAGCGTGAATTGTTAAATCGTAAAATCATTTCTTAGTGCTAGCTAGATACACCAACAAAAACCTTTATGAAATAATTCAAATTTAGAAAATATTTTATTATGAAATATTTATTATAACAAACATAATCTTATATTAAAAAGCTTATATTTAGTCACTAACAAATCAATCAGATAGATAATACCAATTATCATCAGTATCTATTTTAATCAGAAAATATAAGGATTTAATATAAAAGAGTGAAAAAAATGTAGGTTTACTAAGATAAAAAAATATAAAGACTGGCACTAAACCAGGAGAACAGGAGTGGGCGGTATAGAACCGCACATAAAAATAGCCTACATCTAAAAAGCCGGCAACGCATCTGTGGTTCCTCTGGTATTCCTGATGTCCATGGGCGTCGTTGAACACCTCGGAACAAAAAAACATCTTAATGAAGAATAAGTTAGATGTTGCCAGTAACCATCCGTAGTATTGCTTTTTGCTTAAAGTTATGGTAGGGACTCGTTAACTTTCATTCTGGTTGAAAGAATTGAGTACATTGTGATCTTAGCCGTTTTTCCCTACCGAGGGTCTTCATAGTATACTTTTTACTATAATATACACGGTTTCTTAATTACCAGAAAAAAATAATGTAAAATACATATATGATTTTAAATGTAGACATTTTTTACAGTAAGTTTTTTAAGTTAATAACAAATTATAGTTTTATAAAGATCGTGTAAAATCATTTTAACGATACTTCTTGGACCCACATTACAATGGCCGGCAATCAAATATGTTTGAAAACAAAGAAAAAAATTAATATGAAGAAATTTATTTTTGAAAATGGAAGTGGCAATCATAACAAGTTTGTTGTCCACATTTATAGTAGCAGTTCAATATATGTAGATATGGGGGTTAAGGACAAATTAATTGATAGCTGTCTGCTCTCTGTTATTGTGTCTTAAGACCTATTTATGCGTACCATTAATTAATAATCTATATTTTAATAAAGCGTCTCTTTAAATTATTTCTCTATCTGTGTTTTAAAGTTTCTCTTTATACTATCTTACTAATATTATAAACGCGATTGTTTAGATGTTTGAAGGTATCTCCAGAACGACTTAACGGATCTCAATTAAATTTGACAGGGATGTAGAACATAATCTAGAAGAACACATAGGCTACTAATTAGGTTTTGTAAATTCCGCGCGGACGGAGTCGCTTGCGACAGCTAGTAAGTTAATAAATCAATGAAAGTTTGCATAAAATAAGGATTTAAACAAAGGAAATTGTTTATTGTGCATAGTAATTTCTCCACATTTAATGCAGGGCCGCGTGCAATAAAACATATTGTATATTACAAGTGTTGCAGTTTGAACGACAAATGAACGATCTTTGTACTAAGCACTCCGCGGACGCATAACACTGACTACAAATAACTTTATTAATGGTAAATGGACAAGTGTATTTAACGCTAGCAAAAAAAATCGTTACGGGCGTGTAGAGTATTGCCTTTACACACAAAAAATATTAAGAAACTTTTTAGGTGTTTTCTTTTTTCTTGTTTATGGCCCTTTATTGTATTTCGCCAGTGTTCAATGTTTGCCAAGTGTAAGGCTAAGCAACCAAAGGTAAACAATAACGATATTCCTGTAAGATGCGGTCGCAGTTCAGATGAATACACCTCGATGGAGAATAACGAGAATTTCGTAGCTTTCCGCAGCATTCTTTCCTTATAAAAATGGATGGGAAGGGAAAATCGACGTAAATTAGACCTTCGGAATGCACACTTATCAAACGAAACGCGGAATTACTTCCACTTGAGGACTATCTTTGTGTGTGTAGAGCGAGCCGACCCATTCGTGATGTTGATTAGTCAAGAGTTATAAAAGGTACTAAACATGACTCAGTTCACATTAACCATATCCCTTACTATCCCTTATCCTTATCATATAGTTATCCCTTTAGAAAAACGATGAACTTGATATTTAGTACACGATGATAATCAAATCAATAAAACATAATCGGTTGTGATAAAAAAATGAAATTGAACAAGTGCCCTTTTGAGTAAAATTGAAGTGCCTTTCGCTTACAATTCTTCTGTTTGTTTATACCCGGAGACATTGTTGTTAAATATTTTTCCTGGTTATTAAATCTGTCATGCTTTCATTATCATAATAACTTCCTTTAATTGGAATTAAACAATTATTTATTTAAAAATTATGACAATTAAAAAAAAATGTAATTTAAGATCTTTGCACATGTTCGTTCTAAACTGATGTACAAAACAATGCATCTTTGTATGGTAGAAATAATTTAATGCTGTAGAGTAATTGAACGTTAGTGCAACTTTTAAGGCCAAAGCAAGTGAAACCACAATTTTATTGATAAATATTATCACCACTCGCATACTGTATGAAAAAGACAGAGAAGACAACAATTATAGTGCTTCAATAGTTAATTTGAAATCGAAAGGATTCTTCTTAACTCTTCGTTATTGACGCATGACCGGTTTAGATAGTACGCTCTAGCAATACTTGCAGCCGTCTATTACTTCGTCTATGTGGAATTAAGAAAAAACGTAGCGTTCCAAACTGTAATCTATTCCTGTTTTAAACATCTAGAACTAGATCGCTTTAGCCTTTTTTAAGTAGTACGTTTTGCGCATCAATAATATTTAAAAACAATTGGTTTTCTGAGTAAAGGCTTGTATTATTATAGATGACTCCCGGGACGTATGCGCGGAATTAAAAAAAAATCTGATAAGTTTCCTACGTATTCTTCCCGACTATGTGCTACATCCGTGTCAAATTTTATGAAGATTCGTTGAACTGTTGCTGTTGCTGCTGCTGTTGAAAAACTTTCTAACAATTATCCATCCATACATTTATTCATCTAAACATTCGCATTTATATTCGAGATGTATTATTGCAGTGGATCTTTTTCGTTTCGGAAGAGAATTGGCAAAGAAACATAATGGCATATACAGATTCTGGTGCTTCCCAATTGGCGCTGTTTTCATATACAATCCAGATGACATTGAAGTAAGTGACTAGTCGTAGGTTTCCAACACAAAATTCCTCGTTTAAAAACATATTGTCATCTCTGTTTTGTCAAAGTTAATGAGAGGGATGACGATATGTTTCATATGCTTTTGGTTAAACCTTTGGTTTATTGTCTTTGTATTTATAATTTTAATAGATATTCTTCATAATATTTTTTTCCTATTCACAGATTATTTTAACTAGCATGAAATATCACGAGAAGAGCGTTATTTACAAATTTTTAAAACCCTGGCTGAACGATGGACTGTTATTGAGTGGTGGTACGTTTTACATTTTATTATATTTTTAATAAAGGTTATAAAAGTGCAAAAAGAAGTATATAGATGAACACATATCATGGTAAATGTGGCGCTATTCCTTTTTGCATAAAAGATTAACGCGACAAATTCGATATTTAAAGAGAGAGCTAATTCTATAAACAATTTGAAACTATATTTACTGCACAAGTCCTGTAATTTAATTTATTAAATTAAATTAACAATTGCTTCCACTCGCAAGACTCCATATAAAACATATTTTTTGTGAGGAGGGTAATTACGTCTCTAAAAATATTATTAAGGTAATTTGATTACTTTGAGATACAATATTCTCGTGTGTGTTTCAGGATCGAAATGGTTGGATCGTAGGAAGATTCTGACGCCGGCTTTCCATTTCAACATTTTACGGCGATACCTCGTGAGCCTAAATGACAGCGCTGACCGGCTTGTCGACACTGTCAATAAAGTTGTGAACATTGAAGTCGATTTAGTACCAATAGTATCTGAATGTACACTTCAAAGCATTTGCGGTATGTATTAGAATTTATTTTGTTTACTGTTATAAATGAAAATGCAAATTACAAACAAATAAGCAACCAATTAATTAAACAAAGAAGCATAATTGATTTCCTAACAATCGAGGGCAAAATTCGAATCACACTTTTCTTAAAACCTTCTTTGTTGTGGTCGGGCGTACTGGCAGTCACAATCAGCTGGCATTTATGCAATGTTAGTAATGCGCGAAAAACAAAACAAAGTATTCAATGTGTTTGGAACATTAAGATAATAATTTGACTTAAATTAAAAATGATTTTTGTCTTTGCACTTTTGAAATTCAAGTAATAAAATAATCTGATTTCTTCCACGGAACGAGAACTTCCATTCATTTGTAATCTGATAGAAAGATGCTTCCTGTCGATAGCAATTCAAATAAAAGTGGAGAAAGCTAACTGCTTATTTAAATATCATATTTTAAAAAATCTCACGGACTCTCACTCTCTGGACAGAATAAAAAAAGCATAGAAATATTTACCTTTTAACACTCTTCTATAGATATAATCTTTCTTTTATTTTATTTGTTGACATTTTTTTTTGTTAAAAATACAAAAAAAAAGCATTTTTTGAATGCGAATTTTTGTTTTGATTTAAGCAATTTAATTTCAAACACGCAGATTCCTTTAAAATCTAATATTAACTAAAAAAAGTTATCTATATCGGATGTTACTCTATAATTATAAAATTTATTTTTATATAAATTGTATGGAAATTATTTATATACTGTTATAATTATAACTATCAATTTTCCCACCGAGATGTTATAAATAATGTTATTAATTCATTATATTAAATGTATTTGCAGTAATGCCTGTTTAGTATTTCCTTAATTCATTTAAAGCAAGAAAATATTTATTGCGTAAATAGCCAGCCAGCCACTTGGGAACCCTACCGTGCGACCGCAGCGATTTGGGGTCGATTTTTTACATTATTTAGTTTGGTTTAGTTTTAGTATATAGTTTATAGTATTATTTTGGTAGTTTAATTAATTAGTCATTTCATTATTGTAAGAATGTAAATATAATTTATTTTATTTTATTAGCTTTTATCAAATATATTCTCGCATATGTTTGCGTAAAATATAATTATTAATTAAACAATACTAAGATACGATACTTTTGTGCAAATAATATAATTTATATTAAGGCTGTTTCCCATTGTTTCCAATTAAATCTTATTAAAATAGATTTTAAATCATTTTTGAAATTAATTAATAAATAAATAGATTTAAGAATGCATAGATAGGATAGATAGATAGACAGGATAGATAGATTAAAAATAAATGAATAGAGTTTAAAACAATTTGGTAATTATTTTTTTTAATTAATTAAAAAAGGTTATTTTTGTTAAAATTCATAAGATTACAACATAGACCTAGTTTCATCAGTAAATGGATAAATCGAAAGGAAGTTAGTTAGATTATAACATTCATTTAAGATGACATTTTTTTCTTTTTTTTTCTTAAGTAGAACAATGAGATTGTTATTACACACATAATAGCTTAATATGCAATAATTAAATATTTAATAGTGCCATTAGTTGACATCAGTATTTAGATAAATACTAGTTGTCGCTCGCGACTTCGTCCGCGTGGATATAAAAAAAACTTAAATAGTGCAGCCTATGTGTTCTTTCAGAATATGTTCTATACGAATGCCAAATTTAATCGAGATCCGTTCGGCGGTCTAAAGATATCTTCAAACACCCATCAATCCATCTAAATTAGTGAGTTAAATAAAAAGCAGCTCTTCAAGGCATAATTTCGAAAAAAAATGAATAAATAGTATCCTATGTCCGTCTCCTGGCTCGAAGCTACCTCCTTACAAATTTTTAGCCATCTCGGTAAAGCCGTTCTTGAGTTATAAATAGTGTAACTAACACGACTTTCTTTTATATATATAGATAAATTTAATTGCAATATATTCTTTCAGAATCCGCGATGGGCACAAAACTAAGCGACGACACAACGGGCAAGTCTTACAAGACTGCAATTCACGAATTAGGACTTTTGTTAGTCCAAAGATTTGTCAGAATTTATCTGTATGCAGATTTCTTATTCAATCTGTCTTCTTTAGCAAAATTACAAAACAAATATCTCTCCATTGTTCACAATTTCACGCGCAATGTTATAAAAGAGAGAAAAAAATACGTAATGGATAACGGAATAGATTTATCAAATGCTATTAGTGATAGTACTGATGATGTAAATATTTATAGAAAAAAAAGAACAGCCATGTTAGATTTGCTAATATTAGCTGAAAAAGATGGTTTAATTGATAATGCAGGCATCGAAGAGGAAGTGGATACGTTTATGTTTGAGGTAACAATCATTGGTAAAAATTGTAAACTTTACATTACTTTATAATTTTACATATTGTTAATAATTTTAATTTTTCCACCAGGGTCATGATACGACTGCAGCAGCCTTAACTTATGCTTTAATGTTAATCGCCAACCATCTAGACATACAGGTATCATGTTTTATGTTTCATCATTATCATCATATTTAATAAATTCATTGTCCTTGACCGTTCAGTAATTTCCATTGTCGTGTTAAAAGTGCCATTCTCTTCGATTTCCTTATACGATTCAAGTGACGCCTACTTTCTCTTTAATATGTTCCATGAATGTTCTTCTCGGCCTTCCCCTTTGCCTCTTCCCTTCTATTTTTGTGCATAACATCGCCTTTGTCTCTACTTTCCCTATTCAATATATTATCTTTTTCGTGCATATTGTATTGTTTTAGGATAAAATAATAGCAGAATTAAACGATATATATGGTGAAACAAAGCGAGCAGTCACAATGGAAGATCTCAATGCGATGCGATACCTGGAACGGTGCATCAAAGAAGCCATCAGACTGTACCCGCCAGTGCCTTTTATCAGCCGTAAACTAAATGATGATGTCCAACTCAGTAAGCTTATATTTACTACTTTAAACTACAATTGCGAACAAATCTTTTCAAACGCGAATAGTAATTTTGAGCGTCATCTTGTAATTTGGAAAAGCTTTAGTATTTATATAGCGACCTCAATTTGCTATCAACAGTCCATTTCAATGGCTAAACTTTCTATCAAATCTATTACAAACTAATTTCATAAGGTGCAAAATTCGACATTTTCGTCTGGGTCCAATAATTACCTACCCACACAGTCGGTGGTAGCAGAGTCTTGATTTTATGAAATAGCTAAAGAGATCTTTTCGCAAAATCTCTACATTAAGGGTTTTCTTGTCTTTAAACCATTTTGTTTGTACCTATTACAGAATCAATGACATTTGTTATTTATATTTCAGGTAATTACACAGTACCAGCTGGGACATTATGTCACATTCACATTTACGATTTGCATCGACTGGAGAGCTTGTATCCGAACCCTACAAAATTTGATCCGGACAGATTTCTGCCAGAAAACGTTGCTAAACGTCACAACTACGCGTACATACCGTTCAGTGCTGGACCCAGAAATTGTATAGGTATGATTCAATTATTTATAATTAAAAACTAAATTATTCAAAATATTAAGATATCTAATGTCAAAGTATAGCAAACAAAAAGTTGCAGAGCTCAGAACATTGTAATTAAGTTTCAAGATATGCTATGTGGTTTAGAATCACGTAGGGAACAAACATAATGTTAATTTTTGTTGGATTTCATATATTACTGTCACTTATTCGTGATTTTATTTGCAGGACAAAAGTTTGCAATGATGCAAATGAAAACTGCAGTGTCCACCATCTTGCGTAATTTCAAGTTGCTACCAGTCACCGGCTGTTTGGATCTACAGTTTCAATCCGATTTAATATTAAGGAACTCCAAACCTGTGTATGTGAAATTTGTTAAAAGAATAAATGAATAACTCGATTTATCTTTTCAAATACTTTAACTTGCTTAAATTATTCAGTAAAACATTATGGGTAAGTCTTTATAATTTTCGAGTGCAATTGGCTTTCGTACAACAAATAGATGAATAATTAAATGCATTGATAAAGGTCTTCCTTATGTTTCGTTTCATCGCATTCGCATAAATCAGGTCTGCCTAACAGTGATTTTATTATGCGACTATTGGAAGTTGATAAAAGCGAACTTTTTATCATAAATCAATTAGTATCCGAACATCGTATTGCTCCACGTGGGTGAAATAAAAATGGAAAATTATTTACAATTATAAGCAAAATATACTCAAGTAATTTACGAGTTACGTGATGTCATGTTTATCTACAAATGATTACATTATTTACAAATATTTACATAGTCTTTTACAGAATACATATTTCATGGAGACATATACAAACAAATGTTTGATAATAGAGCTTAGTTTAATATTTTTGTAATAATTACAATTGTTTGAAAATATGTATTAACTACTGAACCATTTGTTATCAAATTTTGTAAACGACTATAATTTGATCTTACTTGTGAGATAGGATAGTTTTTTTATCTCAATTATTGAACTTTTTTTTAATTCCGATCGGACGGAGTCGGGGGGACAATTTTAATAATATAAAAGTATAATAGCATTATATGTTATGACGCTATATATTTTCGAGGACTTCAATGTACACCGTGCGATATGTTCGCAGACTATGATAACATTATCAGTATAGTATCATTAAAGCAATCTCACCCAGACACAACAAAATTGAATGATCGTAATTGTAGAGCCAGCTTTGTAGTTTAATAATTTGAATTTAGCATCATGTTCTTGCTACTTTAAATTGCGTTTCCAGTGCAAAAACACATGTATAAAACATATTATTAAATCAAAGAATAACTAGGGTAGACAATTATGTTTTATAAGGATGCTTCGGCAATGGAAACCTATTTTTTAATCATGTTGCCTGTAAAAATCCCAAGTAAAACTGAACGTCATTCCATATTTAAAAGCTGTAATAAACATCTATTTAACTCTAAGAATATTTACAGCTAAATAATTTAATTCAAACAAGCAAATAAACAAATCAGATAAAATTATCCATCAGATACGCAAAAATGAAGTCTCGTGACATGTAAGCGTTCATTTAGTTTTTTTTATTCTGCGTTGACCTAAATTAATAAAGAAATAGACTGTGGACATACCAAATATAAGTACACATACAACGACATAGATGTTGGCAGTCCCAGAAGTCGTTTATTTATAAACGATAGACTGAAAAGAATGGCTCAGTTGAGCGTGCGCGGAAGCGGCGTACGATTCGCGCGCCTGTTGCAAAAAGTTTCCCAAGTTCCAACATATCTCTCCACGCTACGTCTGCCCTTCATTGTTATGAGATATTTGACCAAGGACAGCTACGAAAGCTTCATAATGGAATGTGACAATGATTTTGAGGTAATTTAAAATAGTATAAGTTTTTTAATTAGTTATAATTCAAAATGTTACATCGGATGGAGTGACGCCAGGAGAATTTTTCTGAATGAAATTATTTATCGAAATAGTACAGTTGTACCTGCTTTTAAATAATTGTTAAATAAATGATAAAAGATGAATAATAAAATCCTCTATTTATTTGTGAAGAGGCAGAGAGCTTTCTAAGTGTAATAAAAAGTTCCTTTACCCATGTCTATTAGGTCTTCAACTTTTGCATAATTACTTATTTATGACGTAGTATTGGGCAATTTCAAAGCATTTTTTTTTATCGACATCAAAAATGTATTGCTCAATTTATCAGTTTTGAATCCACTGCGAGTTTACAGAAAGCTGCTATTCTGATGTTCGTTTTAAAAGAAAGTGCACCTATCATTTTGTAGCGAATAGAATGTCATTAGCAAATTACTTTGATAACAAAGCTTGACTGATGTTTAGCCAAAAGTTTGACCAATAGCAACTAGATAGATGGGAACTATAGATATATGAATTTTAATGGATATAAATTACCGTATGAATAATCAAACCGTCAAAACGCTAAAGAAGTATGAAACAATTTGTCAAACCCGTTCGTAGTTAAAAGGGAAGGAAAATGATGAGGAAGGAAATACCTATCTTAAATTTTAGACTAATGTATAATAAATATGTCCATAAATCTAGTTTAAAATTCGGCAACAACATAACATTAAATTAAAAACGCTCAATTATAAATCGATCCTGAGAAATAATCGGATATTTGATACCGTTCAAGATTTCTTTAAATGTAAACGTTGAATTTATATAAATTTGACACACAATTTTTTTCCACACCCCGAATAAATGTACCCTAAGTTATTCCTTATTATATCTGCTAAAAAAAGGTCCCGTCAAAATCTGTCCAGCCATTTCAGAGATTAGCCGCAACAAACAGCTAAACAGCCAGGCAGAGAGACAAAAATTGTAAAAAATGTTATTTTAGTGTATGTATTGTATATTTATATAAATGTAATACAAACGGTTATTGCAATATTACAAACAGACACCCCAATTTTATTTATATGTATAAATGAATGAACATCTCGTGTAAAAAAAGTTAAATTTAAATTGAGCATATTCGTGTGTGACGTAAAACCACACCTACCATGCAAATTTGTTGATGCCAAGTTTGTCTTTGGTCTACGTAACACGAGCTTACTGAGTCATATGAGCATGTTTGATATTGTTTGTTGATACATGTTTCTTTGTACCTTACTATCGTTACATTGTTGCTAAAATATACTTTTTTAAAACCATGTTTTTTATAAATAATAATTCATTGTTCTAAAGTTTGCATAGAAAATGATACTTAGTAAAATTTTTGTTTTGCTATTTAAATTTTTCCGAGAATTTCTTCTTCTTCATTCGTGTATCTAGTAGTTAGTAGTTTAGAGCCAGGAGACAGACATAGGATACTATTTATTCATTTTTTTTCGAATTTCCGCCTTGAAGAGCTGCTTTTTATTTAACTTACTAATATTATAAATGCGAATATTTAGATGGATGGGTGTTTGAAGATATCTATAGAACGGCTGAACGGATCTCGATTAAATTTGGCGAAATAGAACATAGTCTGAAAGAACAGATAGACTACACTAAGTTTTTTATATATCCACGCGGACGGAGTCGCGGGCGATAGCTAGTTTTTGATAATTTTAATCAGAAACTTATGAAATAATTACAAACATTTATAAATAATACTACATTTTATTCATTCAGAGTATAATTTCTTCAAACCGTTTCATGGATTCAATAAAACTTCATCGTCTTCGTATTTTATAGAATACATTAAAAGTAAACATTCACATTAATATAGATTGGTATCTTTCAAGCAATTGACTCAATTTCTATTGAAATAGTAGGTATACTATTAATAAAAATATGACGATGATTTTTAATGAAGTCGCTTAAAAACTATTTATATCGCTAACTCTTGATACAATCAATCAACGGAATGAAAGTTAACATGAAGCTTTGCTGTTCCTATTTCTTATGAAATTATAACACTCTGTGTTGAAGCAACTTAGGTAGTCTCCACCATAAAAGACTTCAAGCTGGCAGCAGGTCTTGGGAGTTTACTATTAAAGAATTAAATCTTTGTTCATGCGTCAACTTTTCTTCGTGAAATTACTAAATCAAAATTAAAATCTGAGTATCAGAATGATAAGGTAAAAAAATCTTTTCACAATTGATAAAATTATGAAGTTAAGCGAACATAACAAAAGTGAACCGTTATCACGATACGAATATACATCACATTTTGGAAAACAGTCGACGATACGTAGGCAAGGCAAACATTAGTGTGTTAGATAAAGTGGCGAGTGAGGGGCAGGGAAGTCAGTCCGCGCGTGCGCGTTGGTTCAGCGAGGTAGCGCGCCCCACGGCCTTGTCTTCTGCCGTCGAACGCCGATATGAACAGCCGCCAGCTCCGCCGCCTGCTCGCAGCCCGGCCCTCGCTCGCTCTACCAGAATGCGTCCAAACACGCCGTTATAGTCAAGTGAGACCGGTATATGTCATACAGGGACCTGTGAGTGTCTTACGTGTTATGCCATTTACGTGCTTCCTGAACTACGCCTATGGGACTCCGTTCGTTTGTGTCGTCTATGTGTTCCTTCCAGTTACTTCGGTACATTAATCTTTATTCGAAATTTGTTTCAGAAATGGCGAAATTCAACACCGAATTTCTACGCCTTACAGTCGATAGATATGAGGTGAGTTTATTATTTGTAACATAAATAAATACAGTGTATAAGGAAGAGTAAGGTTGCTCTAATGACGTCATAGGTCGAGTAGTCAATATTGGAAATAAATTGTTTCCAATGATACGCATCAACTTCTATTGATCTGTGTTAAACTTTGGCCGTTACGGTTCTGGAAGTTGATGGCGCTATGGTGCAGCATTAATTGACCCTTGACATTAAAACGTTTTTATGCTTTCGTAAACATTCATAGTAAGACTTTAAGGGACAATATTAATTTTATCAAATGTAGAAAATTTACGATTAAAATAAACAGGCTAATAAAAATGTTTATTCACGTTTCATGCTGCAGAGCCTACTCTTTCGTGCACAACCTCGATCCGATATTGTGAGTACAGTACGACCAGCATCTCTATGTGTTCATTTAGAAGTGTTTTAGTTACTTTTTACTTGTTAAATGTATAATTTGGTGTGGTTTTGCATTGCACTTTTTATTTGCTCCATAATCACAGAACCAGGCAGTTATCTTAGTCTGAAGATGTATATCTAGTGATTGCTAGCCGAGAATAAACGCGTCAGGTGATTTGGAACATCTGCGAAGCAATACGTCAACGACACACCCGCTTACCGCGTCACGAGTGATAATTATATTACAACGTCGTGATGATGGATGTGCCCTAGCATATTTACTTAAGAAATTCATCCAACAATATTATCACGATTCATTTTTAGTTGTTTAACAGATTGTTGCTAATCGCTTGTCTCTACAGACTACAACGTGCTGTAGTTGTAGTATTGCATGATATTGTGATCTGTACTTTAGTAAACACCCATCCTGTATATTATTTCGTTAAAAAATTTCGATCGTTATTTCGCAGGGTACGCGAGGGTTCCCACAAGAATGCCGACGACGTGTTGTTTGATATGTTCAAAAATGATGAAACAGGTCTTCTTCCTGTTGGCAAGTTTTTGGCTGTAAGTCTTTGTTACATTGTATTGCTTATAATTGCTATTTGGTTTTTCAAATCGAGTCTCGATCACATTACTATTAAGAATTTTAAGCTGGCTTTCTATGTTACATCGATTTTTAGTAATGCCTTTCTTTAATTTTCAGGCTTTGAGAACAACTGGGATAAGAAAGAATGATCCTCGTGTTAAGGAAGTCATGCACAATTTGTACAAGGTGCATAAGGAATCAAATTTTGAGAGCGGTTCCCCAGAAACATTGAAATTGGATAGAAAGACTTTCAAAGAAGTGATTGCGCCTAACATTGTTTTAATCACTAGAGCATTTCGCAGTCAGTTTGTCATACCAGACTTTCAGGACTTTATAAAAGACGTAGAAGAAATATATTGGGCTGCTAAAAGTAACACAGATGGCAAGGTCGCCAGCTACATTCCACAGCTAGCGAGGGCATCGCCTGAAAACTGGGGAGTGAGTGTCTGCACAATAGATGGACAGAGATTTTCAATTGGTAATAATAACACTTTTCTAGACTTTTGTTTGCGATACTTTGTTTGAACAATTAAAAATCGTAAACTTCTATGAGTTCTATTAATTTGTGGTACAATTTCTTTTCAGGTGATGTGAATGTACCATTCACGTTGCAGTCATGCAGCAAGCCTCTCACATACGCCATGGCTCTCGAGACACTAGGCCCTGACGTAGTCCACAAATACGTTGGCACTGAGCCCAGCGGCAGAAACTTCAATGAACTTGTCTTGGATTACAACAGTATGTATATATAGGAAACGCATAACAAATGATACATCAACTAGAAAACACTTGCGCGTCCATCAAACTAAAAATAACGTGCACACTAAGTTTGTTTGGTCAATAACAACATACGAACTCGTGACAACTACGTTACTGTTGTTTGTTATAATGTTTTTCTCTTTCTTTTACAGTGAAACCCCACAATCCTATGATAAATGCAGGAGCAATTTTAGTATGCTCCTTATTGAAAACGCTCGACAAACCGGAAATGACATTGGCGGAAAAATTCGACTATGTTATGTCATTCTTCAGTCGTCTCGCTGGCCATGAAGTGTTGGGCTTCAATAATGCTGTATTTTTATCTGAACGCGAAGCCGCGGACAGAAACTACGCTTTGGGATTTTACATGCGGGAACACAAATGCTATCCGGATAAAACTAATCTTCGTGAATGCATGGACTTCTATTTTCAGGTATTTTTTTTTCGTAATATTTAACGGTACAATAGTGCGTTATTTCAATAAATAACATCTATAACTTGCATTTAAAACATAAACTATTTGTATTCTTTATTCCAGTGTTGTTCAATGGAAGCGAACTGTGATATAATGTCAATCATGGCGGCTACATTGGCTAACGGTGGAATATGTCCCATCACCGACGAGAAAGTTCTTAGGCCGGATTCCGTACGCAACGTCTTATCCCTAATGCACAGCTGTGGCATGTATGATTATTCCGGACAATTCGCTTTCAAAGTAGGACTGCCGGCTAAGTCTGGAGTGTCAGGGGCTATGCTTATTGTTGTCCCTAATGTAATGGGGATCTGCACTTGGTCTCCGCCTCTAGATCCTCTCGGAAACAGTTGCAGGGGCCTCCAGTTTTGTGAGGTAAGTGGACATGTAACATGATTAATAATATTGCCATGCCAATAAAATTTATGCCAGGACAAGGCGATGTTACGAAGATTTCATAACCGTATATTTCTTGTACAGGATCTAATTATGCGCTTCAACTTCCATAAATACGACAACATTCGTTATGCCAGTCACAAAAAGGACCCGCGTCGTTACAAATTTGAATCGACTGGCCTCAGCATCGTGAATCTCTTATTCTCCGCAGCCAGTGGAGATCTCAGCGCACTAAGAAGGTAGCTAATTAAAATATAACATCTCATTGGATTCATTATGTAAAACAGATGATGAATATTTTACGTAATTTTTGTCAGCAAAACTTCAGATTCGTCTCTACTTCCCGTGCCAGTGACTCCTAAAACTCAAGACTGAATAAACAGTCCATCACAAGTAACTCTATACGATATTGTATAGCTACTGTGAAACATGATTTTACATCATTCATATTAAAAAAAGCAAACATGCTTAAAGATTTCTTTGCATTCACCTGGCTTCTCCGAAATATTATTTACACGACACAATTTAATAGTTACACGCTTATCTGGAACTCCTCAAATACAATATTGTTTTTTTGCTTGATTTATCTGTTTCTGAGTGAAATTTCAGTTCTAATGTATTTCTACCTTTAGGCATCATCTCTCGGGCATGGACATGACGCTTTCTGACTACGACGGACGTACGGCATTACATCTAGCTGCAGCCGAAGGTCATTTGTCTTGCGTTGACTTCCTGCTCGCTCAATGCTCAGTACCTCACGATCCTCGTGACCGGTGGGGTAGCCGCCCACTAAACGAGGCCGAGACATTCGGACACACAGCCGTCGTCCAATACCTCAAGGAATGGGAACGCACACATCCCAACGGTACTGATGAAAAATCAGAATCAGCAGTTGATGCTATCCTCGAGGTGAACCCGGAAGCAAACGACGCTGTCAAAGATCCAAGCATACAAGAAATAGTAACACGTAACGGCGACAAAGTGCAGTAAATAATCTCATACAAAGCCAAAATATTTTAAACATGATATAGTCATTTCACTAGATGTTGTACAAAAAGTTATTTGTGAAATTCTGTGTCTTTAGATAAGTGTTTCCGGTTGGGCCGATCGGCCTAATCAATCAATCGATCGAACAAAAGGTCCAATAGTAAAAATCCAACTTTGGGCCAATCGAGTCAACAGGAACCACGACTTCAGGATTATTATAAACGTATTTAATATGTAGCCATGTATTGATGGCGTAAATGCCGCTTCTCTGTTTACAAAATTAAATATAGTTAAAATCAATCATCATAATATTTTAAAAGAATTGATTGTTCTTGTCAGTGTAGTGATTTCCATTTGTATCAACTGCGCATTCTCTCGATTTTCTTCTTTAATTTGTTCCATAACATGTTTTCGGTCTTCCTTTCTCTTCTCTTTTATTATACAAAAAGGTACGCCGTGCCGTATTAACATAAGTAAACAAAAAAATCATTCATCTAGTCGTTTTTGGCAAAAAAATCATTTCGTCTCATTTAAAAATGGAAAACAAAAAATACTACAATATTTTTTGTATCTATTATTTGTATTTTTGTGAGGTTAATTTTATGAACTTTTATAATTGATTTTGGCTGTGATAAACTTTCGAATGACGTATAACTTACATTTTATTTATTGTTCGTTCATCTATGTCTAGTATATAAGTAGATAGATCACAAGCATTTAATATAAAAACCTATATATTTGAAAATTGATATTCAATTCTATTACTACAGGTATTTGTTTTAATAAGTCTGTCTTTCTAAGATCTGATGTTACGGATCATGTTTTAACATGTTTGCCATTCCTACTTTGTAGTGTGTTATTGACTATTAAAATTAATTGCTTCTATTTTTTGACTATATATAACTGTGTTCAAATTAAACATATTGACATTTGACAACTTTAAAGAAACATAACTCATTTTATAGTTATCTAAAATTCCATTAGAGTTATGTAAGCCTACAATTATATGATGTTACACCCCTTAACTTTCTGAGTATAATCGGGTATGTAATAAACCTGTTGTCACATCCTAAATTTAGCTTTTTATGAGTATACTATGGTCGTCTCTTAACTTGCAAATGTTTGATATTACATACACAGCATGAATAAAAATATAGGACAATCCTATTGGGTATTAAGCCTGCTGACACTAAGCAGCTGATGATATTTTTGATTTGAACATGGTTGATACTAGTACTAGAAAATGTTACAGGAATGTTTGACTCATAAATGCATCTCAGATGAAGACAATAAGTATCATAATATAGGATGGATGTTTTAGCTTTGACATTGTATTCCTGCCTCCAAATAGATGTCAATTAAATTGTTAAATATTTGTTTTATTTATATAATTACAAAACCCTTTAATACAAAGTAGAAGCAAAATAAGCATCCTGGAGGTTTCAGTCATATTACCTTTCCTATGTTTTTCATTATAAAGAAAAGAATGGGAAGTGGAAGTGGATTGCATGGGATGCATGGGAAGGAAAACTATTCTCTCCTGTGCATGTCGATTAAAGGTAGGCAACACATATGTAATTGCATGTCTATGGGCAATGACCGCTTGCTCATTTTTTAAATCCTTTATTCTAGTTAAGGTACCATCATAGTAAACTCATTAAATTCATCCTACTCAATGACACACTAAGAAAATACAATATAAATAAATATACAATTTTTTACTAATTTACAATTTATTATTAGTCTACTAGAAATAATACATTAAAAAAATTAATTTTGTGCAGCAGTTACCCGCACTGGGGAAGAAACTAGTCCTAATAATTTACAATCAGCTTCTAATAGAGTTAGGTCAGTGTTAGATCCCAAAAACCTTGATGATAGTTCGAGGTCGCTGATCTGTATTCTAACTCTTGCACCTCTGACATATTCCTCTCCTCGTGTTGTTGGTCTTGTACACACACAGTGAAATTTCCATCCAAAATCTATGTATAAATCATCATTTACTACGTGAAATATTTTACCAATAACAATTTTTCCAACAGGATCTCCTAACTGTAACCAAAAAATATATGAATTAATATGAGAGGAAGAATAGATAGGATAGATGAATGCGAAAGATAATTTTATATTTACATCGACTAGTTTTGAATTCCGGAGTAATGCGGGAAATGTAAAATCTTGAAAATCTTCTTGTTTTATAATTTGTGATTGTTTTTCATAAGCCTTTGCAAAACCTCCAGTTTTAGGGTCAGAGGTATTGTCTGTATTTTCATTTGGAGTTGTAGTTACGCTACACAATCTACGAGGAATTTTAAGAATATTTGAATACTTAGCGCATTGCCGCAATCCTAAATTAATCAACATAATTAAGTTTATTTCTGTTTCTGTTTGAGATTATAATATCCAAAGGTTTATATTAGTATAACCAAAAAATAACTTGTTCTTGTTTTGACATTTCAGTCGTGACAGTTGACAGTACAAAATCAGTTCAGTATCAGATTTAAAAAATCATTAAAAAAATTACTTCCCGCGTTATTAAAAATACAACTATTGAAATAATGAAATAACCCGCTTTTCCCGGTAAATAATTAATTGAATTAATAATGGTTTTACAAAAAATGACCATTGTAAACAGAAAAAACACAAAGTGTTTTACAACTAAAACATCAAAAAACCAACTTTAATAACTTAACGACCAATTCTTATTACAATTAATCAGATATAAAATAATACGTTGCCTTTAAAATCTTTAAAAAATTGAAATGATTTTTATAACCTTTACCCGCGTTTTATATGTGTTGTTTTGTGTGCAATGTCAAGTGTCAAATAAAGTCAACGCGCACGTCAAACGTCACTAACAAATAAGTACAATTACAACATTTTGATAATGTGAATCACTTGATTAAGTTAATAAAAGAATAAAACAGAAAAATGACAGAAGACCAAGACGCTAAAGACTCCCAATCTGATTCGGGCAGCAAAACATTCGTGAACAAAAATAGAGAAACTAAAAAAGCCAAAACCCAACGGCCTCTAACCAAAGTAATTTTGACATTAGATTTATAAACTTCATAACATCTGTGTCCTATTTAGGTTAATATTTACGTCTATTTTTCAGATAATATTTCGACGATTACCTCCTACAATGACGGAGGAGGCATTCTTGGATCAAGTATCACCAATACCAGACCATGACTATTTCTATTTTGCAAAACCCGATCCGTCCCTCGGTAGTAATGTTTACTCCAGAGCTTACATAAATTTTGTTAATGTTGATGACATCTATCTCTTTAGAGACAAGTTTGATGGGTACATCTTTGTGGATGAAAAAGGTTTGTAAATATAGTACTCCTTTATTTTAAAAATAGACCTTTAAATGAAACTAATATGTTCCTTAATTTGCAGGGCTTGAATATGTTGGAATAGTAGAGTATGCCCCATTCCAGAGAATACCCAAGAAAAAGAAGAAAAAAGATCCAAAATGTGGAACTATTGAAAGTGACCCAATCTTTCAAGATTTTATAGAGAATCTAAGTAAAGAACCTGAAACTGAAAATCAACCTAAATTAGAATATTCATATCCAGTTAATGATGGTAAGTAAATATAAAGTAGGTATTACTTAATATGTAAAAAAGGTGAGCAATGATAACTACATTGCTTATAATTAATATATAAAGAAGGAAAAGAAGTAAATATTGGCATAAGATAAATAATCATAATTAAATATCCTAAAATATTGTCTTTTTAATACTTTCTAAAGTAAGTTAACAGTTCTAACTGTTAAGTAAAAAAAAATTCTGTTTGTGCTGCGATCAGTTGAAACAGTGTAGATTTTACTTTTCCATGTTTTCAGGCAATGATAAAAAAGCTCAAACAACACCGTTGCTAGAGTATCTCGCTGCTCGGAAACTGGACAAACGTGGCCGCGATGAAAGACGCAGACGAGAAAATGATAAAAGAAAAATGAGGGTTGAAAGGAAAACAAAAGATGGTACAATTAAGGTAATGATTGTGTTTCCATCTTTTTCTTTTTAAACCTCAATATTGTGCTTTTGTCAACATATAAATAATAGAATAATATTAGATGGCTTTTAGAGACTAAATTTTTGTTTTCCACTGATAGTTTAAAAACAATGGTGTATTTTTTGTTGATAGCAACAACCTTAAAGATTAAGCTTTATTAATAAATCCATAGTGGCTTCGTATAATTATAGATATGCCTGCATTTGATAAACAACCAAATCTTTGACATATCCGAATTAGCTATTATCAATTTTAATTAGCATACTATTTATTTAGCAAGCTGGTGACAACTCGGAAGATGATATCTACAATGATTACTATGATTATTACGACCATAAGTTTGAACAGCACAATTATTGGTACGGAGAACAAAAAGTGTATCGCAAGACAAAAGTTAAATCTGTTCCAATATCTGATGTAAAAGTTTCTCATGGCTCTGATGAGTTTTTAAGTACAGATTCCGATTGGGATAGTCACTTTCCCGCTTTGACAATGAAAAGTCATAACACTTTTACCTTAACATCTGGAAAGTATTGTGATAAAAAAGAAAATCAAGGCGGTATCCCAAATAGTGGGGGTGACACATATTTTAAGGTCTACTTTCGTACCTTAATAATTATACAGTATTCGAAATGTAGCAGTAACGTAAATTTTAACATCCTGTATAGATTGTTTTCAGTAGCTACTAAGTAAAATTAGTATTATGAGTAATATTTTAACTTAACAAGACAAACAGCAATAGTCATAAGGGACAATTTCGTTAAATTAGAACTGTGCTATAAAATTACCTAAGGAAAAGCAATTTTTGTGACAATCTTGTTCATATGCTGTTGTTATATAGAATTGTGTATAACCGTTATGCTTAATCTATAAGATGTGTTGTAGTAGGTTAATAGTTTTATTTACTTACACTTTGATTGTATAAAGTAGATTTATGAAAATTGTTAGTGCTTGGTCATACTGAACTCAAAATTTCAAAATATGATATTTTATGAGAGTGACGTCAGAGCTCGCGACTTACTCGAGATTTCGAGGTAATTTAACCAATTGGAATTGGTTTAATTTTTGATTTAGGTACGAACAAGCACTAAAATTCACAATAATTAGGAAAAAAAATATATTGATAATGACTAAAATTATTAAAATTTAATTACAGGAGGATGAAGTAGTAGATAACGATATTAAGAAAATAAAATCCAGAGAATGGGACAAAGAAAAAACTATATCAGAATCTAAAGATGATGATATCAAACAAGAGACCAGAGATGGGACAGTATTCGAGTCGAGAACATATCGCGAGCAACGTAAACTGATTGGTGCAACGCTTGTGGATAAAAAGAAAAAAATGGATGGAGATAAAAAGGAATTTGCACCGAAAGATGAAGATTTGCCCGAAGATTGTGACAAGAATTTGAAAAAAGATAAGAAAGAGAAATTCAAAGAATCACCGCGCGATCAAAAGAGCAAGAAATACAGTGATACAAGAAAAGAGAGGGTTAATAAAACTGATTTTGCTAAAACAGATAAACAGGCGGTAATTAGCAAGATGATGTTGTCAGAAAACAAAAGTAAATCTCATAATTATGATGATATCAAACCTTTTACTCAACTTCCTCAAGTGAAAACTGATGATTTGACTAGAATTATCGAAGGAATGGATAGGAAAGTTAAATTGGATGATTCACATGAGAAGAAAGAATCTAATCATAGTACTGATAGCATTGGTGTTATTAAGCAAAGGAGAAATAGTTTGGACTCTAACGACGTACCAATGAAAGAAGAATCAACATTGAAGCGTCAGAAATCACTTGACTACAGAGGTAAATCTACTGACAGAGAAGAATCTGAAGAGGTTGATAAAGGAGAAAATACTGAACGTCGCGCTGAACGGAGGATTAGGAATAAGGTGAGATTTTCACTCTCTAAAGTTGTTTATTTATTAATAATAATCAATAATATGACTTACACATGGAATTTTTTATTTTGTAATAGTTGGCAAAAATATTTACTTATATATCATCATCATCAGCTCACTATACGTCCCCACCGAGGGGTTCGGAGCCTGCCATGAATTAAGGGTAATTAGGCCATAGTCAACCACGCTGGCCAAGTGCGGGTTGGTTGACTTCACACATATCTTTAAATTTCTTCTCAGATATGTGCAGGTTGCATCACGATGTTTTCCTTCACCGTAAGAACGTCGGATAAATGTACATATGTAAATCGGAAATCGAAAAACACATTGGTACATGGCGGGATTTGTTGTACCCAGAACGTGCAGATTGCAAGTCAAGCGCTTGACCACTGAGCCACCGACGTCTTACTTATATATAAATGGTGATAATATTACAAAAGTGATAATCATGGTTATTGTATGGCATAAAATTTAAATTATTGCTATCAAAGTATTTTTAGACATAGTTAGAATCCTTTGGCGCGAATGGCGCGATTTCGTTACCAAGTCAAGTGTCAGATTGATTAGTGAGGGGACATAAACGTCGATATTTTAATAAGGCTAGTGTTGTGCCGATACACCGTTACGTTTGATTTTCCTCCTAACAGTATGAAATGATAATATTTTTCTATCTTTCTTTTCAGGATCGGCCAAGCCTGGTTATATATCAGCCAGGAATGGGTAAATTCAGTAAACAACGGCTCGCAAAAGAAACACAACCGAATACAACAAAATCATTGACCGATAGTGAAAAAAAAGACACTTGAGAAGACTGTCACATCACCCAATATTTGGACAACAATCAACGGAATTACCCTGAAGCTGGCATTCAATACAAGTCATGCAGAAAGAAGAGGGACCTTTGAATATGCCAACTGACGGACGAACTGTCCCTGTTTATTCAGACCTGTTATTCTTATCTGTTTAGTTTACACGCAATATGAAATTGTCGATTTTTTTTTTCATAACATTTTAATCATGAATTTGACCGCATTGAATGCTTCATACTATTAGCTTGTGAAATTTAGTTTGGTTTGTTTAATTTCATTTAAATATATTTCATTTTAAACTGGGATCGATGTTTTTTAATCTATGCCTCTTACCCTATGCTTTTTAGGTTAGGGAATGATTGATGTGTTGGCTTTAGTAAAACGTAACCTTGTTGGGATGCTTTGTGTGTATGAAATTAATGTTTAGTGATTTACTAACATTTGTGTATGGCATTGTTTGAATGAAATATAACTCATTGCATTTAGTGCAGTAATTTGTAGAATTTAGAGTTAGACTTTATAGTGCGCCTACTTAAATATATTATTTAATTTATGATTTGAAGAAATTTCTATTTTTGTATTTAAGTACTTAATGATAATGTTATTCATATTTTTAAATGAATCGAAAACTCGTAAAATTGTTGTGATAGAACTATAGAGATTGGTTTTCTATTAAAAATTAGATGCACGGCTAAACATGCTATAAATTTGAATTTGAGACAGGGTAAAACTCATTTATTTATTATGAAAAAATGGTATAGCTAATTAGGGATGAAGTTGATAGTGTAGCACCGTTGTAAGGTTTTCTATTATAAAATCACATTGTCATGCCTTGATTATATTTTCGACCCTCTTAGCATTCTTGGATTGACGTTGCAGCAATTTTTCGTAAGTTGGTAGCCTTGATCGGGAAAGAACCACAAGCTCACAATCTGCATCATAGACTAAAAATATGATAAGCTCTGTGGTTTGCAAGAATTACAAATTTAGATTATGCTTAGAACAATAATGAATGAAAAATAATTAGATTATTTTTTGGTTTCTTAATAAAACAAATACTGTTCATATTATAAATGTATTTTTTTCTTTATCACAGTAGCTAAAAAATATTAAAAGCATAGTTAAACATATATTATAAATTTAACATCTTTGGCAAATGAATTGTAATTACCTTAGTTATATGTGTATGATAAAGTTATTATGTTATTTATTATAGTTATATATTAAAAAGTGATTTACAAAAATGATTTTGTACAGTGAAATTAGTACGTCTAATCAGCCTTTATAAGCCTCTATATTGTTTTCATACTTAGTTAACTTAACTAAACTTAAATAAAATAATTCGAACATATCATTTTACAATTTTGAAGTCGATATTGATTAACAACATATAAACAAAGTAAAATTTCGAACACTAATGTGAACATGAACTAAAAATTAACATTTTTTTTAGTTAATTTAACAATTCCTATTTAATTCAGCCACGTCCAAACAAACAAGAAATATTCCCATCAATTTGCAAATAAAACATACGAAAAAATTGACAAAATATGTCTTGAACATCGTTTTTACATTAAGTTATTTATTGATTACGCTAAATATATAACACAACCACTTAACTGTCTTTTAGAAACAAACAATAACAGGCTAATAAAATCTTTGGTAATTAGGTAGCTTTATTATCAAAACGCCTGTCTATAAATATATATTTATCCCGCTCATTCCTTTCAACAAAACAGAGATAACAATACAGACATGTTTTAACAGGTATTTCGGCAGTATAAATTTACGATTACAAATATCTACGTAATATTTCTTTGTGGTTGTTTATAGACTGCCAATAATATGTCATGTAGATGTGACAACATCTACTGAAATCTTCATTTCATTTGTCACACTACAACAAAACACTAACGTTTTACGTTTGGTCCAACATCTATCACACTTTTATTCACCAGACATTCAAACAAAAATAGTTTTTAGTTGCGATTATCTGATATTTCTATCATTCTATAATTCAATGATAAATTCAGGACTTCTCTAAATATATATGTCTATAATCTAGTACAGTGCAAGGGGGTGAAATCTCCTATCCTGCCTCCTTGGTTTTAAGAGACGTCATTAAGAAGTACCGTGGACGCATTCTTAACACCAGCGGCGGCTGCAGTCTTTTCTTTGGCTGTCCTCTTTGTTTGCGCGACGTTATGTCGATGCATAATGTATAGGAGAAGCACAAAGCCGACCAGAAAGCCAGCCAGACCTCCCCCTATAGTTAACCATGTTCTGCGAGACGTTTTTGTATTTTGAACCTGAAATGAAATTTATTATCTGTGAATCTATTCACATAGTATTACAAATTCCGCTAAGAACAAGGAAATTGATGCATTTGTTTAGTTAGTAGTCCACTAATATTGTTCCTTAACTTCCCTTTTGTTAATAGCTGTAAGAATATTGTATTCACTTGTTCAAGTAATATCTTGTCCATTATTTAATTGTGTTCTGTGACATTAAGTTACTTACTATAAGTTACTAAGTTAGTTAATTTAGTTAAGTCACGTAATAAAAATAGATAAATGTAGCACCTGTGTATAAACTGATTCACAAAGATGGTAACTTGCGTTTAACGTCGCTGATATTTCTGGCTTTGGACAATTGTCGAATTCTGAAAAAAATCAAAATATCTGTTATAAAATACTTAGAAAAGTCATTGAATCTAATCGCTGTTAATTACAATGATAAAATAGGTTAAAGTTCGATTAGATAATATTTTGTTGTCATTTTAATATAGGTTCAAATGATGTAAATTTGGAATGCAGTAATTGGAATTATTATTTTTACATACTTTAACAATAAAAACTACAAATATATATAATTAATCTATAAAAACTGGATATGTAACACTAACCTCTTGTATTTAACCTGTTGTAATCGCTTAGATGGAAGTAAACATTTTTCTCTTGAAACCAAATAACGGTCGCTTTTAATTCGCATAATTTCAAATTGTCTATGGATTCAGTTAAATCGACTTTAGCCAATTTGCACATTGTACTAAAGTGTTGGGGTTCGAGTGTTGTTAAAGGATTATGTGAGATATTATACAGGACTAAATTAGGTAAGATACCCCAGTCGGGTAACTTATTTATCTTACAATCTGACAGGTCTAGTAGTTCCAAAGGTGCTTGTATTGGCTTCGTAATAGTCAGATCTTTCAAGCTCATGTGAAGCAATGGGTTACCATTTAAATATAACTTTCTTAATGATGGCAGCTGGAATATTGAATCTGGCAATGCTAGGATAACATTTTTAGATAAATCTAATGTTTCAAGATAGGAAAGTGACACGAAGGCATTTTTATCGATCATGTATATTTGATTTTCAGCCAAATAAAGGAATTTTATACTGGAATACGAAGATAGAGTATCGGCGTGTAATTCTTGCAACTTGTTGTCACTGAAGTCGAGAATCTGTGGAATAAAATATGATATATATAAAAAAATCATCGGTTGCTTAATGAAAAATAACAGAGCTGTTAAGAATTCGTAGTATCAAGATTATAAGCAAGAAATAATTTAGCTAATCCCTTAATATTAATCATCATGTAAGGAAATGTATACAAAGGTTTAACAACGCCTATTTTATTTTTAGGTTGTTATTTTTCTCAACTGTTTTAAGACATTTTTAGACTATGCACACATTATTGTTGTTATAACCGACATTATCTTTGTGGAATGAAGTGACAATACGGCCAATTAAACACACGTTGAAGTATAATGAGGAACGATAAGATAGCCTTTGAGTATCTCGATAAGGTACGTTATCGTAGCGGCTTTTGTTATGATACGGTGCGAGCAACAATCAAATAAAAAATTTGATGGAAAACAATTACAGTAATAAAAGTAACTTTTTGATAACATCTGCTTTGATTCGTTATAATTATAATAATTTATGTCAATTGAAAACTAAATTTTGGTCTTTTTTAAGGAAACTCAATTTTATATTTTCTTCTATTCTGTCTTGTTTAAGCGCGGATCAAAACTATTTTTTGGATCATGCTGTGTTATCTACAGTATGTTGTTTTATGACGTACGAGCTATTAGTGGTTTGCATACCTCAATGCCGCCTCTGAGAGAAGGTATCTTCGTGAGTCGTAGACCTCCGCAGTGGGCTCCAAGCATGTCGTACGCGTGCTCGTAAGTGCATCTCGTTGGCGCTGACGCTAGCACTTCTAAGTCTGTTAACTCCTTACAAGAGACATTTAACGCCAACCCCAGCCAGATGATGTACAATCTACAAAATAACAAAATAATGCGTTTATTTTTGGCTATTTTCATATTATTACAAGTTAGGTGAAATTACGTTTTTCAATAGCACATATGTTTGTTTGTATGTGGGTTTGCACTAAGGTTTGACTATTTTATTGCTACAGAATATACTTTTATTGTTTTTTTTTTAAAGTAATTACTTTTTTTATGAAAAATGCAAAAGGAATTTTCCAAACATAAGTCAAAATTTTTAATGAATAGTATGTAAAAATGAATAATCAGAGTTTATCATAGTATACTCTAGTTATTACTTTCCTATTTGATTGAAAATATTCTACATATAGTACATACTATTATAGATTTATAGTTAAGCAGTAGCTTAACAAGAATTAATGATAGATTAGATTTCTAATACTTTTAAATCTAAGCAAATGACTGATTACCACAAGTGATAAGTAAAGATTCATTAAACTTAATAATAATTATTAGAAAAATCATATTTCATTTAGATTAGATTAAATTATGTCGAAATTTTAAGTACTTAATATCAATAAAATCAGGAATCGAACCTGGGCCTTCAAATAATACGACCAATACATCGATTGCCTATATTTTATGGTGTTTACAATTAATTGAGTATTTTTGCAACTGCCAACACATCGATAGGGTACTAAGAGTATTATTTCTAGTTTTAGACATTATTAATTACAATCATTTGGCGCGAATGACGTGCTTTCGTTACAAAGACCAGTGTCAGAATGAATAGTGACGGGACACAAACGTCGACATTTTAGTAAGGCTAGTGTTGAGTCAATACGATGTTCTTCTTAACACTAGATATTATTACAGTATTAGATCTAGATTTGAATCTAGATTATAAACATTAGTATTTAGTATCAGTACCTTAGGATAAATATAATTAAGATAATTTGAAAATAAAAAAATCTCAAAGATATAATTACTAAATGACCCGATTATCGCAAATGTTTGGAAAGTTATTAAATAATTATAATTTCCAAATAATTATTACTTTGTACCGTGATCAAATATTTACTTTTCCTCGGATGTCTTTAGATCGATTCGTAAATACAGAGCTTGTTTCTTGATAGAGGTTATCGTTAGACCTTTAGTCTTCCAAGTAAATGTTATCTTATAGGTAAATATGAATAAACTGTCAGTAATATGAATAAATGCTTGTATTTGTTCCCTTAATGTGCAACAATATCTCTCTCCCTCTCTCTCAAGGTGCCTTTAATGTAGGTTGGACGTCAACTCAGCGAATTTTTGCTGGTCTTGTGCCAAGCGAAATAAATGTTCTACCCTGGTAATATTCGTCCATTCCTTGATATTTAAAGCAACAATATAGATAAGGAAAACTCCGATATAAATAGTTCTTTTTCAAATAAAAAAAAACTGTTGATTAGTGCCTTCCATGTTTTTATGTCAATCGATAGTGTATACAATTGAATCTTGTAGGACTATTAAATGTGTTACATTTTGTTGTATTCCGCAAGATTGTTGTTGATATCGTGAGTGGAATTTGTTGCTTAATTCACGGCCGTATTTCAATTTTCCATATCTACGTGTGTTACGAAAACCTTGTACCGTACGGTGTTACCGTGCGATAAAATTTGATAAATTATTGTTTAAAAACACATAACTACTACAGTAAAGGAAAATATCAAAAATTAATTAATTTAATATCTTTGTATTTGATAGAAGTAGGTGTTTTGATGAAATTAGGGTAGACAGAGCAATGCTAAAACTCTTCCATTCTTTATAATTGATCCTAAATGTAAGAAAATTATAATCTTACTAATAATATAAATGCGAATGTTAAGATAGTTACTAGATATCTCCAGAACAGCTCAACGTATTAATTTGGCCTAGAAGTAGAATATAGGACGGAAGAACACATAGGCTAATATGTAAATTCCAGGCGGACGAAGTCACTGACAAAAAATTCTGTTGAATATTTTATTGTGATTGGGCACAGATAAATCACCACTATTTCGTGGGTTTGCTCATAACACCTGCTTCTTCTGTTATTGGTTAAATTATCTTGTAGGATGTTCAAAAGAGAAGTTTCTCGTTTTAACTAAAATGAGATAATATAGAACGAAACCCTATACTGTGAAGTAGGTGGAGTAGGATGTGCCTTTGATAGTCTACTGAATTCACGTAATGTAAACAAAGTTAAATATAGTACGGGGAATCGCGAAATTAATAACACACTGATGACAAACTATTGCGAAAAATGTTTCCTGAAAACCCTAGAATTTGCCGCACCTATAAATTAAACGCGTCACACGGTGACATTGTAATACGCGTTCTTAATGTATTGTCAGCACAGATAATGAAGATAATTGAGGTTAAATTATTTGAAAATTAGTAGGTTTAAAGTAATAGAATAAATAATGTTGTGGTGGCAAGTAATGAGTGGTGATGTGATGCGCTTGTCGTCCGTGCAGTTTTATGTGCATCAGTCATGAGTCGAACTGTCATGGCCTCTACAATACTTCCTATCTTCTGTCAATCATTTTATTATGCGCAAAAGTTAGCACAAACTTTCATACTCTCATTTCATCAAAATTAATCAGTAATTGTATCGTTTCGAAAATATACATTGGTAACTAGCTGTTGCCCGCGACTCCGTCCGCGCGGAATTAAAAAAAAAAAATAGTCAATAAAATTCAACTTGAGTCTACATTTTATTTAGAAAACGTTTATGTTTAAAAAGAGAAGGGATTTTTAGTAGGGGTTTTCCGGCAATTATTCGGATTTTTCTCACCTTTCAAATCTTCCCTAGACCTCCACGAACATTTCAAGACCAAGACAAGATAAATCCGTGTAGCCGTTCTCGAGTTTTAGCCAGACTAACCAACAGCAATTGATTTTTATATAATATATATAGAGATAATTATTGATAGTTTACTAATCGTAAATGACAGTTTAATTCGTGCTGGCAAATATGCCTTTTCATTCGCTACAAAGGAAGAATTTATTAGAAAAAAAATTGGGTTTCAATTTAATATAAATTGTACCAATATGTTTGTTGTATTTTCATTCTCAAGTTCTAGAATTAAAAATATAAACGAAAATATTAAACATGAAATTAGGGGTAGAAATGCCCCTTAACCTTACTTAATATTTTTTTTTAATTAACAGAACGTTCTTCCTTAAAATGTATAATTCGTACGTAATTTACTGTAATTGGCCATGGCCTAGATATAACTAAGATATAAAACATAATATCTTAAACAACGTTGAATTTGATAAAGTATCAAGGTTAATATTCGCAGTTAAAATACAAATAAATGTTCTAAAATATATCGTATTTGAACAAACTCAAAGAAAAAAGAAGCAATAAACTACTAAACTGCTCAATAGTAAACTAGAAATTATAAATGTTGCAATGAGTTTTATTAAGTATCTAGCTGTCGCCCCCGACTCCGTCTGCGCGGAAATAAAACGAACTTAAAAAAAAAATTCTCAAACTAAAAAGTAAAAAAATAATGTCATGAACACCCTCGAAAGTAAGAAAATTCTCTTCATTCTTGTAATATGTCTATATTGTACAATTATTGTTATGTCGGAGTCGGTGCCGGCCGAGGATAAATTCAATCATCTACCTCTGCATACACCATTTTATATCTGAGATGTCTTAACCTTGTTACTTAAGCCGTTACGGAGATACCTTCTAACAGACATACATCCAGCCATCCAAGCATGTAAACTTTCGCATTTATAATGTTAGTAACTACTGTTTGGAGCAATGTAACTTTAAATATTGGTGTATTTTACTTCATTGCGGTCTTGAATAGCAAGTAGTATGTATAGGTTTATCCTACCGCTCAATTGATGTGGATCTTACAGGCGTCCTAATTGTAGAAAGGTCAAATTAATTTCTTTTAATTGACCAACGTCGCTTGACATCGCCTTGTTGATGGAGTTCGCAGAATCGGCACTGTTGACTCATTTAACTTCAAGAATATTTACTATCAGACTTGTGAGAAAGACATCGTCATAGGGATTTCTGGTTAGGTAATTTATTAACCACTAGTTGTCGCCCGCGACTCCGTCCGCGCAAAATTTCGTCCAGATTATTTTCTACATCTGTGCCAAATTTCATCAAGATCGGTTCATCCTTTCAGGAAATACCTTGTAACAAACATCCATCCATCCAAGCAACGTTCGTATTTATAATATTAGTAATGTATGAGAGCAGTTTAAGTCAACATCTTAAAAAAGCGTATTTCCTAATTGTATAAGATATTATTTAATAGTATTTAATATCAGTTGAAATACTCATTACTAGCCTTTGGCCGCGATTTCATCTGCTTTGAATTTAAAAAAATCTAGTAATTAATATACCCTAACGTTACTTTGTGATTTTTCTAGTAATTTTTGAGTTAATTCGGTACATACATAAAGACAAACCATTCCTCTTTCTTATAGTAATGTAAAAGTGTAGATTTGTACTGAATTTGACCTGTAGTTATTACCAATTTGTAAGTTTAAATTGCTTGTGCATGTAATTTTCATTAATAATAAGTACATGGCATGTTTCTATCTCTTTGTTATGAAATCCTTAAGTAAATTTTAGTTCGCGGGACATGAGGACTTCAATGATCCATATAACGGAAGCTGCACATATTGTGAGGGACACTCCTGCGCGGTGTGCGGCAACCGTGGCGGCACAATTGTATGATTAATCTTTATCATTCGCCCACCGCACACGCCCCTACTAATGTTAAACATAAGAAAAATACATTAAAATGCAATTAATCAATTTTTAGGTTAAGAATTATAATAATGGTTGTATTTAATTTAATAAATACGTGTTATTTTTGAAATCTATTAAATTTAGTTGTAATAACTGTTATTGGTTTAAGTTTAAATAAATTTATGTACTGAAAACAGCAAAACTTCAGTCTTAACAGTCGACTTGTATTGTTAATTATTTCGGTTTATTACACGTGCGTAAGAAAATAATGTGTCATGTACGAAAATGTCGATTAGATAAAATTGATTCATTGTTTTTCTTTGAATAGAATACGTAACGTTATCGCGATATTGTTTATAGCAAAGTTCAAATCAAATGAAAAAATGTATTAAAGAAAAAAAGTACTCTCTCGCCTGTTGATTAATTATGCTAGCGTTAGGCGTAGACCTTTAACTTTGTCTATTTGGAACTATACGTCGAAAGTCCTACGACGAATAGCTACGACAGAAAAACAAGCAAAAAAGATGTGGCAGAAGAATATTTATTCTTTATACCTTCCTCATTTAGTTTTCTATAACGCTTTTTAAGTTTTTTTACAAACGCTTGTTTCATGTGCTAAGATTTAATTTAGAGTTTTAGGAAGTTAAGCAATACTTTTAAATTAATTTTAAAAATTTAAATGTTCTAATTTCAATTGAATTGCTTTATACTTAATCGTTTTCTATAATTAATTTGTGGTTTTGCGGAATCATTAATGATGCTACGATTGTTAAAAAGTAATTTATTCCCTAGTAACAAAAACTATCTTTTAGCACGGAAATAACTTTTTTCTCCAGATACAAAGGAAAATAAATTTAGCTAAGAGAAAAAGATAAATAAATTATATTTTACCTTATCATTTTGATTTTCATTTGTTATGCGAAACCGATATCACATAATATCACACTAAGATGCACATGATCACTTTAAACACAATAAGGCACTATGGAATCGTCGCACAGGGCAGTCACATCGACTTACTTCGGGGGCCGCAATCACCGGCGGACGGCACTCGTTCAATTGATTCAATTAGTTAACTGCTGCTCTGTTGTATTCCTCCGCAACGAGATGTTCCTTACTCGGAGGATCAAACGTTACTGTGGCCGCGGTAATCTCTTATCAATCCTTCTAGCACCGACAGAACTCCTATCGAAACAATAAGTAATCAGAAACAATGGCAACAGCCGAATATCTATTATTTTCGTAGATAGCCGCGATATCTGAATGCTCCGATTGGTTGCTTGATTATGTTTGCTCTTGAGACGTTAACGAATTCAATGCATGATAAGTAATGCGTCTCTTTGTGTAGACGAGTCAATATGCTCGTCAATAATTGAGATATCAGGTCATCATCGTAAATAGGTAATTATGCAGCTACTTTGTGCCAACGATAATTAGGGACAGTTAGTTTTATTTAATTGATAATATGTTCTTTTTACGCAAAAATAACCGTTAATGCAAGGCTATAACTAAAATTGGACGTTAGAAACACGACATATAAGTTATAACTATTAGATAGATTTTCTACTAGAGATTCAGTATTAATTAGAGTTAGTATCTCCTCAGTGTAGCGCTAATAAACCGTAGTGTTACATAGTAATAAAAAGTCTATGCTCTTTGTATTATGTATTTTTTCTTCATAATTTGTAGGATCGTAAATACATATTTAAATCCATAAAAGAAAAGTGAAAATAGTTTTTTTTATACCGATCGAATTAGTGAGATGCCTAAGCACTCGAAACCCACTAGTATGTATTCGTAGATGTATAAATGTGGTTCAGGCGAGAGAAGACCGTGCTGAATAGAAATTTATAATCTCTACCTACCCTTTAATTTACGGACGTATTTGTGTTGTTGATATTTTATCTTGAAAGAAAAGACAGTAAAGTGTTGATTGTATTTATATTTTACATTTTATTATTTATTGAGCAGTATTAAAAAATTACTAAAGAAAATTCAGAATTGGCTTCTGAAAAAATTATATTATCTTTATCGATGTTGCCATTGTAGGAATTGTAATATGTTATATACTCTGAATTATAAATCGAATTCAGTGACAGTGACAATTTTATTTATTTGACAAATTTGAAGCTTTTGCGGCTTTTTGCTAGTGTTTTTTGATATCATATCACAGTGTAAACAATTTACGTTTTACAAATGTAAGAGATCTCCCATTTTAATACAAAATGAACGCTGGAAGCTTATACGTGTCTACTTGCCGGCTGATAATATTAGCGGATGCCGCTGACAAAAGTTCTTGGACCGATTTATTTCGTTTGGTCCCTTATTTACGTCAGTCATTGTCTTGCACAGTTTGTGGTAATCTTCTTGTAGAACCCTGTTCTCCGAAGAACTCTAGTTGCCAGCACCATGTTTGCAAAAAGTGCAAAGGTGGTAAAAAGAAGTTGAAACCATCGTGCAATTGGTGTAAAGACTATGAAAACTATTCCGAAAACATGAATTTACGAATACTTTTGCAGTGTTATAAGAAGTTGTGTGAATATTTCATGAGTACAGATGTATACAAAGTTTTATTAGAAGAGGATGAAATTCCTACTGGTGTAAATGGTGGGACAGTAGCAAGTTCTGGCTTAATCGATTTAGTGCAGGAAGCGGCTGGTTACAATGATGATTATCAAAGTGGTGCTGCCTTATCAAAGTCAGAATATAGTATTTTACCTTGTGTTTATACAAATACTATATCAACTCAAACACAAGGAGCATCAACATCAAGCAGCATGGAAGCAACATCTAGTAATGAACCTTCAACCTCAAAGCCAATGTCAAACGGCACATCACTCTATTCTGTTATGTATGCTGGAACTGGCAATAAAATTACAATAAAAAGAAAAGCAGTTGAAGAATCAGAATCGCCACCACCAGATGAGCCTCCTCCGAAAGAGAGCAAAGTAAATATCATTTTAATTATAATTTACTTTATAATTTCATTTAACTTTTAAGTTGCAGTTTAAGTAAAATAAATTTTTGTTTCACTTTTGATTTTTTTAGTCTCGTCGCGGTGAATCAGGCTTTAAAAAACCATCTAATAGGTCTCGTAGTTCCGCAAGCAGCAAAAGAAAAGGTTGCCGCTGTGGTAATGCCACCGCAACTCCGGGCAAGTTGACTTGCTGTGGCCAGAGATGTCCCTGTTATGTTGAAAGTAAACCCTGTACTGAATGTAAATGCAAGGGTTGTAGAAATCCGCATAGACCAGATGGGTTAAAGGTATACATTATTTCAATTTCATGAGAAAGAAATCAGATTTTTTTGGCTTGCGAGTTCTTTTTGTGTAACAATACTTTCACTTGTGACACAACCTAACACATTCAGTGCCACCAACTTGCCTGGCGAGTTTACTTTCTAACAAAAATGTTCTATAATGGAATATGTTAATGAGCCTTTTGGTCTATGGTCATTTTCTACAGGCAGGTTAAACTTAAAAGGACTTCTATTTTATATGTAAAAAAATGTTTATTGCTTAATTTCAGGTAAGGCCACATTTATCTCCAGTGGACTCTTTGCAAATGGCATCAAGCTCCAACCCAGATACTTCCCCATCATTCTCAAGCTCAATGGACAGTATTGACACTGACGCAATGACTATGGAAGAAATGGAGGAATCCCTCTGCTCTGAACTTAGTTCTTCTGATACAAAAGGTGATTATAATATTATTATTTTTATCAGACAGATATTATTTTTTTCATAAAAATACTTAACATGAATTTACTAGTTTTTCCTGGGATTGAAAAAAGTAAAATTGTTCTTCCAGACAATCTATACATCTGTGCTAAATGTCAGTAAAATGTATTTTACTATTCTGGACCTTTATAATAACAAACTGGATGGATGTTTATTATTACAAAGGTCCATTCATGCATTCAACATTTGTATGCATACCTAGAAATAAAATTGATCAATATTTATCATTATAAAATCTGTCTTGTTAACATTGTTAATAAACTTTGCTAACACAAATAATTTCAGGTTCAGTATACTCAACCCAGTTGCCTGAAGTATCCCCATCTTTACCAGCCTCAATAATGATGTTGGATGAAGACCAAGACTCTGCTGATGATGACGAGAGTTCAGATTACAAATGCTCATCGTCAAATGAGAATAATGAACCCGAAGCAGTATCACCACAATCAGGAGACACTCAGGATGCTTACAGTGATGTTGAAGTGGATGTATGACATGAACTTTCTAGTGAAGATAGTCAAGATCTGCAAGTAAGTGAGTAACCGAAATCCAGTGCTGTACTGTTTATCTCAGTTTGTTATAAGTGATTTCGTATATTCAGTGACAGTTTGTTATACTGTTTTTATTTAAGACTAGTTTTCGATATGCCGCATTAAATATGTATGTTATTATTTTTCAATCTATCAAATTGTAGTGCAGGGAAAACTATGAGAGCAGAAATTCTCTCTGGTTTTCATGAATACCAAAGTTTCTCAAAACCTTTTCAGTAATTAACCAACTAATGTAAGATAATTTTTATAACATTAATTCTTAACAATATGTAAGCTTGATATCTAGAAAAAAATAAATGTTAAAGCTTAACTAATTATGCATTAAATAGTTTAGAAACTGCGAAATAGGGATAAACACCGTTTGGTAGATTAAAAAAAAATATTTCATATAGTTCCATTGTCATTTACATTAAAGTAAGATAATGAGTAGTATTGTAAAATCTAGATTGAGGTGTTTAAATATCTAATGAAATGTAGTTTGCTTAAAATAAATGTATTTGATTTGATGAATTTGTTAAAATATTTAACATGTTTTTATTATATTGATCATATATAAATGTTATACATTATAGTTGGTAATAATTATATTGGTAATTATTGGGAATTTTGTATTACCAAAGATTACGTTATATGGTAGATGCTTTTGTAGAGTTTAAAAACTCTTAAATTTTTGCATTATTTAGTTAAGCTAATTAGAAAACTGATTTTTTTCACTGCCAAGATATATTCCTATCTCAGTTTTTCCAAGGGAATAGAGAGGGATAACCATATGTTCTTTTATATATCATTCTTATTGTAAATACAGTCATCATTTCCTTATAAAAAAAAGAGTGTTAATACAATAGTGTATTTATTTCATGTTATTTTATTTTATAAAGAAATTAAAATAATAGGTCCTAAGATATTTAACGTAAATCATATGTTATAAGTAATATTGTCTTTATCGTTTTGTAAATATTTTGTAATAATTAGATGTGACCGCTTGTTTTATGCTGTGATTATTATTATTTGAAAAGTGAGTACAATTATAATGAATATAATTTACCAAGTCAGTTTTGATATTTCTGGAATACAAAATGTACCGTAGATAAAAAACTGTGTAACTGTGTAAACTTAATAATAGTGTAGTTTACGGCCATAAAATTTTAGTTTTTTTTTTATGTTTATGTTTAAATTAGTTTTTATCAAAGAAAGGCCTGGTCTTTGGTTTTGATTGCAGAATGCAGACAGCTTTAATTGACGATTAAATAGTCCATTCCATTGCATTTGTATCATCACTTTGTTTGTAAAATTATATCGTAAAGTTTTTATTTATTTCTGAATGACTACATAGTATTCGAAAACTTCTTTATTATTATAACTATTAAAACTCTTAGCATAGAAAGCTGCTTAAATGATCGATGTTTTGTATTTTATGCATATATTGGAATATTTGTAAGATGAACTAGAAATTAAATTTATTGGATTCTTAAAGGTTAACTTAGTTAGGGAGCTAGGGCGATGTTGATGTAACCATTTAAATACGCAATAAAAAATCGATATTATTATTTAGTAGCGATGAGTCCTTATCGAATCGAATCAAAATAACTTATTGTAAATATTTTTAAATCATTACTTCGCTTTCAAACTAATATTAATATTATTAGTAATTAAAATGTAGTATTTTGTAGGTTATGTATCTACTATTCGCACCAAAAGTCAACTGTCACAACATATTTAGAATGTTATTGTTGACTTTGTTTTTTTTTTTCAATAAGATTGAGAGAGATGGCAATAGCTTTTAATCTTTGTCAATGTGTGCAACATGTATTATTTTTGTAATATTGTCATTTTTTATGCGGACCATTATATAAGTTGTTTTTTTATCTGTTTTAGATAATTATAAGGTTTTTGTTTATTTATTCCTTGAATTTTTAGTCTTTTTTAAGATGTTAAATGATTTTAATTATGCATGTATTACTTACTTTAAGTATAGAAATCATGAAATTCGAAGTTTGCTGTTACACAAACTTAAAATAGTTTCCCGTTTGCTTTTTGTATAAATTAAACATAAAGCACTTTTAAGTACAAAAATAGATGTATAATTTTTTCAAGGATGTAATTTTATATAGAAAACGATTCGCTTACAATAGCTTATGTCAGATTACTAAATTAGATGAAAAAAATAAATAACACTTAGATGTTTTTGTTTTAATTAAGAGTTTTATTTTAATTAAGAGTTTTATTTTAATTATCACCAATTTTTTAAATACACACAGGGAGTTGATGCAGTTAATTAGTTAAAATCAATTTCTAAACCTATATAAATATTTTTACTCACACGGAACAATTTCTTCTAAAGACCATATTCTTTCGAATTCATTTTTCAAAGCTTGAATTACAGCACAATCAGATGTTAATAGTGTTGAATCCCTATTGCAATTAACTCGTGATAATTCATAATCTAAAGATCCAAGAACAGCCACAGCATCTTTACATTCATCAATCGCGTCTATTATAATAAATTCGTGTTCCAATTTTGGCGCGAAATTAACTATCTTCACAGAAATTCCTTGTTTCCCAAGTTCTTGCAACATATCTGAGTTGTCGGCGTTGTATAACACTATTCGAATAACCACACAATTTCTCTTATGTACATTTATTAAACATTTCGATATAGTATCACTTTTTAAAGTTGGTAGGCAAACGTCTAGCGAACGACAGGCGTGGACTATCACATAGTAAATGCACAAGAGGTTATTTGTTCCGATTTCTTCCTTTTTTTTATCATCCTCTGCTCCGTAGAAAAGCACCTCGTTAATACTATCACAATGTGCACTTTTCTTCGTTTTCAATGTTGTCATAAAAGTAACGCATTTTAGTAATGCCGAACCCGTCGCACCAATAAAAGATTTCCAATTCGGTCCATTCATTTTGTTGGGAGTTTATCTTTTTCTACTGTATTTTATATTTTTAAGATATTATCTGCGATGTTTTAATTTTGCAAAGAGGATGATATACAACTACTTGGACTTCTTTTGCGGTTGTTATTTTTTTTCTGAAAAGAAAGGTAAATCGAAATGTCTTATTGAATGACAGCCGAATTGTAAAACAAAATTTAGATTTTTATATTTTGTGTTTAAGTTTTTAGAATAATTTTTTTACATCTTTACGTTGTGAATGTATTTATATTTAATTTAGCGGTTGAAATATATAAATGTACCAATCGAGAGCAAGAAAGCCATCAGCAAATGTACTGAAGCCAGCTGGATTGCCGGCACCTAACGATATAAAGGAATGCAAGGTTAATGTTGATGAAACACGGAAACGAAGTAAAAGTAAATATAATATCCCAAAAAATCTGCGCTACGATTTAGAAAATGCGTTGGTTAACGTACGTATTAATTGAACTCCTTCATAAATAAAATAGCAAAGTTTGTTGAATCAAATATTGCTATTGTATTTTGGTTTTCAGTTGTGTGATGTATGGTTTGAAGAAATTAAGCCGTATTTAGTTCGCAATAATGTGAAAGTACACGTTCAAGATGATGAAACGAATACAGCATCGGGTGGGAATAATTACTCAACGCTTGACACCGCAAAGCTGACTAGAAATCGAAGCGCTAATCCTGAGAGGACGAATTGCTCACATCTTGATCCAGGTGCTGCTTCCGATGTACGAATTTCGTACCTGAGATTCAACTACTTCTAGAAACCTACTCGTTTTTTTTTTGTTTTTATAAATAAATTTCCGTCAAGTTCATTGACTACTAAAATGATTTCTCTGTATAATTTATTTTGATACAGATGATATTGTAACTAAATTGTGGTATAGCCTCGTCTTCAAGTTGGTGTACGCTCTGCCGGTTGCTGTACAACGCGTCGTGTGGCATCGAGAGCGCGTTCGCACAAGCAGCCGTCGCCGTCCCGCTCACCGCCCCGACCGCCGCCGCGCCCGCCGCCACCCACGCTGCGAATACCACCGCTACAGTTGTCGGAGGCAAGCTTCTAGTATTACACAAGTTTATAGTAGCTCTGTGTGATTAACTGCAACGACATATGTAGATATGTGGTGGTAGCACCTCAAGTTGGAGGAAAGCCTTTTTCATCATTTACAACACAATACCTGTGTTCTGTGCAGCATTCATGCGAAATTGCAAACAAAATTACTTTTTTGGATGACATTCTTAATAAGATAGGATTTTTATTGAAGGTATCTAGGAGACCTAACGCTGTATAAGACAAATGATAACGGCACACAATACTCCACTTTCCTACATCGCGCGTGCGATCACAAACGTACACAAAAAGTAATTCGCTGCGGAAGAATGTTCGAGCAGCACGCAACGACATTCATTCCAAGTAACCCGATGCACTCATCTGTGCACAAGTGATGCTCAATCTAATAGAATATCTACAATTTTAAACTTTCACAGATTATAAAATAGACAGACCGTTCATAATAATGATATTCGACATTCTATTCAGATTACGTGCTATAAATCTGTGTTGAACAAGTAATTTTTGCCATTTTCAAGACGTTACCAGCATCAAATTTAATTTTTTAATTTCACAAATGTTTATTACGCCACGGATTAATTGGAGTATCCATTTGCAGTTTGTATCAAAAGGTTATTACTGATTACTAAAGTATCAAATGGCGCAGGAAAATAACGTTGATGTGCGTCTTTATCAGCTGATAATAATGAAAAAGCTATTGTTGAAATGTCATTAATTTCATTCCACAATTTGGCTACGAATTCAAAACAACAATGGAATACTTAATATTGTTACTTTTATGACCACAGGACTAATCCTATTTACATACTAGCAGTTTCCCGAGACTCCGTCGGTACGGAAATAAGGAAAATAAGTAATCTATGTGTTCTTCCAGACTATGTTCTAAATTTTTGCAAAATTTAACCAAGATCCTTTGAGGCATTCCGGAGATACCTTCAAACAACATCCATCCATGCATTCATTTAAACTTCCAGATTTATATTATTAGTAAGATGTTTAAACTATGTCTTACGAAAACATGGGGCATACTTATGTTTTTACAGAGCCCCAGCAATGAAAATATAAAGAAGTTACCTGTTAAACGTCGTAGTAAGAAGAAGAGGCGCCCCAATTCGCCGATAGCACTGCGGAATCATAACCGTATACCAAGACTGTGTAATACGATGGACATCAATTATGACACCGCGAAACTTGCCAGATATTAAAAACGTTAGTCAGTCTATAGTAACATGTAAGTTGATAGTCTTTAAGTAGTGACCCTTAGTGACCAATTAGTGACTCGTTAGAACAGTCACAGAATTTCTTAGTGTAGTCACTTCATAAATTATCAAACGGCTGAGTGTGGCAGTCTTGTACATTTGGTTTTTAAAAACGTATCTTAGTTACTTTCACAAAAATGAAACTTTTTAATCTCTCTTTATTTTTACTTTTTCCATATGCATTATGTGCACCGTTCGTTGATTTTATAGCTATTTATCATAATGCTTTTAAATTTTTGAAGTTAATATTGATTAAGATTTTGTAAAATTCTGTTCTTTAAAACTTGATTCGCTAAAATGGACCGATTATTAGAACTATTTCTATATAATAGTATCCTTAGATAGTTCGTCCTTTTCTTTTTATTTTAATAATTCATTAATTTCGATTACTATTATTAATTAGTAATTATAGTGACTAATAATTTAGAGACTAATAAATTATAGTGACTAATACTGTTATGTGAGGTTTTGGGTTTAAAAATGTTTTTTGGTAAATATCTTTTGTGTATTATGAACATCAGAACATCTGTATAGGGTGTAATCTGGTTCATTTTAGAGTGATATAATAAATTTTGTGGCTTAAAAAATTAAATTAATAATCTTCAAAACTAACGAGCAAATTGCAATTCTACTTTCCAATGCCAGAATTAATTTCTAGGTTTATTGCTCATAGTTTAAAATGATTTTATTCAGTTTTTAAATTGTAGTCTGTAATTTAAGTTTCTTTTTCGATTTCAGGTCAGAAAAGTTAAATGAACTCGCGACAAATATATAAACACTTCAAAATTTTATAAAATGTAGTCAAGAAATACATTTCCTTTTATATCATTTTGTAAATATATAAACTAGAATATTTTTCTGAATAAATTTAAATTTACGATTTTAATATGCTGTTTTTATTATGCCACAAGTAGATACGCTTGTATGTAGAGACAGCAAAAAGATAACCAATATAAATATCACTTTTAATGAAAGTTTACGTAGAACACGTCTCCTTTTCGGACCGCCAATATCATCATCTTGCCAACCATGGTCAGTACTTCTTCGTACCATTTCCTTTAAGACAATATGACTTCGGTAAAAAATGCATTGACCGTCAACTTTACCTTAATGGAATTACACGCGAGAGCTTCTTTTTTCTTTATAATTTTATGGCTACAAAAAGTTAATTTGCTAAGTTTCACCCACATTTTAAGTGAGACGTGAGACTGTGTAATTTTCTTTTCTTCATTAAGACAATGCGCTTAACTCTCACAATTCAGTCAATTAGCGTTGCAAGATGCATAAGGTTTGAGATTTCGCATCACTATCCGTATAGTAAAATGAGAGATAAAACTTTATTGACCAAGTGCAGTGCCAGAGAAATTTTCATGTAAAATTAAACGAACAAGAAACACCTGTGTAGTAATCAATCTAGCCGTTGCTGCATGAGCAATAAATCTATTGCAAATGTTAATTTAATAGCGGATTCTACATGTCAACTAAGATTCGTAATCTGCGTTTGCGACAATATATTTTATTGCTTAAATTATTATGTTTTAGTGACAATGCTTAATTTCTGTTGTAAAATCATATAGTAGAAAGGGACATAAATAAATCACGACAATCGCACACGACACTTTTAATTGGTACATAGCTTAAGGACTATTTTTCCTTACTTACGACTCTTTACAATATTACAACAAACGCATCGACTATAACGGTCGTACAGGGAGTGATTTTCACACGAATAAAAATAATTTACAAAAAAGCAGTCGAACGTATACATCACACACTTTAAATAACTAAATAAATAACTCGCACGCTGGCGCGATTCGATCGCGACCGCGGCAGCACGGTGCCGCCCGGCCGGGGCCGAAGCCCGCACGCTCTTTGGATCCGAGAAGAGTTTATGGAACGTCCTCGCGTCACACCTTATTCCCCTAATTCGTATGCTTCACGTAATCTGTTTCGTAGTATGCGGGGGCGCCGTGCGCGCCCTTCCTGTCCATCGCGCGCACGCGTACGAAGAGGAATGCCGCCACCAGCGAAGCGACCACCAAAACTAATAATAACATCACCAGACCCGCCACAAATGACGGCACAGACATACAGATCGTTTCCGGATCCGTCGCGGGAGATTGGATAACTACCGTTTCATTGGAAGCGGCGTTGTTGAGTGCGAAGTTGACGTCTCCCGGTGCTACCACTTGAATTATCCTACTCGTGTTCACATCGGTCATCTCTTGAGCGTCACGTTTGTAGATTCGTACAGGAGAGGATGTTTCACGTCTCCTCCTGACTCCGACTAATCTCTCAGGCAAATCTTCTACAGACCTAGGCCGGCCGCCTAATGTCGCAAGATTGCCGTGACCCTCATCTTTCCTCTTGACGGTGTTGTATACTCCGCGACGGCCCGGTGGTGGTGGTGGAGGTAGATTGACTTCGTCGTCCTCTCGGGACGGAGCCGGTGACGACGGACTGGGAGCGTTCGGCGTTGAAGATACTTGAACCTGTGGAGCAGGTACAGCGTCGTCGCGTTTTTCCGAGAACGAGCCGGTAGCATCTGCCGGATGTCTCGGATCGGGGAAAGCTGCGGGCGGCACACCGTAATCGCTATGCGGAGCCGATGGCGGGGGTCCATATTCTGAGTGAGGTGCATTAGGTAAGCCATATTCCCCGGCGCTTAGAGCGTTACCACCGAGCAGTGGCACTCCATAGTCGGCGCCCAGGCCGCACTTGGGTTCGGGACAATTGTATCTGCAGACTTGGATTACACACTGGAAATGTACGTTCATCGAATCTGGGAACTTGAAAGCTTGGAAGTATGCAAAGGATACGACCGAGGCGGATGGTCCAAAGTTCTTTATTTTCTGGAATTTGCTCATAATCTTTGGTCGGACCACACATCCATACTGATCGACGAGTTGTATGGGAGCACGTTTGCCATCATGGGCGACACAGTTGCGGACTAGCATGTCGAATTTGTTTTCATCGTCTTTTATAGCAAGTACCATGGTCATCGTTTGTCCGATCTTGACGATACCAGATACCTCCGAGGCCCAGGGTCCCTTTCCCACTTGTATTTGCATCCAACACTGTAAATTGTCTCCGAGAAAATTTGCCGTGACAGCGTGCAACATGTCGACTTGGAAAGGCCTAAAGGTAACCGCTTTTTCGTAGAAATCATACCAAGTACAGCGCAGTTTTCTAGCCTGATCCCAAACTTCTTGGACGTAGGGATCGTACTGGACAATAATGGTGTTCTCGACATATGACCCGCTGGGTGTGGGGCTGCCATAAGTCGCGACATTGTGATTCGCAGAACTAGACATACCACATCTGTTTAGGAATATTTCAAAGGTGGCACTCAAATGGCCCGTTCCCGGCTTTAAATGCATGCAAGCGGGATCGCTGTAGAATCCCTTGGAAAATATCATGCCGTAGAAGGGTCGGTCGAATTCGATGTTTACCCTCATGTGTGTTTTCTCGCATTGTACTTGTAGATGTTTAATTTTGGGACTATCCGGGGTTGCCAGTGGCCAGGGGTCGTCGCTGTGCGCCGGCGCCAAGGGCGGGCCGTACGCGCCGCCCGCTCGGTGTTCTAGAGGTAGTGACGCCGAGTCCACCGGAGGTTCGCATGATGCATCCTGAAAACGAAACGATATACATAAAAATAACACTGAAATATTTTTTCGACAAATAGATTCCGTTCAAAAGAATAATTCTTTTAGTGGGTTCTCAGATAACGCACGAGAGTAACTGCTAAAAATGTTTTTGTATATGAATAAATTCGCTTTTGCTCTTTCTTGGAAAGTTATTAAAAGCTTGTGGACGCAGGCGCGGGGCGATGGTGAGATAGCAGCGCTCAGCGCACGCATGGCTGGCTGCGGAGGAGCACATTCCTCACGACGTCGCAGTCTACTTCGCACCACGCGACGCCTGCCGGCCGGTCCGGAGCTGCTTACCGACTTTCTACGTTGACGGATGGTAACCAGTAATTAATTTATTAATCAGCGCGGGCATACTTTAAAGTCTCGAAAATACGAAACTATCTTAACAGTTTATTACAACATTTGTTTTTAACAAACAAATAGGCGATTAACTAGATGATTACTAAATCCTATATCTATATTCTTAGTTTATTTTAATTTAATATTACGATTTACTGTACGTTCTCAGTGTACAAGAGGTTGTAATAAGATGTGCACGGAATTGTAAAATGCTACGACTATCTTAGTCTTGTTTGTTAGATTCGTAGTATATGGAGTGAGAGTTGGGTCCAGTGAGCGGTCTTATATACGTCTCAGAGGATCGACAAGTGCGGAGTTGTAAGACGGGAGCGGACGATCGTATTTTCTAAACCGGTTAGAAATTACCTACTGCTCGATATCTGTTGCGGAAGAAAACACCGGACCTTCGCCTACAGACACAGCTTTCTTTAAAAATCTCTATAGCAGAAATAGAATTGAATTTACTATCGCAATAGGAAATAAAAGCTATTCGTTAAGCGATAAGAAAATATTATCATAAACTTAAGTACATGTAGTACAAGTAAGTTAATGTATTCTGCCTTTAAATCAAGTTACTGTACGACAAACTAAACGTTGTAAAGATAACTTTAAAAGTAAAGATAATCTTTACAATATAAATGTCACAGTTTAAGACATAATGGATACACGCATTAAGTCTCTGCGGACCACACAAAACTTGAAATCAATAGATTTTAAGCAAAAACAAGCTTTAATTTCTATTAGTTTTAAGTTCTACATTTGCTCATCATTGTTATCAAATCTGTCGCATCGAAATAACAACGGTGTCCGTCATCTAATGACATTTAGATATGTGCCTGCCACTTAGGAATTAATTAAAGCGCCAATGGCAACCGGAAATCAATTCGTTTTTTGCTCTTACATTAATGAGATCCAAATCAATTATTATTTCTAATTATAAAAATAAAATATTTCAAATGTTCAGATAGTCTGTAGTTGAATAATTTCGCTGTCGACTTATACAATAAAATAAAAGAATTAATTGGATTTTCCTACGTCGGAAGTAAAGTGTAATCTTTTAGGCTATAATATTGTGGCAATTTGTCTATTATAATTTGTGTAAAGTCTACAGATTTTAATGGTTGTACACAGGTTGTACAGTCGGCTGAGCAATGTGTATACCTCCTTCCCCGCTCCGCGTGTCGCAGCACTGAGTGACAGGTGACAGGTGCGGTTTGCGCTCAACCACACGGGTGAAAGTCATCACCGCACCGCTTCCGTTTCCTTCGTGATCATATCGAGCTTAAATTGCTTAGATTATTGTTAGCCCTTAGATGGCGCTTTCTACCTATGTAACGCACAACAAAACAATCTCATTTTTGTAGTATTGACAAAATGGAGTGAAAATTCTTTATCATGTTTTTCCCAAATAAGCTCTTCCATGAATAAGAACTAAATATTATGTTTATAGAATAAAAAATTTAACAAATTTAAGGATAAATATAACTTGATTATCTTTATGCACACGACAGGAAGACGTAAAATAATTTACGGTTTCCGTGAATGCAAATTTAAATGAGGGGAGTTTTTGTGGGGTCCGGCAAATGGAAGTTCAGGGAAAGAAGCCAAGGACGTACCTTGCTGGTAGATTGCTTCGCCATGTATAAAAAAATATCATTATCTTTGTATTTTTACAATAAAATAGACTAAATTGCCGCTATAAATGCTCAATATTTTATAATCTATTAAATAACGTAATATATAGAAAGGAGAGTTTGTGCGTAACATCTTTAAAAAATTACGCACTGTTTTGAAAAAAATATGATTGTTAGTGTTTATGTTTACTCTATAAGTATTACTTTAAAACGAAACTGCACGACGACGGGTTGCATCATCCGATAAAGCTTTGCTGTGAAATTTTGCTTCAGTGAAAGTGCTTCTTAAAAAAAATATATTTAGACGGTCAACGACTCTCTGAGAAATTTGCCATGCCACAATTTATTCGTGAACTTGTGTTACGCAATTTTATCAAATTAATCTTTTTCGCATAGAATTTTAATAATTTTTTTGAAAAGCAATTGGAATTCGACATTTTAATCTCCACAATGAACAGTTTTGACATCGTACGTAAATTTTATTTATATAGATGTTAACTATAAATAAGTAAATTATTATGTTATTTCACATTAATATTCACTATTCGAGAACGGCAGGCGCGAAAATAAATAAGATTAATTACATCTCAACTTCTTAATAATTATGGTCCTATGTCTATTTCTCTCATTTCCAACACGTTATACTTCTAAACATACGACTTATAATCGCTGTAAAGAACTGTCATTACTGATTTTCGCTACATAAATATATTTTTCTCACTTTCTTTAATAAATCCATCTCCGTATTTTCGAAGTCTATCATTGAGTCACGACATGCATTACCTCGCACCTCACATTAATGACCGCATCTCTACGATATCAACTTTACAATAATGCTTGTACGATACACAACTTTCAATTCCATAAAAGGCACTACAATATTGTGTTGCGCAAAACGCGTCTCTTTTGTCGGATGCTCACAACTGTATAAAAAGGTCAATTTATTTAATTTTACTAATTGCATGAATTTGCAAGGAATAATTTTTATTTATAATTAATGTTTGAAATTATTTAATGATCTCAATTCAATTTATTTAAACGGAGACAAATCTAATTAATGTTTTCTAACTAACTAAAGAGTGTCTGTGGCTCACGGGTCATGCACTTGACTTGCAATCTGCAGGTCTTGGGTTCGAATTCCGCCATGTACCAATGTGTTTTTCGATTTCCGATTTACATATGTACATTTATCCGACGTTTCTACGGTGAAGGAAAACATCGTGCATATATCAGAAGAAAATCAAAGATATTTGTGAAGTCAACCAATCTGCACTTGGCCAGCGAGGTTGACTATGGTCTTGTCACCCGTGACTTTGGGTAGGCCCTCAGTGGGGACGTATATTGAGCTGATGATGAAATAACTACAAAGAGGATTGACTTATAAAAGTTATATGATCACTATTTAATCCAACTTTTTAAAACATGTGTCTTGCTTTTTACTTCATTATAGACATACGAAGTCGGCCAAAACTATAGTCGACATAATCACCGAAATATACAAAGTTTAAATTGATACGTATGATGAGCGTGTTTGCAGTTAGTTACCAATGATCGGGATGTTTTGTGAACGTGTTAACGGAATCATTAGCCTAGTTGTGGGGAACGCGAGCGGAAAAAGTTGAATAATCTAGGATCTACTGCCGTATTGCACGCGCCGAATGCGTTCTACACATTGATTGATTGATATTTTCTATGTATTTGCAACGTTCTGCTTCGTGTGATGTACAAGTATTGTAGCAAATATTGTTATCCTTCTCATTCCCGAAGCAAAAGCAGAGGATAACAATAATAGTGTTATTAGTATGTTATAAAAGTAAGATAATTTAGATAAAAATTATGTGCGTTAAAACTAAGAAAATTATTTAAGGCCAAGTATCTTCAACGTTTTTCAAGACATCCTGTATTATCACACACTTATTTATATTGTTAATCGTAACATTGAATCATGGAAAGTAACAGTTAATTTGGCTTCTTCAAGGTAATAGCTGGATAGGATAGCTGTCTTCAATAAGCTAAACGCGTTAACTTAACTACCAAGAAAGTGTGCGTACTTGCATCAAGCTTATTGCGTTCCGTAAAGAGTTTATTTACAGCAATATTTATTACTAGCATTTTTCTGCGACTCCGTCCCCGCATTTATAATCTTAGTAAGATAGTAAGAATAGTTTACGTAATAATGGAACAAATAATCTAATTTTATAAATGCGAAGGTTAGATGGATGGACAAATTATCTATTTGATTTTTAATTTATTAAGAGTTAATCTGACACTCTTTCATTAAAATTTTTCGAGATAAGTAAAAATCTATACGTTTGTACCATCACATTCTGGGTATGTGAAGCTTCTTTATAAAAAAACTTATTATAGTTTAAACTTTCATGCACAAAGTTTACAAAGATTAAACTATCATTACGACACGATTCTGATAAAAAATTTTAGCTTATTTTTATAAGCTACTTTTTAAGTGATATAATTTTAATAAAATAAAATATGTGAACTAAATGTTCTAACGTTCCCAATATCATTTCAGTTCTAAATAGTAACGTGTAACGTTAGCATTAACGCTACATAATGCTGTAAACTGTTATTATAATCTGACCACATTTGCTGTAGACATGAAAAACGGTATCGCCACAATAGACGCTATATCACACCATTATCAACGCGAGACTCTCAGGGGATGACATGTGCAAATACTAAAACTGTTCTAAAGAATTTCATAGAAACTCCAACTTATATGTTAAGGAAATAACACATCTGTGGTCACGTTGAGAAAAATTCTATGGAATACCAAGTTGTACTACTAAAATTGCAACGAAAAGTTGGTTCAAATTTTCATCTGAAAAAAGTGTATGAAAAATAATTTTTACTCACCCGTATTAGGAGCGCGATCGCCAATAACAGATTAGTCCTCTTCATAGTACAGTGCGGCGATCGGCGGCCTGCAACCAAGGAACACGATCAGTCGAGCACAAGAGTGCGGCCCCCGCGGGCAAGGCCTAGCGCAGCGGCGGAGAAACGGCCATACCGCTGTAGCGATGACTGCACTAGTGTCGCCCCAACCTCCCCCTACCTCCCCCAGCCCCACTACGCGAGGCAAGTGGGGCTGAGCGACCCAGTGACCGAGTGCAGCGCGCCGTGCCGCCGGAACTGCACCGGTTGTGTTTGCGGTTGCACTGCGCGTGCGCTGCTCGACAGCGAGGAAACCGCGCGGCCTTCACCTTACACGAAGGTCGCAATGTAGTTCTCTAATGTATTCTTGGACAATTTTTAAACATTTACTTTTAGAAATAAGCACAGGATCTATAGGTTTACTAATTTCTAGGTTTGGATATTTGGTGTTACTTCACTTTTATGTTTATTAAAATATTTATACGCACAAAGAACCGATACGTTAATTAAATTTTTAGTTTAAAAAATTATGGTTGTTTTTTTCGTATGAAAGATCTTTTTTATCTACCTCAGATTTTTTGCGTTGTTTTTTTTTTTTTAAATATAATGAGTGGAACGCAAAGGAACGCAGGTCTGTCGACGTGCTCGCGAGCGCTCGTCGACGATTTCACCCTATACTACTGCTGGTTAGAAAGTCTCATCTCGAATCGAGTCTCCCAACATTGCTTCGCTATTGGACATATTAAGTCAATGTAACGGAACACGAAACATCTCTTACTGTTAATCTTCTTAAAACATTATATGCTAACGCATGTAAAATGCCATCAATTTTTATGATAAAATTTGGGACATTTCACAAGCGAAATTAAAAGCCGTTGTATGTGATTTCATTTTACGGTTTTTCTACTAAGATAAAATGTATCTGTTTAGTCTAAAATAATATCGCAAACTTTTAAGATGGAAAAAAACAAAAAATATTAGAAGAATAACGACTTGTACGCTCATTTGGTTTGATGTTTTAACCGTAGGGTTCCGAGGCCAAAATCTCCGTTTAAAATATATTGGTATCTCGGTTTTGTCAAAGATGAAAGACAGAGAGGACGATATATTTTATACAGAGATTTTGACTTCAGACACCAACGCTTAGACGCTTTCATTATCAACAAGACACGACACCTTAAGAAGAGATGACGGTACGACAAAAATTGTCTATAAAAAATAAAGCTGTGAAGCTTCGAAACTGTCCTTAAAAATATATTAGTTTCTGGACAACACAAGTTTAATCTTCCTTTAAGAAGACAATTGTTACAAAACAACAAAGATATAAATAAAAAGTAACAAAGGAGGTTGTATAAAACCTGTCCATGCGAAATTGGCGTAGTTATATCAATGTGTTTCGTGACGAGTCTAGTTGCCGGTGATTTTTTCTCGTCGGCTGCACCCACCTCACTGGAACTAGGCTGCCGGTTACTCGTAAGAAAGCGGACCCTCGAGCATTTTCTATTTTCATATAATCTAAACACGTATTATTATAATAGCATCTAATATAGACGCCAGTATACCATTAATGAAATTGTTGTTAAACTAATCAATCAAAATTGTACCAGGATTACGCGGATTACGAAAAATGTATGCCCAAATATAACAGGAGATAACGAACCGTTCTAATAAATTGGACGTATATTTAGTTGAATCATTTTTGTGTATAAGAGCGAGACATTACATCGTAACCGCTACTTGTCTATACTTTACACACATTAATAAATTGGAGTGTCTGTATGTAATATCGAAAAAAATATATTTCGTACTCATGGTGTATAAAAAAAACAATTTTAAAAATTTTCATGTGTATGTCTGTCTGCAAGATCGTGTTTATTCCGGGTAATCTCCCGAACGGCTGGATCGATTTTAACGGGACAGACGGGAAAGTGGCTGATGTACGCAGCCATATTTTTTTTTTAAATTCTGCGCTAATGAAGTATAGGTCGATTGATTGTCTAACGTTAATATTTAAAGCTACCATCATCATCATCATCATCTTCAGCTCACTATACGTCCCCACCGAGGAGCTCGGAGCCTACCCAAAGTTAAGGGTGATTAGGCCATAGTCAACCACGCTGGCCAAGTGCGGGTTGGTTGACTTCACACATATCTTTGAATTTCTTTCACATATCTGAGAATAAGCTACCATACCATAAAAAAAATCCTAATAAAAGTACATAATACAATAACAAAAGTAAGCGTACAATTATTTGAGAAATGGAACTAATTGCTCCTGTCAAAACAGCCATTAGTAGACGTCAGTTTGGGAGTGGACAGCTTTATCCAATTTACTCGCACATAGATCAACGTCTAAATTTCAGTGAAAGCTGATTTATTATTTATGAGCTATAATTCTTTCAAATTAAATATTTAGAGAAGGAAATATTCTTTTTAAAATTAACAATAACAAAACAATATTAATTCATTCTTTAAAATACGCAATAATAACCACAATATGTTAATTGAATATGTTAGATATAAACAACCGAAAAAAATGCTATAAGTACTAGAAGATAAATTATAACCTAAAAATATTTAAAGTTTAAATAAAAATCGTATTAAACATTTAATTTCTTAAGAAGAATAAGATTATTTGTTTTGAATTTACATATTTACAATAACTTCAAATTAAATTTGCGGTATAAGAACTCAAATACATTAATATTTATACGTATATCTTGCGATAGTCGAGAATTCTTAAGCATTATGTGCATTATTATACATCAAAAAGACAGTCGTTGTCATGTTCAAATTTCACACGAGATGATCGACAAAAAGTGTCGTGACTCGCCGCTTTTTATTAAACTTTCGTTTTCTATCCACACTTATGTGCAACTTTACAAGTCAATACAATCGTCATTATAATCACCATTTTGTATAACAATCAACTTTTTTATACCGCGGGATTATAATGGTTAATTTCATAATTGGTTACACTTTTCAATAGCAAGAAGAATAAAGAGTATTTAATCGTCAGTTTTCTAGAGATGCCGTTATGATTGTGCACTGCCAGTATACGAGTACTGGCCGCGAAGAATTCTTTTTTTTTTCTACTAACGATCGTAATATTTGCAAAATCATGGCGGGAAAAGCAGTGCAACGCTTTACGTTATCTGTAGCATCTTCGAAAAAGATTTCTATTTCTGTCTTCATATCTGTCAGTTAAAACGGAAGAAAGTAGTTAAATGTGGCGCCGATTTAACACGCTTATCATTTTAAGATAATTAAAACTAGAGATTATACGATTAGAAACAAAGAAGTAAAGCTTAATAACACATTTGAATGGGTTCTGTTGAAATTTCATGGCTTTGATTCCTTACAAGTAAAAGCACTTTTAATTACTATTTAAAGAGTCACTTGTACGTTTCTCTTAATTAATGAGTATAGCCCGAAAAACATATCTCTGATATTATTGTTGGAACATTAGAAAGTGAGTGGGATGTTCACGCATTGCAAGCTAGGTTTCACGGCGCCCTTGACTATATCATATCTAAAAGAGCTAACGATTGTTTGTAGAAAACGCCGTTTTATACGTCGTGAATTTCACATGCGACATTTACTGACACATAGAATTATTTAGTTGCATTTTAAAGAAGAATGAGAAAGATTTTTGAATAGATATTTATATTTTAACAAAACTAATTAATAAAAATGAGATTTTATGATTGCACTCTTTAATCTTATGACTTTACCTACCGTACAGAGAGAAGAATTCGTCTCGATATTTTAAAATAATCTTTTTTCAATTACGATTCAGCTCATATTTATCGTTCACATTCTTAAAGATTTCTCTCGACATCTTCTCATGTGTATGCAAAAACGGAAAAATATTCGAACACTATTGAAGCGTAACCAACAACAGTATAAATTGCTATCGCGCATCAACACGTTCATTGAATATCTATGAGACTGAGTGCATCATTAGTATTGCTGACTTTCGTGTTATAACTATAATACAAGTCGCCCGCGACTACGTCTGCGCTGAATTAAAAAAAAATAATTACTAGCCTAGTAGCGAACATACTTGAGTGTATTAGCCCTTTATATATAAGTTTATTATAATGTCTCACGAAAGTTTAAATAATTTAGTAGCCTATATGTTCTTCCAGACTATGTTCTACATCTGTGCCAAATTTCATCAAGATCCGTTTAGCCGTTCCGGAGATACCTTCTAACAAACATACATCTAAACCTTCGCATTTATAATATTAGTAAGTTTTGCGTTGAACTCTTTTTAATGAATTTATTATTTCTTAAGTAATATAATACAATTTTTTAACATTTAAGTAATAAATCTAAAATTCATTTTTAAATAGCGGCAAAACTTACCAAATACTTAATTAAAACTGCTACTCAGTTTGGCGACTGCAATTAAATATTGTCTTCAGTTTCTTTATAAATAAGTAAAAAAGTAATTAAATGCATAAATAAAATATACAATTTAATTTAATATAAAATAGAGATAAATTAATATTTTGATCTTCATATACGAGTAGAAAAATGAACTATGACTATGTTTTTGTGTGTTGTTTTCATCGTACACAAAAGAAATCTGAGCTCGCGACGGCGGAGCGGCGTGTGGCCGCATAATCTCCTAACGCCAAATTCTTGCCTTAATACCTCGATACCTGTGCTACGGCTGGCCCTGATTGATAGCCGTCGCACGTAATGAGGCGGATTTGCTTATAAACCATACGCGTATATTAGTGAACACAAATAAAATACCGATACGCAGTTTTGAAAAACGAGAAAGCTTGCATTCGATGCTACATCATTAGTAGTGCTTTTCTTTACGTTTTTTTGATAGGTATCTGCTTCTATCTTTTTAGCGAAGCGTTCTGATTTTAAATCTAAATATGGAAAGAATCCATATGGAAATCCAAGCTGACTATATACTAAATGCAGTTACTATGATGCTCTATTTTCATAAAATTAACCTACATTTTACTTAAATTATGGTGATTGGTTATCAAAATAGTGTTGGCATTTCGTCAGTGAATCAGTGTAATTCGACATCGACCTACACCTGCTCGAATTATTTAGTGTGACGTATCTATTAGGTGATTCGACGGTGCGACGCGGGCTCAAGGTTACGTCGCGCAACACTTTCTCCGCGGCAGTTCAACGCTCCTCGAATTCTGCATCTCAGTATCAATGGCGGAACTCCCGAACCCAACGCAAAATACAAACAAAATCCACCCTTATTCTCTAAGCAGTATCATCTAATTTTAAAGCTAAGGATATTCAAAGATGATATCCATCGACTTTAACGTTCAATGCCCATGTTAATGGCATCGAGAAACGTAACGCGTCCCACTTTCTCTTTTAAGCATGCAGTAGTCTCTTTCTTTTGAGCAACAACCATACATGGGGAAGTGAGATGACGATATGTCAGATGTTGCGCTTGGGAAGCTGGGTAGATCGCTTTCTTCGCCGCACTTGGCATTGGCGGTGCACGGAGTCCGGTAACTTTCGATAGTACGATTGTGGATTGTGCGACTCCGGCGCGTATGGTAACCATTTGAGTTTGATCGATCTTTGAATCTCGATTCAATTACCTGAATTCGATTGCGCAATACGTCGATAACTGTTATTAACTTGTGTTATTTTTAATCTTTCTATTAATTCTATATATTTAGTTTCTGTTTTATGAAAATAATATTGATGATAAATAAATCAGATTCTATAACGTATGAAGAAAAAGTAGTCACTATAAGGCAATAAACAATTATATATGCAGCAAAAATTAGAAATAAAACCTGCAATAACTCTAAAAAAAAACTGTAGAGAAAAAAGATCGAAATTATTTCATTTTCTGTGACTGTAGACAAAATACTTATTTGTATAGTAAGAATTGGAACAGATTGAATTGGTTTAGTAAACCAAATTAACCTCAATAATAAACTTGATAGGCAATTCTGCTCCTATTTTATATAAATAGAATCTGTGCCTTGTTAAAATATTGAAGCAATATTCTAAGAGATCTAGTTAATTAGCATATGCTGGAAAGCAATAACTTATGAATCGAAGCTTTGTGTGAATATTAATCAGAACTTTACTAGACTTTCCCGTTCAATTTGATATCAAGATTAATTTAGGACCACATTTTATAAGACGAATGGAAAGAAATTTATGGACTCGTCTGCTGTAAAATAATAACTGGAAGGGTTTATTGATATTTTCTTTAAAGTTTATATTTTAGGGGATATAGGAATGTATCAATACAAAAGTTTATTATTCTAGCATCTGACACAAATGTTTTAAGTATTATATCCGAAAATGAAAAAGGATTTTGGTCGAGAATAAAAGTAAGACAGTCATTTGTTTTCTTGTGAGGTAAGTCTTGGCATTATTTGTAATCGCAGCCGGAACTTATGCCTGAAGAAAACTTCATCGCTCTGTGCAACGCTCAGTAATTAAAAGACAAGCGACACGCGGCTATCGTACAACAGGCCTACTAGACGCTCCAATAAAAATCGTACTCATTACAAAATTGATATTTACGTAGTGAATTTGGATAATACGGTTGTTAATTATAATCCAAATATTGATGAATGAAAATTCAATAAAGAATTAAATATAGCGCGAGACCTTTCAGGGCAAAGACGTCAATTATCTTATTTCCTTGTTATTTTTCAAATCGATTCAGTAGTTTTGAAGCCTATTCAATGTAAACAATCAAACCTTTCCTCTTTATAATATTAGTATAAATATATAATGCCTTTTTTCAATGTGTCAATGAATAAACAGTAACTGATGGAACGAGGACGGCCTTGTCACATCAAAATGTGTGCTACGCATTGCGGTCTCCAGTCCTTTCATCTTTTTATAGCCTATTAATGGGTAGAAAGATACCATTTCGTAGTTTATTAAAACCTTTGCAAAATCTGAGAACATTAAGCTAATTAATTCAATGGGATGACGGATTTGATTATTCATGAAGAAAACTAGAACTAGGTTAATATATATAAGTAGGACGGCAATATATTATCGCTATTTATCATTTCATATTTTAATGGAAAGCAATTATCTCATCAGCTTACTGCAGTCTTTCATTTCAATATTAATTTACTTTATTTGAAATTTCACCTAATTTAGACACATCTAAGGTTTTACCAAAAAAAATAAACAGTGTTTTAAATACATTTTAGTTAAAGCTAAGTTGTAAAAAATACTCTCATTTAACCAAGAAGACGTCTTTAATTTCAATCACCGGAGGCAAAAGGGTTAAAACACATGTTTAGATAAACAATGTTTAAAATTTTTTTTGGACAAGTTTCAATAAATTTTTGACATAATTGGTATATATGCTGAAACCCAGACCAATTGCTTCAAAACACGATAATGAATCGACCTTCAGTCGTAAGATTATATTTCGGAAGTTCAGTTCAGATAATAAATAAGACAGTAAGGTAGGCCGAGGGGCGCCTGCGCAGGCGCAGCAGGTCACGGAAGAGAAAGTCGGTTTATGATCTCAAGGACGAGTGCGTCGCTCCCGCGTTGCGCAACCTCCGAACATAATTGATGCCTTTGCCACTGGACGTTCCCGCGCCATTGTGTTGTAATCATAATGCTGCAGCTATTTAAGGACGATGACTCCGACACGCTTTCTTTCAACTCATCAAATATTTAAGATGATTGTTACATTTTAGTTATGGAAAAAATGTACCTTAGTTACCTTACGTAATATTTCGTGAGCAACAAAGAAATGCTTTATAGACTTGGTATTTCATAAATTACAGTGATTTTAGAGTTTGGATAAAAATGTTTTAGCGTGCCTTAAAAAAAATATGGAGTAATTTCGTATGCTTAACTGAGTCATGAAATAATTATAGAATATGTTAAATGTAAACAAAATTTAATGCACGTAATTAAATAGCGTCTTATCTTAATAATAACAATTCTTACAGTTGGAATTAGATACTTTGTTAATCCGTTATTGTCTTCTGTATAACATTTTCTCATGCAACATTGTACGTATAATTAGAAAATCTAAGATAAAACAAAGACATTAAACTTGAGAACGTCGCGGTCACGATCCTTTAGAGTTCACTTTCACTCGTTCGTGTGATTCACTAAATGGCCTTACAGATGTATTACGTAAGCCCCTACCACGTTCCCACTCGCACTTTGGTAATTACCACGGGAGAAAGTCGATATATTTCGTCGAGTAATAATCAAGCGAATACAAAATATGACTTCCATTTCCGAACTTTTTACGAACGAATTGTTACGTAAATAAATTGAGATGGTATGTTGCGTAAGTGATTTTATATTGGAAATCGTGCGTCTTTCTAATAAAACTAGCAAACGAAATTAATCTATTGAATTCTTTTATACTTACAATTTTATCTTGGTGGCATAAAGGTACAACCGAGAGATGAAAACCTGAAACAATTAAAATTAAATTAGTAAGTAAATAAAAACGAAAAACTAGTATGGATAATTATCTAACGTCAGTGAAATCGTCCTTGCTACAACAATGACGTTAAAACAATGAGCTATTTAAGCGATAAGCCGACTTCCCGCCCGCCTCCGTCGCCGGCGGAAACGCGCGAAAGTGAAAGCATTTTGTTTTATCTATGCCCGTCAGGTGCAATATAAAATGATGAATTGCCTTAACTCGAGCACTATATTTTAGTTAAGTTGTATTATAATCTATTGAACGTCATCTTTTGCACAAACAAAACATCGAGTGATAATCCATTTCACTTCCGATCGAAATAATGTAAAACAATTTTTCCGTACAGTCAGCTGCATAAATATGTGTACACTTACGAAATGTTAGAAACTTGTTTAGGTCTTAGGTATAAAAAATGCAAATGTACGAATTCCTCACAAATGTGTAATGATGGTTAAAAGCTAACCGATATCTGTCAGTGTATACATTTTTTTGAAACCGAAGGTGTATACTGATTTTGTAACTTTATAATGTATACAAATTTATGCAGCTGACTGTACGGTTTATAATAGTAAAACATTGTTATAGAGTAAAGCTTTATATTAAGATTTACATACTGTAGCTAGTGCGTTCAAGTTTATTTATGTGACGACTATTGTAGACAACTATTAGCAAATTGACTTATACTAGGAATATAGATAAATCTTGTCAAAATATGTCTCACAAAACTAGTTAGAGGAGAGAAGCCGAAGGGCGACAACGACTTGATCTAGTACATTATTTATTATGGAGGCGATTTCTCGAACGGTACGAGATTTCTCCACTTTCATCTCGTCTCGCGTTTACAGCAGTACGTGTACGCAACATTCTCAATGATAAATACATTATTCAATTAATCGCCGCTTACGAATTCATTTTAAATGTTTTTTTCGATAAAAATTAATAAAACACAAGACATTTTTGAGAGAGAAATTTTTGTATACTATAAAAGTAAATTTATATGTTCAATACGTTCAATATGCTCATTGTTAATTAAAATAAATAATAAAATATAAATTTTAGATACAACCGAGATGTAAAGTATTTTTATATTTACTTAAAAAAAGCCGAAAGTTGTTTACAGAAATGTCATGATATGATTCATTAATAACCAGTTTACAGTTTTATATGCGGGCTATTAGGTTATTGCTAAGAATGTTTTTCTTAAAATAATTATCGTATTTATTTATATAAACAGATTACCTTTCGCTAATGTAATAATTTAAATGCATAGTAACTACAAACTAAACTTTACAGTCTTCTGGCGCCTATACTTCGCAACTTTGGATGTATGTTGGGTTGAATCGACGTATTTTCGATCAAGGAATCTGTAGTACTCCGTTGTAAACGTGATTCCCCGACACCCTGTATACATTGTCCCATTCGGAAGCCTATGCTCGCGATTGTTTAACTTACAAGTTGTTAAAAATAATAAGTTACTTATGTCGTTAGGAAAAATATTTTCAAAATAATCATAATAGTATCCAAGTATCCTTGAGACCACGATATATTAGCAAACACAACACAGAACGAGTTCGGCTATGAACGCCAAGGCAGCAGCCCCGCCAACAGCCTAGGGCACAGTGGGCTACTTGCTTTATAGATTCAAGAAACGAACATAGCCAATACAAATATATAAATATAATTCATCAAAAATGCAATGGAATGTCCAGTGCCAAACCTAAAGCTCTATACTGTTTCTAGTATCCATTTGACGACATGTTGAAAGAGATAACAAATTAATTCACAATAGTAATAAAGTAAGTTAAGCTAACATATCTCCAAAACCAATAACCCTGAGGCTATATTGATTTTAATTCAGACAAAGACGTAATTATTTAGTCAATGGGTAAATTAAATATAATTTTATCTGCCTTTCTCTCGGCTTATTACCAAATAAATCTAATTACACTATTGATGCTCAACTGTTTATTATACAGTGGTCTTTCACAGACGAAACACCCGTACAATAATACATCGTTATCTCATTTTGAAAAGCGAATATGACGGATGACAATAAATTTATCTGTGAGGGTATTGGCAGTGGAAGCCGACGGTTAGTATTAAGTGTAAATAAATCGAACATATAAGTAGCAATAACAGTAGTTACAGACAGCTAAGTGAGACGGAACATCCGGTATAAATTACATCGATGCTTAGCATAACTAGAGCAAAATAATTTCGTATACTTTCTCGTAACAGGTTCTTTTTATTATTTATTTAGTTGCAAATTATAAAAGATTAAACTTATTAACAACAGACCCATGTCTTTTATCATTTAGTAAACAATCTATCGCAATAAAATATATCTTATATATAAAATTCTCGTGTCACAATTTTCGTTCCCATACCCCTCCGAAACGGCTTGACCGCTTCTCATGAAATTTTGTGAGCATATTGAATAGGTCTGAGAATCGGCCAACATCTATTTTTAATCCCGCGCGTACGGTGTCGCGAGCGACAGCTAGTATATATTTATAAGAAAGCAAATAAAATTTACTAAGCTTAACCCTATGTCTGCCATCATTTAAGTTTTCTCTAATATAAAATATACACAAAGTTATTCTTCAGACTTTTTGATTATATTTAATACATTTTATTATACTTTTTAAAATAAACAGAAAATAAAAATATTTCCACGTAAATTGCTGTGGAAACTGACGCTTAGATATACAAAGTTATACAAAATGCAGTAAAAGTGAAATGCATTGAATTTCCCTTTATTACAACTGCGCAAAGCAGGAGCGTACGGGCGCTATCGGCTCGTTATGATCTATACGGGCAAACTCGTTTATTATGCTCGTTTATTGCAAATATAAAATCATATTATTGTTCAGTAAATCATAAAGGTACTTTCTAAATTGAATATTTATTAAATAAATAGAGAACTATGTTTAAACATCATCAGGAAATTATCTATTTATCTCTATATGTCTAAAAATCAATTGCTGTTCGTTAGTCTCGCTAAAACTAGAGAACGGCTGAACGGATTTATCTTATCTTGGTCTTGAAATGTTCGTGAAGGTCTAGGGAAGGTTTAAAAGGTAAGAAAAATTAAAAAAATTGCCGAGAACAAGATAGTGATAGAGATAAAATATTTAGATTTTGTTTGAATAGACCTATTGGAAACCTAAAGAGGGAAAATAAGTGAAAGCCTATTTAAATATTCATATTTGTCAACGCATTATTATGTCAACATTATTACGTGTTTGTGACATAACTTTTCTTTTTATTTTCATATTTATAAGAAAGTTTTCTTTTAATTTAATATTTATTTATTCATTATTACACAATATTCGGCCATTAATATTTATAGGTATTACGCGTTTATTAAAATTCATTATAAACATATTTAAATATTATTTTTTATTTGAATGATTTCTTTAACGGTTGTGGTTATTGTACATAAATATACTCGTACATTTGTAATATAAATAGTATTTTAAGATATAGAAAAAGTTAGGTTCAGTAGGTTAATAGTAATTCTCAGATAAAAAGTCAATATTTCCAAGGCAATGCCGTGGTTACGCTTGGTTAGTTGTTATCATTTCTCCTAAGAAATCTAGTTTCACCGCACGATAAATCAATGTATCAATAAAATAAACAGAAATAAAATTTTAAATGAGTTTCCAGAAGTTAATATAAATCTAAAAGAAAAAAGTTCTTTTACATTTTAATCTGCAAGATCAACGTGAAAACACTATGCTACAGAATGTTCCCAATAGTCACAAAGTCAAAATTCTTTGATGGCATGTCTATAACACTATTAAATGTTTCTTTATTAAAATGGTACGTTGATTAGTACAGGTTTTCAATCCCTGTCCTTGATGATATAGTACCAGATAGCGTTAAAAACTTTAAAGTTTTCCAAAATTTCTAACTTCCAAAGATAGTAACTGCTAAATATGTACTCAAAAAAAGCAAACTTCAGTTGTAATCTTTCATTAGTTAAATACACAGACAATCTAATAAACTTACAACTTTGCAATACGCCGAGTCGACAATACGCATTCACAACTCGACTCATTTCCCAAGCTAAAAGAAAACTCATCCCCAATTACAAACCGTGTTATAAAACAATACTGTTCCCGAAGCGTGTAATCATATCTTCATAAGGGCTGCTGCATACGAACATCTTCAAACAGTCAACAACGGTATCGAGCAGTCACTTTGTACTGGCAACATTTCTTAGCTGCGACTGCTTGTCACTATTAACTGGTTGAAAATGTCCGTGTATAGGAGGCCTTAACAATCGTAGAACAATCACTGTTTCTCTACATTTCGCACTTGTTAATTGTCATCGATGTAATTAAGATAATATTCTTAAAAGGTTTTCGTTCGTCTTAAGTTTCACTCTGATTTATTCATTAGATAAATAAGATTTAACATAGCATGAGTGTTTAACTTTTGTTTTCTTGACTCTATTATAATTAATGTTTTTTAAACAATAGAGCTTTGCAGTTTGTATTCTTTCAAACGTCACAAATAAAAATTTAACGCTTTCCTCTATAGTGAAATGTACTTCTTGTTTACAATTAAAATTTTTATATTATTTCGTTGTAATTTTAACAACATTTAAAAATTTGTCTTGAGTAATATGTTTTTTATTTACTATATTAGTAAGATTGGAAATCATATAATAACCTAACGAAAGATATTGTCATTGTAGCGAATTATTATTTCTGTTGTATGAAAATATTATTAAATTAAAATTGACTTTCAATTTCGGAGGTAGGCAAATTATTTAACTTAGTTGTGGACAACAATTTCAAAAATCTTGATAAGAGTTAAGATAATTCCGACAAATGATCGTAGTAGCCATGTCTCCGCAATGATTAAAATCTAGGACGCGATGTAAAATATTCCGATGGTCGAAATATTTTTACCGAAGTGTAATTTATATGGATTTATATGGAGATAATGAAGTCGAGTGCCATGTAATTGCTGAACTTCGCCCGTTACTATACAACCTTTTTTTCGTTTTCTCTTCTTTTAGTTACATCTTTATCTCGTAAAATATTTACATATTGGTCATGTTCGTTTCTGAATTATTTTTTTTTTACTTTTTTAAAATAACTTGTTTGTAATTCCTGGTATTAGATGATTGATGATACAATTCTAATTATAGTTATAGTTAAAAGAGGAGACAAACTATATTATTTCGGCTATTTACAGTTATTAAGGTGTCTTAAAAAGTTAACTTCTTAAACAAGCGTACTAGGGTTAACAATTTAATAAAACGTCTTGTCCTAAATTACTTTTTGTGCCTACTTCAAATTTGTTCCTGTTTATGTACTAGTAATAAGGTATCTGGAAAGGATTGTTAAAACAACATGTCAAATCAGGTGTTATTCAAAGATGACACGATAGGAGCGGCGAGGAACGCACAGACTGACACACTGACTCGCTTTCCATCGAGCCGACTTCGACGCGCGACGTCTCATGTGCTATCAACACGCTAACATGTAAAGACGGAATAATATAAAACATTAAAACATATATAAAATTTCTAAAATATTATTTAACAGTAATCGAAATTTACTAATATTTTCTGAAACAACTTAGCTCTAGGTTTGTACATATGGTTTAATAATCGAATGGCGGGAAAGGACCGTGTGATCCGCAGGTCTTCGCCTTACCTATTGGGTTATTGGCGATTCATCAGTTTATGATTACTAAAATTTTATTTAAAAACCTACCTAAACTTTTAATGTACTAGCTACTTGTATATATTTATTTCAACCCGATCTAAATTTAGAATAAGTTAAAAGTGGTGCCCATGAATATTTATTACATAATTACACATTAATTTGTAAAGAACGCAAAGCTTGTGATATGATGAGGAAGTTTTCGACAAATTAAAAACGCTCATTAACTTGCTTTCTCCGTTAAATTTCCGTCGTATTCAGAATTATCTCGCAAACACTTTTACGTTTTAGAAGAGAAAGTGACGTTTTATTTAAACACATAAATAATATATTAAATTCCCAACATAAAATGAATGATTTGTGAGATACAATCCAACTAATCGATAGAGTCTTCTTAATATAGAGTCTTCGAGTGTTGAGGGCACAATTCTGCCAAAGGCAAGAGGACATTCTGTCAAAGGCGTGGCATATTGGCTACTAAGGACCTTTGCCTTTTTATTTATGAAAAAAGATAGTTAGAGAAGAGAAGAGAATCGCGCGGGAATTGTCAATCAACAAAATGTAGTCGCGAATAGTGCTTAATGAATTAATATGGTAAATAATGTGTATAGTTTTAGTCTTTTAGACTAAGAACTATACTAAAAGTAAACGCATTTTGGCTGCCGTGTTGCTGTTTGCAAGTTATACATCTAGTAAACCTTATGCAATGCATTAGTTTCTCAATGTTTATGTAAATAAATTGATGGTAAACCACCGTGAAGCATATAACATTGTTTCAAAACGCGCCTGCGCAGACAATGTACGGGAAGTCCTACTGTGTAAGATGCGGACGAATTTCACAACACGCACTTAGACACATCTGCAATAAGTACCAACTGTGTAGCTCTTGTCGTTATGTCTGTTTGACAAATACGAAGCGAGGTTCTACGCTGTTTAAGATATTTCCTAAGACATCACGATTAGTCATGGTTGAGGTAAAACACTAATTGATTAAATACAAAAATATATTAAGCTAGCTACTACCCGGCACTAAGTTGAAAATCTGGCAGAATAGTACTTTTCTTACCGATTCGCTAAATTAAATACGCATCTCGTATTGTATATGTGTGTGATATTTTTGTGAAAATCTATGAGAGATCTGAAATGTTGTTTAGTCGAACTGAAATTCTTTGGTTTACAAGCATTTTTAGACAGTCTAGGTTTCATTTATCGAAAATCTTAATTAATTTTGACAAAACCGTTACGAAAATATCTGGAGCCATCTCCAATATATTACCTATCTTTCTTACTGGGTAAGTCTTCATTTTGTATTCATAATTCTTTACACATTCCTCTATATAATATTTTAATTTATTGTAAAGGAATTTATCATCGCTATTACATTTTTAATTTAGCGTATAGACGTTAATGAGAAACTACGCAAAACGCTTTACGCGAGCTTGTGTGACGCGCGACCTACTTTCTTCGCGCGCCGCAGCACATGTCGTTTCTACGCCACCATGCACCACTTGACTCTTTATATACATCTAGATAAAGAACATATTCCTATAAAGTGTAAAACACATGTCATGAAATAAGCCGACGCCCATTGTGAGCGCTCAAAACATGCAAATGCCTTTAAAACACGAGCGGAAGATAATTTCAGTTGTGAGTGAAAGTGGAATTATGCAACTTTCTATGGTTGAAATTGTTTCGATAACGAAAATATTTAATGTGGCATTTTGTTTACTTTAGATTATTCTTTATATTTTTAATATAATTAAACACAATAATGTAGTAACACCGTTAATAATAAGAAAATAATTTTATGGTTGACATTATGAAAAACTTTCAAACCCACATTTAGGTTTGAACAAAAATAGATTTTCATTGAGCCTATTGAGTAGGATAAGAAGAAATGTTTCCTTTTTAATGATTTAAGGACCACTTATTTACTGAACAAATAAATAACTGAAGAACGTAAAATAAATAATATGTTTTCTTCGGGAGCTTAAAATATTACGCTTAATAGAATCTCATATAAAATTTTTAATCACTCGTGTGTAAATATTTATATTAATATTTTTTTAATTAAATTTATTAGACTAACTATGTATTTTTTTATTTTCAGCACAAAAAGCAACTAAAATCGATCATCCGTTTGATAAAATCCAAATTTCAGTACCTTTTCAGGTGAGTTTTCAGCACTTCAAGATATGGAAGAAACAGTTTCAGGATAACACAGCGAGCTACCGATCACTGTTCCAGAGTTCACAACACAGATAATCGTACACAGTCAGTTGGGGGTTGTCACTTTCGATTGCCGCGGTAGCTGGGCAAGCGCAATGCTCACCTCTCTCTGTCGTGGGATGCACTGGCCGCGCCGGCTGCCCACCACAACGTTTTATACACGTGAAAGTTGCGTTTGTCACGTCACTTCCACTCAGCTTAGATCCCGGATCGAGATTTTGGCGCGATTCAACTCTGTTTTGTAATGACGCTGATGTCAGTATGAATGGTTGGGCGGAATGTAAGGATTGTTAAGTCATATGTATCCGGTGTTGCTTAATATGAGCGTCCGTTTGTAATGTGTTAAGGATGTTAGTCATTAAGTTCTTAATTCATTTTCGTATTTTTAAACTTACTATGTTAAGTTATGTAGGTTAAGGTTTACTAAATAAATCTAATTAACAGCTCATTTTCAAAACAGAATATGTAATAGGTAATGATGCTTCGTGATAAATTCACAACAAATTTTTCTATCTTGTATGGTAAAGATCAGGTTTGTTATTCTTATATTAAAAAATATTATTTAATATTTAAAAACTTAACAGTTTAGGAAATGATAACAGATAAGTTGTAGAAGTGTTTTCATAACTAATAGAACTATATATACATATTAAAATATTAATGCATTTATTTCGTTCAATAGTTAACGACAAATATGAAATGGTCGAACAAAAGATTTCAACGCATTCGAGATATTTCTGAGTTGCGTAAATGCTTCGAGAGAAAATTGTGTTTTAACAAGTCATCATGTTTTATTAAACGAAATTTTTACTTGTAAAAACCTTATTATCGTAAATGTAAAAAAGTTTGGGTAAAATAAAGAGATCTCAAAACAAACATTTATATTTTTTGTTAGTTTTTCTGACGTTACGTTACGTTTTTTTAACGTTCTCTAATGAAGTATACTATGGTGCTAACATTTATATTTATAACTATAGTTTTTTTGTTTCTACACCCTAAGTTTTCATTTATAATTATGTATTATTATGTTGGCCTGGCGCTTGAAGTGCACCAGACATTAGTTGATATTAAAAAAATGAATTTCGATGAGAAATATTTTTTTTACTTTTTTGTAAACAAAACATCGTTCTTAACATTATGATATGTTTGTTAAATCACTACGGAGAAGAAACATAATCTTTTTTCAACTCTATCAATATAGATTTACATAAAGCCTATAATAGTTATGACTTAAAATATTAGTTTTTATGACCCAGAATATTTCTCGCCATTTAATAACAATATAATATTTTAAAACTTATCTTGCATAGTATCCGATTTAAAAAGAAGAAAGTTCACCAGACGAATAGAAAATTCGCAGACTCGTTTAAAATAAAACTAGTTTAATTAATTTGTTATATTCACAATTGTTACTACTGCGTGTGCTTGTGTCGGGTACGGGGTACGCACGTGAAACGTCAAAATGCAATGGCGTCACTAATTGCCGCCGAGAACATTATCTCAGATCGTTCACCCGCCGTACGCTCCGAGCTCGAGCGGATTAAAACAGAAAGTAATACCAAATTGGTGCACCTTACAATGGGCAATTTATTCGATTTCACTCTTTTCGTCAATTTCATATTTCGGAGCGCGACGTCGCGGTAACGTTGCTCGAGTCTTACACGTTTGTTTAAATGTTTCTCATTCGCATTTCCAATGAAATTGATATTAATTAGTAACACGATTTCATTTTATTATAATATAATCCATATACCTTCATTTCAATCTTTAAATTCATTCAGAAATCACAGAACAACTTGGTACAGTCCGGACAGTAAGACTAGTTGGCCACCGGAACATTTCAGATATACCATCATATAATCTAAGTCACCATTCCTATAATCTTAGATTTTGATGAAAACGTCCGGCGCCTGCAACTCAGATTAGAAAGAAAATTACGGTCTATCATTTAAAGTAATCCTGGCTTATCTCTTTCTGTGCTTCCTCTCCTCCGTCGATTGAAGGTAGGCAACGCATATGCTATTGCGTATGTCTATGGGCAACGGTCACTTCGCTATTTCAGCGATTTCAAGTGGCCGCTCGCTCGTATGCCACCTTATGATATAAAAAAAAATCTTTTTATATTTTATGCCATCATCTTTCTATAGCAATTAATCATAACAAAAGAGAATCAAAACGACGCGTGAATACTTAATAAATAGGCCAATTGTCTTAACCCTATTTGTACAGCTTTACTTTCGCTTGCATTATTTTGTCACCACAAAGACGTCAGAGCGGCAACGGCACCGTGAGGCGCCTCCAGTTCCGCGCACATGGATCCGCTTTGCACAACGCCGTGTCACAATAACGACCTCCTTGCGAACTGAATACGGTTCCAATTCGGCTTATGTTAGTCATTACAATACTCTAACCACATAATTTAAACATTTTTTTATGCTGAATTAGCTTTATTACTCTCTATAAGACACTATTTGTCATACAAAATGTCTTTCTCTTTTTGAATTATGGATAAATACTTTCTATAAATGTCATAAGTATATTTATTAGAGAAAAGTAAAATGGTAGCGTCGTTCAATTGTGAATGATAACCCATGATATTAAGCCATGGATTTAATATTGAAGAATGATAAATATTAATTACTACAAAATTTAAAACGTTTTAAAAACAATTGCTACTAATAGACAATATGTAGGAAAGCAATTACAAATGATTCAACTACAGCTTTTGGAAATAGGTAATCTTTGATTTATTTGTTATATGTAAAATTAAATAAAACTTAACATAATCAATCAAATCACGTCCGTCATTTGTCCTAAATAAACAATTAAAAAAGGTAACTATGATTCAATTATTGACGATACGTGTTTTGAAACTTGAGCGAATTGACGGCATTGACCCTTTGTAATTGTGTAATTAAATACGTCAAAAGAGCGATAACAATGAGGCAGTTTCGATTATCCAACGGCGCGGCTGTTCGAAGCGGACTCGGCAGAATGAGGGCGGATCTTGTTTCGTAACGCGACACCCGACCGAAGAAAGTGAGAGCGCGACTCAGACGGATGTGGGGGAACTCCAGAGCCATTTTATATCTCCTAAATATTTTCTCTATGATGTTCATTTGACGTAACTAATTGCTTGTTTTTGTACACGACGTTTAACAATGATAAATTGCTTTAAATCAAAACGTAACAGTTGTGGTAATGGTTGGAAATAACACAACATATTATTTATAAATGCATCTTTTCACTCAAACCAGTCTCGAAATACAGTATCAAAATATATTTTTATTAGAGATCTGGAACAAAAAAAAATTGTTTTTTAATTTTCTTCTATTACTCTACTATCCATATATAAGACTGCTTTTAAGACTCACTTAACCAAATTTCACTTATACGTTTCAATGAAATTATATTTTCACACAAAATACCCGAGACACTTTCGCTTATCCGACATACTATATAGATATAAAATGGTCTCTTGTCTTTGTTTGCAGATTAGCTGCATAGTTAAAAAGTACACGACGCAATTGGCTTGGTCTATTGTTTATAACAAATAATACCCTGGCTTCTCCATAGAAGCATTGCAATTAGGGTTGCCAGGTCGCCAAACCGAATAGCAGGACAGACCAGCCAGTTTAACCGGACATTTGGGTAGAAAGGCCAGACATCCTACATTATTAAGGCCACTGAGGTCACTGCCAAAACCTAACAAGAACCGAACAACCCGGACACCGTTTGTTTTGGTCGCACGCAATCAAAAAGCTTACATATGTACGGCTTTATCCGGACGCCTGGAACCGCTAGTTGCAAGTATGAAGTACATTGTTGTTTGTTTACACACCTAATACTTACCAAAATATTTTTTAGGCAAAATGTGCAAATAAATAAATTAAGCGAGTCGTACAGTAGTTATGGTAGAGCAGTCATAGTCTTTCACACTAAATTACACTCCAGACTTAAATGAATTGGTTTACGAAACAGAAATATGAAAAATTAAGATATAATAAATTTAAAACACTGTTTGGTTGGCACTGTATCGATTTCAATATATTTCATTTACGCTCAGACCTGACGTTTTGTTAAATCTCATCTGAATAGCATTCCTACATATTTCAACTCAACACAGAAGCTATTCAAACACACTTTATTTTATGGTTTTCAGCATCTAAAACGTAAATCGTATTCTATTAGAATTGATTCTTTTATAACTACGATACTGAAACTGAAATAAAAACAAATCCTGTCTAAACATGTCTTTATCTAGCATCTAGTAAGGAACTATACCGATATTCACGTAACATTAATGAATCACATTTGTTATTGTTCGTTAAATGGGGACAGTTGCGCAACGATTGCCGCTGCCGTAGAGGGTCCTGATGACGTCACCCGCTCGCTGAAACGAAAGTGAAAGTCGCCCATGTCTTGTTTAGGGTATAGAATACAACAGGCTAATGCTAATTACTTTTGTGTCTTATGAATGATGAATTTAATTCATATCTAATAGTACGCTTCCATTGCTGAAACTCTTGTATAAAAGATATTGGAATCTCACACTTTTTTCTTCAGAAAAATGTGACAGTAATATTTTTGCGTGTTATTAATGCAATGGAAACTAATATATGATAAATATGTAAATATATTATGTAAAAAAATGTGCATTTTTTTAATCGTAATAATATGTTATTTCGATCTATATATTCATAGGATAATTACAATATGCTTCCTACTAAATGATGTAATACATAGGTGAAAGTTAAATAATATTATAAAAAATATATGTATGTATGTACATTATATTATAATAAACCATAAATTGATTATGTTGTACTTCCTTTATAGAAGAAATTTCGAAAAAATGATAGTATAAAAAATTATATCGAATGTTTATATATTAGTATATTCATGATTCATATATAAATTATTAATAAGTGTTTTAATACAAACTAGCTATCGCCAGCGACTCCGTCCGCGTGGATATATAAAAAAACTTAATTAGTGTAGCCCACCCACCCATCCACATCACATCCGTCTAAACATTCGCATTTATAATATTTATAAGTTAAATAAAAAGCAACTCTTGAAGGCATAAATTCGAAAAAAATAATAAATAGTATCCTATGTCCGTCTCCTGGCTCTAAGCTCCTTACCAATTTATAGCCATATTAGTAGAGCCGTTCTTGAGTTATAAATAGTGTAACTAACACGACTTTCTTTTATATATAAAATAAGATGTAAAACATAACGTAGCAAAAGAATCTCAAATGTACACTAATTAAATATATTTTACTGAACTACGCTATTTCATTTCAGTTTTAAAGAAGTTTGTAATTGGTAGATCGTACAGGACTCGTCAGTAAAAAGTTGATCTGTGATTTAATCAAGTTGGCCAACCCTAGTCTACTACACTTGTACACATACTGTTATCCCTCATATTCTCTTTGAATATAACAGAAACAACAATACGTATCAATATATACAGTAATAAAATCAATCAATTGGCATACTTCTGACGAGTACTTCTTACTCTTAATAATAAAATATTATAAATGCGAATGTTTAGATGGATGGATGGATAAGGAGCGTCGGTGGCTCAGTGGTCTAACGCTTGACTTGCAATCTGCAGGTCCTGGGTTCGAATCCCGCCATGTACCAATGTGTTTTTCGATTTCCGATTTACATATGTACATTTATCCGACGTTCTTACGGTGAAGGAAAACATTGTGATGCAACCTGCACACATATCTGAGAAGAAATTCAAAGATATGAGTGAAGTCAACCAACCCGCAGTAGGCCAGCGTGGTTGACTATGGCCTAGTCACCCCTAACTTAGGTTAGGCTCCGAGCCCCTCGGTGGGGACTGATGATAATAGATGGATGGATGTAAGTTTCTTTAAAGGTATCTCCAGAACGGAACAGCTGAGTGTATCTCTTAAAAATATGGCATAGATGTAGAACATAGCCGGGAAGAAGACATAGGCTATTAAATAAGTTTGTTTTTAATCCCGCGCGGTCGGAGTTGTGGTCGTGCTAGTATCCCCCCCAGAGGGAGCTGCCTCGGCAGCTGGCGCAGACGGGGCCGCGAACGAGAGCGAAAGCGTGCCCGTGGTCCCGTCCCGATGCGTTGGAGGAACAGAGAGGTTTAGTGGGTATGCCTCCGCTATGGAGGGGAATCCCACATAACTACCGCGCCCCCCCCGGGGCGCGGAGTATGCATAAAGCATTCCTCTCTGGAAAAAAAAATGATCGTGCTAGTACAGCAATAAATGACGAGTACAACTTTTGCAATGTTATCATAAGATTGTGAAATTAAAAACAAATTCAATTAAATCGATCAAAGCATTCAAATCAAATTAAAAATATCTTAAAACAAATCAAATCTCATTTGGAATATGAGTTACTTTGAGTTCATTTACTTTCTTTATTAAAATGAAAAAGAAATTGTACATTTGGCTGGTATTTAATTAAGTGACGGAAGTTTACTACGTATTCTTTAATTCACTGCGCCTCACATAGCGAAAGCGTAACGACATTTCGTATGTCATATTTTTATCTTGAAAACATAATTTTAATAATAATTTTATTTAAATTATGAAAACAACGTGGGATCTTAAACACGCAACATAATAGGGAACTTTAATAAAAAGAGAACAAGCTGTAAGGCATATTTTCTACAGAATTTGACGTGAGGCAAATGTGTTCTCACAATTTTATTTCGTAGTTATCTTACCTAGAATAACATGGAATGCAAATAAAATCTAATAATCTTACTAATGTTATAAATGAGAATGTTCGGATGGATGGATGTTTGAAGTTATCTCCAGAACAGGTGCATAGATATCGCTGAAATTTAGTACAGATATACGATATAGTCTGGAAGCAGACATATAGTACTTATAAAGTTTTTATTTAATTCCGCCCGGACGGCGTCGCGGTCGACACCTAGTATCTTATAATATAATAATAGATATTATATTATGCTAAGAGAAATTGCAATAAAGTATAGGTATCCTAGAGATCGGAAGTATATTTGAATTCTATTGGCTCATTATCTCGATTAGTGAAACTCAAATGAGCATTGCCTAGAAGCAGTTGTGACCAGTAAAAGCGTACCAACCCTCGCGAGACGGCATTCTCGTCTAACTTTCACTGACGGGAACACAACGATTTCAACTGTAATTGATCCGTTGGACAGTATCCTTTGTCGCTGCATTGAATAATTTCAATTTGTGTGCAAAAAATCTATAAAATTTACGTGACATTGGTGATTGTTAGGGAATTTTGTCCTCATAATTAAAAAAAGTTTAATAAGATCACTCTGTAAATAAAAGGTCTTGTTACTATTGCTACTTTAATTTTCCTACATAATAAGTATTAAATATTAATGAACATATAAAATATTGCGTACACACATCCCAATTAAATTTTAGCGCCTGCAATAAAATTATAATAACATGTGTAATTTGAATACGCCTTAAATCCTAATTTTGTTTGTCCAGGCGTCAGGATTATTATCTGATATTCATACATAGCAAAACATGTGTATTTTATTAAAGTTTAATATTCCATAAGGACATAAACATCATAAATAAGAAAATGACTGATAATTTAAATATTATATTTTTTTATGAAACCTTAGTAATTTAACGAATATTTATTTTGTACCATTTACTTAGATACTATTATCAGGAATTCACATTACTATCACGAAAGGTCACAAAAAATGTTTTCCTTCAATAATTATTTCTCAAAACGAAACATCAATGGGTTTATAGAAAATTTTATTATAATTGTGTATATTGTCCTCTGATTAATATTAAATAAACAAAAAATAAATAAATAAACATAATATGTGAAAATTATAATTTTGGTAATATTCAATACATTTTAGATTAAAGATAAATTTTACAATTAAAAATAACATGCATATTTAATTTTATTAATAAATACAATGATTTTAAGTTACTAAACATGGATGAAAACATTTATCCTTGTTTAACAGCTTGACTGTAACTGTATGGGCGAATGACACTGGCTTTACCCTGACTATCGTAGAAGTTAATTAGATGTTGTACACTGCCGGGACCAGGTGTAGTGACAGGCTTAGCTGCTGGGGTAGGATACACGGGTACCGGTTTCACCTGGGTCGGTGCTTGAGTAGTTTGAATTGGTTTCGCAGCTGGTACAGCTTTAATCGTAGTTGGTACGGCCGGTGTCGGTTTAGGAACGTTAGCAGGTACAGATGTAGGCGCTGGAACAGCTGGAGCTGGGTTTACAGGGCGTTGACCTGCTCTCACGCCACCTGACTCCATGTTGATAAATGCGAGGTTCGCATTTTTGTCAATAGGCGCGTATACTTTACGACCTAGAATATGTCAATGACAATTAATATAAGAAATTGTTGATTTTATATTTTGTTTATTCATAAGAGTAAAAATAACAATTTTGGAAAATCCGAAACAAAACAACATTTTTATTACCAAACCTCCAAATTACAAAACCTCCATGAACGCGGAAATTATTTTGCATAAACAAAATAACAAAGAAGTAAAATGTATATAGAAATATAACCTATAAAATGGTTGTTTAGTAAACGCGTCTCCATTGCTTATCGCAAATACAAATAACAGCGCAGAGTAAAGAAATCTACGAGAAAATCAATTATAGTGAACATATTTGTTAACATTAGTTTTAAACGATATCAAAATTATAAATTATACAATTTATAACAGCTGTTACAATGTTCATTACTCAATACATATTCATAAAGCATAATTTTAAATCTTATTTATAATAGATTAAAGTTACTTACATTCAGCATAATAAAAGGCGAATAATAAAATAAACGCGATCTTCATATTGTCTAACTACAGCCTACGTTTGACATTCAAGACCAACTAACTAGTATTGAGAACCGCCTGGCAAATGTTTTCGGCAAACTTGTAGCTTGTCGGGTCACGTCATCTTTGCCTCACACTGACCTTTGTTAGTTAACCTCGAACGATAACTTGAACGGACGAGAGTGGACTGAGATTAAGAATGTTATAAACAAGAAATATTTACTTGGAAATCATTTTGATAATAAATTAAATTAATCCATCTTACTCATATGAGAAATACGAATATTTGGATAGTTGAATGGATGGATGTTTGTTTGAAGGTATCTCCGGAAGGTCTGAACAGTTTTTGATGAAATTTGGCACAGATGTAGAACATAGTCTAGAAAAACACGTAGGCTACTTATTACCTTTATTTTCAATTCCGCACCAACGGAGTCGCGAGCGACAGCTAGTTTTGAAGTTTTTTAGCTAGCTACCTCATTATGAATGTTCCTCTAAAGGTCTGGTACCTCTTACAAACTGAATTGATTATGTTTTATCGAAATACGAACAAAGAAATAAGTATGCATAATAATTTGTTTCGATACGTCACTCTGTGCTGTTGAATTATTAAATTAGAATATTAAAGTTTGAACAATGGACAGCATGTTCTTTTTTATTTGCACGGTATGTGGACATAGGAAGATAGCTATATTTATTACAATTGGCGTATCTCTTCTCAACTTGACTTATAAGAGTACAGAAAGTTAAATATATAAATATACATAATATAGCAGAATTTATTCAACAAGATATCTTTGTAATGTCATCGTGAATGGAAATCCATATAACAATATCGATCGATAGAGTTTCTTGTGCGACACTAAAGCAGTTCAATCATCGGTTCCGATGCATTATACATAAAGTATGATACGATTTTCCCGGCGAAGGAACATCTCGGCAGCTCGACAGCTCTCGGCACGCAAGTTTTGCATTACACGCGCGCGCTCGTCTGAGACTGCCTGCCTCTGATGTCTCTTTTCAAATAACTTTCTTTTTGTACTTATCGACACTTCAACGCTTCAACTAAAACATCGTACTGATATTACAAATGCGAATGTTTAAATGATGAATGGATGGATGTTTGTTTGAACGTACCTTCGGAACGGCTTAACGGATCTTGCTGAGATTTGGCATAGATGTAGATGACACTTATTAAGATTTTTTCAAAGCGGACAGAGTCGCGGGCGACAGCTAGTTTCTTATAAATTTGAGATAGAATTCTTAACCTGGGATATAAATTATTGTTGGAAAAATAGGATGACATTCCAACCATTCCCTTCTGTAAACTGAAAATACCTTGTCTAAATATTTAGAGAGCTGGGTAATGTGGCTGACACATCGGCAATAACATGGACACATGAATCTAGACGACGTACGTATGTTATTTAATACAATGGGCAGTGTATGGGAATGTGTCAATTCCTTCGTAGTACAATAACTGTATCAATCATTACGACATCAACCAATAGCATCAGCAAATATAAACAGACCAGGTAATAACGACTAGTGTGTCAGTCATTTAAAACATACGTACGATACGCGACGGAGTGATTGATTTGTGTCTATTGATACATACACCGTACGTGTGAGTCCTTAACGAGGGACCGAGGTCATTGTTGTTTACCAAGGTTTACTAACAACTGGCATTGATTATGCCGAACGATCATTGCTTCTAAAACTGGAAATCGAGTGGAAAACGAGTTGATTCTCGACAACATGCCGTATCTATAGATATATAGGCGGCTGGAAATGACGTCATCCTGAGGTCGCTCCGTATCGCAGGCGACGCGAGCGCGGGCATAGAGATCACTAGTGCGTCGCGGTCGTGCTAGAACTAACGTCCTAGCCACCACAGAAACATGAGAGTAACGCTGGTTCTTCTGCTTTGTGCGGCGGCTTGCCACGCCGATGATTTGGCGCAGGCCGCCGGCCAGATCTTCTCCAATATCCTACCGAACCTTATAGGCAATTCGGTGACGGGTCAACAAGGGAACACGGCGACTAACACGCTTCAACAGATTGGCACCGTGGTCGGTGGCGTCGTCGACTATGCCAAGAAAAAGAGCTACGAAGACATGCTGCGGCAGGTGCAGGACTCTACCACAGATGATGATATTTTGAAGCTCAGCGAGGAAATGTTCAATGCGGACATCAACAATGCACTCAATTACATACAAGTCAATTTGCAAGGGAAAACTAGCCCCCTCTCCAAAAACGACGAAGCCCAATCAAAGTGAGTAGATTCATTTTTCATCAATGTCCTTTTGATATAAAAAAACAAAACCTTCACTGATGAATCACCAAAAAAATGGTTACTCAGCTATTGTGATTTTAAAAGCAACCTTAATATGTATATCAACAAAGTTACATAACTAAGAGTATAAAGATTGAAATCATATTATTATTTAAATTACAATACCAACGAAAGGTTTATATACAATTTAAAACTTGTTTTACAGCTTATTAAATGTGCCAGAGAACGTGTGGAACGGCCCAACAATTCGACCTTTCGTTGCTCTTTTCGACAACTATCACAAGAATGTCATAAGGCCAGAGTTCGTTACACCAAATGTAAGTTATCTTTTCAAAACATATCTTCATCTGAACCTAAAAGTAGCAAGTAAATTAGCACTTTAATGACACAAATGCGAATGGTCTCTCTGAATAAGGGGATCGGATTTCGCGGGGCATGACATCATTGAAATCATGTGTATTTTCCTCACTTTGCCTTAGTCAATCGTTTATAAATACTTAGACTCAATTTGTTATCTGTGCTATTTTAACGGTAACCAAAGTCACAAAGGAAACAATTTTGTGATCACAAAATTTCAAAATTAAACGTTAGGGCTAGCCTATGTATGTGTAGTTTCTTCTCTAACAGTGCAAAAAGACAAACAGAAATCTCGATATATGTTAGCATACAAATTATGTCTGGTCAGTAGATATTAATTTAAAAACTAATCTGAAATAAGTGCGAAATCCGTTGCATGGGATTCTAACGTTTAAACTAAGATAAACGCCGGCAAAACAAGAAGTCATAAAAAACATTTATATTTTATACCAGGTCTTGCACATCCAAAGGACTATCGGTTTCAAGTTTATTTGATCCGAACGACAAAACAAAACATTAATTGATTAAATTAATATATATAAGATTAAATTAATTGTTAGTAGAATTAGTATTCTAGAGGACTATGCTATAAAGGCCCTCTTGTCCCTTTCCCTTAGGGCCGTAAATTAGTATGTAACGTAATATCATTTTTTCAGATTACTCATAATATCGTAATGTTTTTCTTCCTCAAACATACATTTACAGCAACGTTGTTATTCTTTACCGAGGAACACAATAACTCAATAACCACTTAAGTAGCATGAACAAATTGAGTGACAGCGACAAAGGGTATCGATTTCAGTTTGATCGCGAACTGTGAAATTTAAAATAAGCCTAGTATCTGTGTTAACACGGTTATAAAATTACAGTAGTAAGTTCTAATTCAGGGCCTTTTTGAGATATGGTCCAGAAAGGCCCTTATGGAGGCGTTGCTCGCGCCTGAGTTAAATATATGCTCGTTTTTTCACTTCCTATTAGAAGAAATTTATCCGTTTGCCAAACTACAACTGATGATTTTTTATTTAACAGGAGGAGTCGGAACAAACAACATACATTAACACTATCTTGGCCACCGGCCCCATTAGAAGTTTAATGACGTTCTTGGTTAACAAAGGTAAGTTTACCTAATTTATTTTTACAGTACTAGTCAGTGAAATAGTTCTTTTTATGAGGAAGCAAAAGAATACAACTTACCTTTTTTTTGTAATTTTAGGCTTGACACAACTTAATGAATACAATGAACAAGTGGAATTATTAAAAAAGATTTGGTTCACAAAGTACGCGCGTCACTGGACCGGCCTTTGCAAATGCAGTTGTGCTTTTGAAAACATCTTCATGGCTGAATTGAAATCCAATGAAGTTCTTGGTAAGATATTTTTTCACCATATTTTTTTTTTAAATTAACACGTGAAAATCGATAAGAACTCTTTTTAAACAAATTATTAATTTTTCTTTTTCATTATTTTCAGGTCTTCACAGCTGGTTATTCTTCGCAAAGCGCGAGATGGATCGCAAAGCCAATTACCTTGGCTATATTGATAAGCTGGATTTGTCCGGAGTAAGTAATTCAGAAATCTTCAAATAAGAGTTTGGAATGGGTACCTAAACCCCGAGAGTGGGGCTTACCCATTTCTTTCAATAAAAAAAGTAATGTCAAGTCTTATCGGGTCTAATATATTTTACCTTTTACAGAAAGGATTGATCCTGAAACAGCATTCCATCTTGAGTGAGACCAAAGATGCACCAGAGATCACTATGTTTGTGGGCACATCACCCGAGTTGGAGACCGCGCTCTATACTCTATGCTTCATGGCGCGACCTGACAGACCATGCAAACTGGCCTACAACAACGTACACTTTACCATACAGACTAAAACATTGAAAGCAGAAAATGTACTTCTCATTGACACCGCTTATCCGACCTATTAATTACATTTTGTAAGTTCACCAAAATAGTTGTAGGTTATGTTTGTATGGATATTCTTTTATTTATGATTTTTAGTAACATCAATTGTGAAGTCATCTAGTAAACGATATTTCTTTCATACTTGTTTTAATAAGACTGCCCACACCTAAATGTTTAAAAGACTAAACTAGAAAAATATTAAGGAAAAAGTAGGTTAAAATATGCAGAGAAAATGCTTTATTTAAGCCAATTATTTCATATTTTCGTGCTTAAATCATTGTTAGATATAAGGGACAAAGTTCGATCGATTAAGTATGATAGGAGAGGAATCAACGAAGTATGAAGTAATAATAGGTTATCAAGAGTGCCAGCAAATTGCGATAAAAACCGAATAACAAACAGATTATTAATATTTAAATTATGTCGAATAAAACAATTCAATGTTGTTTCTGATTTATTTAAAACATTTTTAAAAAACGTTTAACAATAAACAAAAAAACATATACCATAAATAATAAATCGTATCAAAATATCGCAAAATTATTCGTTATTTCAATACTTCGATGATAGGTTTTTTTTTATAAGATTATTTTGCAGATCAAAAATTCTTATTTCTATATCTTAATAATACGGCAAAAAATATATTTTATAAAACTTCCGACTAATTTATGCATGAATTATTACATTGTTTTAATTTATTATTTGAATTATGCAATTTTTTTGGATTCTTTTGTCCCTTTCATTTCCTACTTTAATTTGACATTAAAAAAATCACTTTGAATTTTGGATCTGACATTTCCTTCAAAGTTTTTGGCAAGATTGGAATTTTGTGACATTCCTGTTTAATAAACAAAAATCGAAATTTTAATACTCTACCAATATTTTAACATTTTAACGACTATCTTACAATATTAAAGAAAAAAAAAGATTATTATTTTCGATGAAAAAACACTATCCATGTACTAAGTTCTTGTTTTTCTGCATTAAAATAAAAAAAATTGAAACATTTTCAAAATTATATGCACATATAAAATGACCATAAAACTTGAATATGAAAAATATATTTTCAACTTAATAACTAACATATATCTATAAGAAAAAAACTGGAAAAGAAAATATGTTAAATACTTCGGACTAGAAAAGTATGAGCATAATTTTAACTTCATATCAAAACATCGTTTAGGAATACATAAAATGGCATATTTAAATGACAAAATTTGCATATTAGGGTTCACTTTAGAAGTTGACTTTGGAGTAAAACCTTTTAAATAATATCAGACTCTTACTACATATGGATAAATGATTTTTAATATTATGTTTTATATTTATCTATTTTTAGACATTATTAATTAAAATCCTTTAGCGCGAATGACGTGCTTTCGTTACAAAGTCCAGTGTCAGAATGAATAGTGAGGGGACATAAACGTCGACATTTTAGTAAGGCTAGTGTTGAGTCAATACACTGACACATTTTCGGATTTTCTTCCTAACACTATGTAGTAATAAAATTATGGAGTTTTAAAGACTGATTATATATGAACACTTAATTAGCGACAGATCAGTGAGTAATATTATTTTGTATTTTATTACACCAAGACATGATTTATATTAAAATATGTACTGAAACATGTGATCAGAGAAATATCCTATACTAACAGAAAATAATATTCCTTCGTAGGAATAGTAATGGCACTTACAACTTCCAAATGAAAAATACTGCAAATAAAATTTAATCAAAAATAAAATATTTTCAAAAAAATACTGTTAGATATATGAGGCAGAAGATATACTGTTCAAATCTCAATTAATCTTAACAATTATTTTACATCTTAAATATACAGGTTTTTAAAAATCAATTTTGGATCACCATGTATATCGAACACTAATCGTTGGTTTCCGAGACCAAAGTAAAAACATAGAACATATTATTATCTCTTGTCTTTATATAGGGATTTTGGTCTCAGAAACCAACAATAAATAATTCAAATTAGAAATAGAAAAACCTATAATATAGCTTGTTCAAACGAAATAAGATCCATATTCGTGCGGCATGACACCTCGCCTGGGATAAAATGTATGAGTCAATGAGTAGTTGAGAAGATTCCTTATATTTGATGTATAAATATCTGCAAATCTAAACAAACGTCTAGAGAAATACGTTGGATTGTGATAAGTGCGGAACACGCTGCCGAACTGCTTGTTGAATACCGATTTTGTATCGTTCCTGGAAATTTAAAAAAAAATCAATAATCCACGAAATAACTAAAATAGCAATTAAAATCAAGCCAATATTTAAATGCATATAACAATAAATAAAGTAAAAAAAAACATTTTTTCTTATGGCTTTCTGTTTATCTTACTAATATTATAAATGCGAATGTTTTGATGAATGAATGTTTGAAGGTATCTTCGGAATGGCTGAATGGATCTCAGTAAAATTTGGTATAGATGTAAACATAGCCTAGAAGAACACATAGGCTAAAGTTTTTTTAATTCCGCGCGGATGGAGTCGCGGGCGAAAGCTAGTAATTAATAAATAAAGATATATAAAATCAATACTACAACACTCTACGGAGAAGAACATAACCAAATCACTTCACATTTCTAATAAAAAGAGAGAAAAAATTCTAAATAAATATACGCACTGTGTTTGTTGGGCGATGCTTTGTAACAAGAAAATCATCAGTCAGTTATAAAAATAGATATTTCACAATAACATTAGTTTCTAAATGAAAATTGTAAATTTAAACGTTCCACTTCCACTTCATACAATATTAAATGCGTATTATCTTACTACTATTGTAAATGCGAATGTTTGGATGGATGGATGGATGGATGGATGGAAGAAAGACAAGGATCTTGCTGAAATTTGTCATAGATGTAGAACATAGTCTGAAAAAACACATAGGCATTAAGTTTTGTTTTACTTCTGTAGAAACGGATTCGCGGGCGATAGCTCATATTTACATAACACGGACTTTATCAAAAACCTAAGAGATGGTATTAGCAATAAGGGGCAAATTACGACATTATTAAATCAGTTTGTAATATTTTAGACTAAATTCCAGATAATAAATATTTCCATGCCAAATTAATAAGTAAACGGGGGAATTAGACATGCAAAAGTGCAACATTGGTTAGCATAAAGATAAAAAGTTGAAGTTCATATATACTGAAACGATGGTGGGAGACTGAACATTATTTGACATACCTGAGCTGGTCCCGCTCTGCCATCCACTGTGCTATGACCTCCACAGCTTCAGGTTCTTTGTGGTCTTGATGGTCTTCTATGATCTGCGTCAACATCTGTAGCCAGTTGGCATTCTCCTTGAAGGTCTGCGTGTTCAGCGTCTTTATTTCGTGCTGAGAAAGTAACAAATGGTTTTTCATGTTCACAAATATATACAGCGTGTCCCAAAATTCAACGATAAGGTATACACATAGCCAGATCAATAGCACATACTAGCACCACCGAATTTGTGTGAATTAATAGTATATTGAAGTGTAATTTAAAAAAAGTGATATTTCATACACATTATGTAGTTCCATTGCTGATAACATATAAAATGTTTGCCTGTCTGTCTGTATGTCTGTGTTCGTTCTGAGTAATCTCCAGAACGGCTCTATCGATTTTAACTGGTCTTGGATGGGAAGATAGTGATTCACGCGAGCAAATTATAAGTTACTTTTCTTAATACTCCTCTGACGAAATCGTAGGCGACCGAAAATCTTACTATCGTACTAATTATAGTTGCGAATGTTTAGATGAAGGGATGTTTGTTTGAAGGTATCTCCAAATCAGGTGCATGGATCGCGTTGAAATTTGCCATAGATGCAGAGCATAGTCTGGAAGAACACATAGGCTATTTACTAAATTCTTTCATTTCCCGCGGGAGGAGTTGCGGGTAACAGCTAGTATAACATAGATATAAGATATGTTTACTGTAAGTTCATTGATGATGGCCCCGGTGCGCCAGCCGTGTTCCAGCGTGACGTCGGCGAGGTCGCTGTAGGGATGGTCGCCGAAGTACAGCACCTGGTGACCGCACCATCCCGTCAGCTCCTGCAGCTGCTTCACCGTGCCCTGCAACAATATAATGCTAATAACTACACACCAACATGATATCTCATCATCAAGAAACTTATTCACCATTCATCATATAGGATTAATTAGACAAAGAAAAGAGTAAGAAAGTAATAAGAACTCAATCTTTCAAATTGGTAAAGCAGTTTAGACTAGAGAAATTGCAATAAAGTTAAAACTTATAGTCAAACAAGGATATGTAGCCGGATGAGAGGCCCCGTTATCGTGATTAATTCTGTCAGAAAATATGTTAACCTACATGGGCATAGAAAATGGCAAAAAAAGAAAAAAAACATGAAGTGACAGCTATGAAAAAGACCTTATGATACTTTTTTGTTATTGACAAGAGGGCGCTAGTGAGTGACAGTATTTTAGTTTGACTTATATGCACTGAGGTCAGATATCCTTCTTGCCTATCTATATATACTCTATATATATATACTCTTTTTCTAGGTTGAGATGTTTTTTATTTTTATTATAGTAGTAATTATAAAAAAAACAGTACAGTAGTTATAATATACTTATTTGCAGTTTACTTACCTCATAATAAATAATGCCTTTTTCCAGAGATGTGACTTTCTCCCAGATATGAGTGTTGGCATTCTTGTCGAAAACACGTATAGGTCGAGACACTTCAGTGAAGAATTTAGGTTTGTTCGCGTTTACTATCACAACGTCGAAGTAATCTCTCCAATCTGAACCCACTAACATCTCCATGCCGGCGTTACTGCAACAAACATGTTTTTAATAATAAATAAACTATGAACTGGGTTTGAAAGTACGTAATAATAACATATATTACATGCAAAATGCAACATCACACCAAAACCAAACCAAAACCTATACACATGCATTTACTAGAATCTATTTAGTATTTTGATAAAGTTATCAAAAGCATATACTAACTAGAACATTATTAATTTGAATAATTAAGTATTATTTTTAATTGAGATTTACATTTAAAAACTATTGTATTTTTCTCATAATATTAATAACTAAATTGTCTAAATTTTCTCAATCCATGCAACACTGGTTTAGAAATTTCTAAATATATCGGCAACACCCACAAAATAAAAATATTAATTCTTACACAAAATGATAAGGACTGTTTGTTACAAGGAACAATTTTTTATCATGGTCCCTTAGTAGTTGAAAATATTTTTTTAAATCTGAATTGGGCCGAATGTATTCATCCACATTTTGAGCTACAATCTTATGCATTATTGGATGACAGCTTTGCACTGAATTCTGAAATTAAAAACTTTATATCTAAAATAACTTATCATTTTCTAATAATATCGAAATATAAAAAAACAAAGATTTGAAAAATAAGAAAAAAAAATACAATAGTACCTTTACATCCAAGAAGAGGATTTCAGGATGATAATCTATATGGTTTCTAATAAAATATTCGGCGACATTACAAAGCAGTCCCATTTCTGGTACGGAAAACAGATCCGCTAAGTGCACCATCTTTGCACGGTTCTCCTGGAAATTAGGAAATTGCTATTTAATATTTTAAAAAAAATAATGAATAAATTACATACTGCTCAGATCTTGATCAAATTCAAATGGGTTCATACAACAATCATTAGCTAAATATAAAAAGACTCCATAAGCAATGTTTTAAGGTAACACAAAGAAAAAAACAAATGAAGAGGAAAATTCCTTTTTAATAATTTTGGTTAAAAGGGAAAAAATAACTGTCTATACTATAAACTTTTACTTTAAATAATAACAATATTGATATATGAATAAATTTTAATTCTTCAACATTTCCTATCAAACTAAGCATATCCCCGAAATCAATGCAACATGGTCACTTTACAATGAACGAACAAATGAAGTGCATTATTTAGTTATACCATATCATGCCATATAGACCTTGTGTCACAATGAAAGGGGGAATGATTGCATACAAGTGCCTTTGATTGCTTGCAACATACAACAGAATACATATGTCTACAAATGACACCACATTTGTAAATATAAAACAACATAGTATCAATACATCAAATTATGTTACTGAATTATAATTGGAGTATGTTTTTCATAATGCATTTTTTTAAACAAAATGGCAAATGCGTTATTACCTGAAATTGCCAAAATGGTGATGTGTATTGCCCATAGTCAAGTTAGAAGGTAGTTAGAGGAGATACAGAAAAGACATTTATCTTTCCTATATATCCCCTGTGTTTTAATATATGTTAAACATCTTTTAACTTTACATCGAGCCTTCTTGTTACTTGTTTTAAAAAAATATAAAATTACTTACTTTATGCGCTCTATTGTCACCCTCTACATATGCAATTGGTATTATTCTGTTCTTGTATATTTTAAGCACTTCCTCAGTTGATACCGGAGTTAATCCTCTGTAAACTGCACCAAACTGGATTTGTAGAAATGAATCCAATTTTAACAGCAGCCCCTTTTCTATGTCATAATGCAATCCTCTTACAGCAAAGTGTGGTTTATATTCCAATTTTGAAATTTCAGCTGGATACTGGAATGGAATATTAAAATTTTAAATCTTTACCAAGCTTGTACTTTCCCCTTACTTTTACTTATAGCGGGTTTAATTGGGTTTTCACTGCAATAACATATTGTCTTGCCTCACCATAAGTTTATACATTTTTTAACAGTTGAAAAAATGGGCCTGTACAGGCCTTGTGTTAATTCTCACATTTTTATTTACACTACAAAATGACATTCCTATGATTGACTATCAAATAAACATCAAACATTCCATCTATCTTATCTTAATAACATTAAAAAAACAAATTTTTTGATGGACAGATATGGATGACTATTTTTTTGTAAGTCAATGTTAATGAATTCTAACAAGAAGAACATAAAATAACATATGCTTTGAGTATTGTTATAGCTATTGATCAATGAAAAAATAAACAATGTTAAAAGGGAAAAGAAAAAGTTAATGAAGATTTATTATCAGCCAGTTCCTTGGATACAACTGGCCAGTAAGTAACACAAATGAAAGATTTTACTCAATAATACTGATAAGGACATGACTGACCTTATACTTTTCTAAAAGCATATTCCTTCCAAGGTTGTATAATAAATGTTCTAAAGATGGTTTGTAGTGGGCTAGAGTATAATCATAATCGAATCCATACACTTTAACTTCTGATAAATCTAATTCATTGCATGCAAACACGCCTTTAGGATTAACATCTTGTGGGAGTTTCTTGGCTGGAAACAATAAATTAGTTTTAAACCCAAATTAATCTTATGTAAAAAAAACTACAAACTTTCTTTTACTTACATTTACACTTTAGCTTAGTCCGAGAATAAACATCGTTAAGAAATTCTCGTGAGGAATAATTTCTAAATAGATTAAAGTATAGCTTAAGTTTATGTTGAGACAAATTTTTATTAACTGTGCCGTTAAGCAATGTATACATTGAATTCATTTTAGCTTTGAAAATTAAGCAAAAGCTTAAGTTTATTGATTACTGCAATATTTATTGTGATAGGATACAGATGTGACTTATTTAAATAAGCTAGTAAAACTAAAAACACGATAAAAATAAATTTCACATTGCATAATTTTCGTCACGATAATGTTCCATGTTCGTTAACACTCGCAACACGTGCGTTCACGTTCTCGTCTCGTTCGATTTTCGAGTTTTGGTTTGACAGATTTCAAATTTTTAGATTGTGCACAGTGTTACTAGTTAATAACAAATTTTCTACATATTTGGAGAAAATTAGTAATTGAATTTTCGACTACATATTAATTTTCACTTATACGTTTTATATGGTCTAAAAAGGTTCCTGTTGAACCCACGGTTCTGTGCAAATTCGAGGTTCAAAATTAAAGCCAAGCAAAATTGGCTTCACTGTAATATTTGAAAAAGAATTACGTATCGCAGTGTACTAAGTACTAATATCACTTTTAGGTGATGAACACACGATTTACTAACTCCTCAAATCGTTATGGAACGTTAGACTGGAAACAAGGAAATATTAAATGAACTATAAAATTGCGCGGGAATTTTAAAAAATCTTTTATTTTTAATTTTCTTATACAGACTACTTAAATTCCATACTATTAATCGATTTATTAATAAAGGTTTTAGCGAGGTTATTATAGTCAGCTCATACCCGTTCTAACCGACGGGCTCTGAGCATATATTAGGGGCGATTAGGCCTTGGTTGATATTTTACACACTCTACGCATTTTATTTTAAACAACATGGGACGTGTTGGGGTTCAATCCCAGACGTACAGGTTCCACGTCCGAGTCAATTAGCGTCCGAACCGAGTGCGTGTCCGACGGTATTCAACTTCATTGCTTTATTTTGTGCCAGATATCAGTCCAATTTGACGGTGACAGTAACCTCTGGTGATAATTCATCTAAATCATAGACTGGATGAGGTTTTAACTTAATAGGATTAATGTAAATAATATAAAGTTAAGGATTTTGGACTATTTATTGATTGTTAACAAAACATAACTTTTTAGAATAAAAATCGTAATTTACAAACCATAGTTTATTTTAACTTGTTCAGTGGTTTTATCAGAATGTACTTATATGTAGTAAGTATAAACAAGTGTAAGTACTTAAATCTGAGGGAAGGCACTGCCTATGTAATTTTTGCTTCTATATCTAAAGTTATGTGTCAGTATGTTGACATCTTGGTTGGCGAGCTTCAGTCTGCAGTCGTCTCCCTCGCGGGTGACGAAGCAAAGAGTATACAGCGCAATTTCCAATTCTGGTGAAGTGCCGATGAACATTGAATCTACTGGCTTATCCACCCCTTGTTGGTTAAAATGTAATTTGATAACCACTCCTTTCTGAAAGTAATTATTGTCGTGATTTATTCAAAAAGTTATGACAAAAAAAACTTTGTAAGTTTATGTGAATTTGTAAAGATTTCGCTTGATTTTTTATGAATAGATTACTGGAAGCGTTACTTAAAACACGTCGTTGACCTTCCAATTCATCACAGATATTACTCATTCATCGACAGATTACACTTTATACTATACGTAGATAGATTTTAATTCAAAGTAAGCGAATGACCTTTAATTGTATGCTTCGACAATGTTGTATACTCACATCATTTAGTTGAACGTATTTCAAATATCCTAAGTAATTCACACGATTTGCGGCTTCTTCTTTCGAAAAGTATATCCAATTGTGTAAACCTGAGAGTATAAAATAAATTACTTATATCTTTCCGTGCCAAAAACTCAAAAGGTTTTTGCAATTCTACTGAAGGATAAAAACATTTTTTGCTACTTAAAAACATTTTGTCTGTACCTGATACTTCTCCATTTTTCAGCTCAGACACAAAAACATGTTCAAAACCGGAACTGCTGATTTTCCCTTTTCCTCTGGAGTATAAACCAAACCATAGTTGCTTTAAGAAATCCCGCTGTTTTGCTGGATCAGGAGGGACTTTCCCTAAAAAATGATTTTTTTTTACTCTTGGGACATTTATGTCGTACGTACGTTATCATAATTAGTGAATTCATTTCTTATTTCGGGCTGTTTTAAAATCATGTAAAGTAGATTACGACAGTACATTTTATGCTCAAAAAATGTCTTAATTTTTAATTTACATTACCTTTTTCTTTGAGGAAATTCATTAAATGCCGGATAACGGTTGTAGACATGATAGCATCAATGAATGCATTTTCTTCTGTTCTTTCCTGGAATGTATTTTACGCTTTGTATAGTAAGTTCTTATCAGTAAATTTAACTTTCTTAGAAATAAGAACACACTGAATTCTACATTTTAGCTATGTCTTTCTTTGTCCCCGTAAATTTGGACCCAATTATGAATAATCTGAAATGTCCCGATTCGAGTGGTTTTACTTCGAAATTGTTAAATATGTATTGCAGATATAGCTAAGAATTGGTTTTCAAATATTTTAGTATTTACAAAATTTTGCGTAAAAGATAATGGTGAGGTGTATCCTATAAAATCAAGAAATAGGTCTTGATTTAAAAATATATATCTATTTAGTAATAGGTCATATATTTTAGTATATATGATCTGAAATATATCATCGAAGCGTAACGTTATATTTAATTTGTCGCACCTGTGACGTCACATATTCGTTAACCAAGGTATCTCTTTCGTAATTATCCAAAAGTGGCAAAAACTTTTGAATAGTTGGAATATTCCAAGCTTCGGATGCTACGGTGAGTAATCTGCAAACAAGGAAAAATTTCCGATAAGACATTGTAAACAATCACTTGATATTCTCTTCATAACTAAAGGCAAATGCCAAATTTAATCCTATAAGGTCATGTCAAGGACTATGTTAGGGTTTCTTAGGCAAGATCTAGTTATGATACTTTGGTCTTTGTTATATGAGGTACAATAGCATAGGTCCTCCCTTTTAAAGATTTTTCAGGTCTTATTTTATCCGAAGTTTCGATCCACAAAATTGTAGTATGGTGATTAGGGGGCATGATTTACTAAACTAATAACACACTAGTAAATACGTTTCATAAAATAGTACTGCCTAAATTTTAAAAAATATGGATATAAGTAAAAGTGACGATATGTAGGTATTATTTTAAGAAATTGTACGTGTCAGTTAAGAAGTTTGCTTATTTTTATGCTATTTGTAGTTAGTAATATTTAACTTAAACACGTACCAGTAGTTAAGTGTTGTATAGTTATTTAAAATAATACTCACGGTTGCGGTGCTTTATCTTCTTTGGTACTAGAAGAGGTTTTCTCTTGAAAGTTGATTGTAACGTGTCTGGCTGCATTATTCGTATCTTTTTTCAGTAGTTCTTCGCTAATTGCTTGTAATTCGGCGTCAGTAGCGATAGTCGAGGAGCTGCCTTGATTTTTGTTGTTTATTATCGTACTTGGTAGAACTGGAACTGTTCCCGGTGTATTTTTTCCACTATTCGGAACTGTTGGTTTGTGGACCGGCGTTGGTGTTGGACTAGACGCTTTTGTTGACCCGCCGACAACGGAACTGAAACTTGGTACCTTTGGTGTTATAGACGGCTTAACCGTTGTTCCGACACTAGATCCTTGCAAAATAGAACTGTAACTCGGTTTCCGAGCATTATTATTATTGTTGTTAAAGTTATCGTAGAAATTAATGAGATCCTTTACGTTTCCTGTTTGTCTATTATTTTGTTGAGGTGGTTTTAGGGTTGGAAACTGTGGGGCGACGTAATCTCTTTTTGGTGATAATGTTGGTTTAACAGTAGGTCCTGAATGTGTAGCTGGACTGGGTGTAATGTTTTGTTGGGGTGATGTTGTTTTTTGATCGTGTTTTGTTGTTGGCTGTTGCGGCGCAACATAATCCCTCTTTGGCGATTGGGGTTTTGGTGTGGTTCCAGTCACGATATTCAAGCCTTGTGTTGTTCTTGATTGCTGTTGTGTTGTTGATGACGGTTTTAATGATGGGAATTCTGCTGAATAATCCCGTTTTGGAGCACTTGTTACTCCACCGGCTTCATGAAGTAAAAAATCTATATTGGTGTTATAACGTTGCACTTTGTTGATGCCTATAAGGAAAAACGTGATATTAATATTTAGGTAATTAATATGCGTATCGTAAAAGAATTTCAATATTATACATATCTTGGCGTAGAAGAATTAAACAGGTTTGTTTTTTATTTCTAATTTATCGAGATAGAGGATTAAAGCATTGTTGTTTAGTTATCGAAAATTATTTCAAGACTTGACCCCATAACTTCCAAAACATATGTAGGCAATATTGATTACTGGCTCCTTTGATTATCCATTGAAGATTTAAAACAAATAGTGCACAAAGTTCTAATAATATTTTACAAAAATCATTGTATCGATAACACGTTCTTGACCTATTCTAATCTCGTTTAATGAGCAATATCAGCAAATTTAAAAAAATACTTACAAATTCCAGTTTGTAAAAGTATTAATGTTGATAGAAATAAAGCTCGTACTCTTGAATCCATAATTATCGTAAAAAAAATATTAATAAAAATACTTCGTTACAACAAAAACAGCACTGTTTACATTTCAATGTTCTGTGACGGAGATAAATTCCCGTTACCCTTCTAAGTGACTAGAAAACTTATCACAAAAACGACCGCAGCTTGCGAATTGATTGAATGGACTGAAGACGAAGAGCGAAATAAAAGATTCAAGATTGAGATCGTATATGACTCGTTCAGTACATATTACACAATTACACAACACAAAGCGAGATCAACATGCGCTTACGTCACCGTGGAGCTACCGCTCTCACTTCGGATAGCGAAACCACGGCCTTAGTTTTATTACCTAGCTAATATAACTCTACTGTTAGTGAAAAAGGCACTTAAAAAAGTAAACATAAACATGCAATAAAGTACACGAACAAATGTAGATGTCCTATATTGAGAAGAGTTTTCCTTCTATGCCCTGAGCAGGGCCAAAGGCCCATTTAATTATTAACTGACAAGTTGAGATAGTATTATGCGTGGTTTGCATAATGTTCAGTAGCGCTCAACACTAACTGGCACTAGCCCATACAGTCCATGACAGGCCAGATCTATTATTCTACTGTACTGACATAATGTGAAACTGGCATTATATTCAAATATTTTTTCGTTATCTTAATCGCCATTTCTCTAATTACATGTGATTAATTACATATGAGCAATAAGGGTTAGTAATAATCTAGTTATGAACGAAATGTTAAAGCAATTAAACACATTTATGTTCATATTAATTAATATATTTCTTCAACATATAGCCAAGTATTCATAAAATACAACAAGTAATATTTAGACATACTTTTAAAAAATAGCTAATCCGATGTATTCTATTGTGTAGACAAAAGCCTTTGGCATTAATTGGCTATAAAATAATACAAAATTTAATAACGCACAAGAAAATTTATTTTGAGAAGATGCAAGTAATTTTAATAGAGCTGCCCATTTTGTCTAAACTAAAGTTTATTTAAGTTAATTGTTAAATTCAGTTTCTTAAACGCAGAGAAAATTATATTTTACCATTATAGGAGAAAATTTAAACTCTGGCCACATTCGCCGATAACTTTTGACTTGACTTTGACACTTAATATCATTTGAATTTGATAGGAAAGTTTGATTGAAGTGACAATAATGTTGATGTGAATTGCCGGTAAAATTGAATCACAATGCTATTATAACAACGAAATAAACATTGAAAAAAAGAGAATTAACAATGAAAACTCAATTAAATTTTGTAGAAATATTAACATGTTTCTGTGTATGGACTAGTGCTAATTTATATTCGTTGTTCAAGTTAACAGAGGCTCAATCGGGTAATTATTAAATATAAAACATATTTAATTATTTAACTCTTTGCTTACTATAAAGGATGTTTATTTTATAATGTTCCAGAAATATTAAATGGGAATAACGGAGATATAAGTAAAATCAGAGATCTCCAACCAGGTTGGGGTTTTATTCAAAGGCACAGAGATGTATCAGATATTGAATGGAGTAGTTGGAAATATTTTATTTATACGTCATTGGGTTACATGATATTACAATTTTTTATTTCGGAAATAATACGCAGGTTGGCATTGCCCTTGTTAAAATACTGGTACATCCTGTCAAGTACAATTTTCATTGTTTATAAAATGGGAATCAGACAATTGGTTATAGTTTTAATACAACCCATTTTATATGGTACTATAATATTTTTGGGTGGTAATAAACAAAGTGTATGGCTAATCAGTTTATTGCTTCTCGGAAGTTACAATTCCTTAAAGTACAAACAATTTTTTTGGAATTATTTGGAATATGAAGAAATGCAAGATGAAGAAGTTTATCTTATATTATTTAGTGTGGCATGGATTGAACTAAGATGCATTAGTTATAGTATAGATTATATAGAGAAGAGAGACAAGGATGAGACATGTACAATCTCCTTTTGGCATGACATAATAAATATGTTAAGTTACATATTATATTTACCTCTTTTGTACACGGGACCTGTTATACTATATGCAGAATTTGAGAAGAGTTTAAAAAACAAGGGTGGACACCTATGGTTAAGACTGAAACAATTTATTTTTGATTTGTTTGTATTCAAACTGTATACATTTATTTTAGACATTGCATTTCATTATTTTTATTTTTTTGCTATGCAAGATAATATGGAGGTATGTATTGTGAATGAAATAAGAAGCCCTTACATATAATAATGTTATACAAATATATTATGAAAGACATTTTCTTACAGTTGATTAGAAAAATGCCAACTATAGCTTTATGTGGAGGAGGTCTTTGGATGGGTTTAGAGTTTCATATGAAGTATGTTATATCATATGGAACCACAACAGCCTTTGCGAAGCTTGACAATATAGAAACTCCACCGATGCCAAGATGTATTGTGAGGGTTCATATTTATTCACAAATGTGGAGATATTTTGATGTTGGACTTTATCGCTTCCTTGTAAAGTAAGTTTTAAATATAATTAAAAATAAAATAATCTGTTTATCAACACCTTGATGCACAATATGCAATAAGTGATTTGTTAACACATCCACTGCCACTGACTTGCATGGCAAGTTCATTTTAATAAAAAAAAATGGTTGTGGCATGTAATGTGTTAATTTGGTAAAATAAAATTTAACTTAATCATTTTTAATTAATATTGTTCACAGATACATCTACAAGCCCGGGCTGGCTATTATTTCAAAATCATTGACCCTACCAAAAACAGCATATAAACTGCTCGCCTCATTAGCCACTTTTGTGTTTATATTTATGTGGCATGGAACTGTTTGGCATATATTTGTTTGGTCAATATTAAATTATATAGGTATCACATTAGAACACATAGGTAAAGAATTGTCAAAACACAAAAAGTACATATGGTTCAAGACAAATGTTTTAAAGACTGAAAAAATGGAGGCATGCCTTATTGCATTATTATGTACTCCATTGTTAGCTTTGTCGGCTATTTCCAATTTTTATTTATTCGCTGGATCTGAAGTTGGGGATTTATATTTTGAATGTTTTTTAAATCCATCATTGTGGAATAGTTTATTAATTAGTATATCATTGTATTGTTGTTGCCATGTTTCAATGGCATTGGTTGATGTACCTTCTAGAGGGGGCACACAGACAACTGTTAAGATGTATGAAAATAATTCATACTAGTGTTTTTATTTGAATTGAATTGGACGGTAATTATTAATAGTTCCTTTTATTTTTATCACATTTGAAGTACATATTAAATTAAGGTTGTGTCGCTTTACGCTTTTATTGCCTTCATAATTTATTTTGTATACAATAAAGTTATTTTTATTTTGAAATATTTATTTTTTATCTATTTTTTAATTAGTTTCACATTTTTCTTATGTGAAAAAAATCACAATTTATTTGATTACGGATTTTTCATGATTGGTCAAGGATTTTTTTGGACCATGACCAATATCAATTAGATTCAATTATCTTTCAATAATGAGAAACTCTTCATTAAATCACTATCGCAGCATCCTGCACATAATGCGGATAAAAATCTTTTTAAAATAACTTTACCAATGTATCAGTATGACCAATCGAGGGATAGAAGATAAAATTTAATCCATTATCTTTTCTTATTTTTTAAATTCCAGGTATATAAATAAGTTATCCATACATTTATGTGTAACTATAACATTTTATTTTTAAACTTAAAAATATTTCTCTTACATTTTTTAATACTTACAAGTTTACAAAGTAGAAGCAATTCCGCCTATAGTCTGATGGGTGTGCCGGCGGACTATTACAGTCCTTTTCCCCTTCCTGGAATTGACTCCGGGTATGGGGAAATATCCTTTTCGGTTTGTTTTGTTCCTTTATCCATTAAGACTACGCATCAATTTGTTGAATTTGTCTATGGTCAATTCGCTTTTTAAGCGAAATCTAAGCTTATGATTATATGAGAAATCTCACTAAGGTCCCTCTTAGTGACTAACTATCGAGTCAGAGCGTGAGCTTTAATATTACAAAGCTATCAATTGGTAAGTATTGGAGGCTTTGAGTAGTAGATATGAATGTATGTGCATAGCTTCTATAAGATCTCCGGCGTCTCCCGGAATGCCAGAAGCTTTGTGTATTTCGATCATTTCCTTTCTTGTGAATATATCTTTACCCAACTGATGAGATCGCCTTGTTAACGCATCTAAGAATTTTTTTAACTAAAAAAAAATACAATTTTATTTTATTATGTAAATAAATAAGAAAGTTGTCACGTATCTCCGTAACGGTTTGACGGATACCGATCAAATTAAGCACAGGTGTAGAAAATATTCTGGAAAAACACAAAGGCTACTTACTTTACTTCTAGAACTTATTCCAGAGCCGTTTATGGACCTAGACAGCTCGATGTTCCCGAATTCATCGCTAAATGTGTCCACCAAGCTATGTTTTATTAAACTGATGACGTCATTCGCATCTTTAGCAGTCGCCACCTCCCGGAGTTCAGCTCTTGCTCGGGCCTAAAATAACAGTATCAGATTACTACGCTATTAGGCTAGTCGTAATATATAAGAGAAAATATATTAAAGTGTTTTGGCTTTGCATTTGCTAAAATCAGTTCAATAGTTTAAACCGAACGCATACACACAAGATTACGTCATAAGCTGCTAAAACAGTAGCGCCCCTTACCAGCACTGGGCGGTTGCCCGTTCCACACCCTACCATTTTTTCGGGGGGAATTCAATAAATCCCCTCGATGGCCATCCTCAAGTACAACTGGTGAAAGTCCCGGGTCTAAAGTAACTAGGACTAAACGCACCCCACCCTAACACCGGCCCTGGCTCAAAGTACCTACCTGTGTGAGTCGTATGCTAGCTTCAAGCTGTCGTGTGGTGACAGGCGTGCCATCGTTGCTGCTGCTTTGCATGTTGTGCCTCAAATCTAAGTAAAAATCCTGCAGAGTGTCTGCCGCTTCAGGGCTGAGTGTGGGATGCACGTAGCGCCGCGCGTACGCTATATACTTACGGAGTAACACAAGTGGCAGCGAGTCTATCACCTCGCCTGGCTTTAAGCGTAATCTTTTACTGGAAAATTATTTTTATTGTATTATTTTTATTTATTGTTGATGTATGCACTACTGTGCGATACATCAACTATATATGTGCACGGTATAGTTTTTTTTATATATATTGGCAGCCCAAGGTCATCAGAGCTGCGGAATGCCCTCTTAACCACATTTGTTGCCCGAATGGGTCAGCTCGCTCGATCCAATACCATGACCACACAAGACAGGCATCAAATAGAAGTAATTCCGCGTATAGTCTGACGAGTGTACGTGCCGGAGGCTTCATTTTACTCACTTTACATTCCACCCTTATAAAGAAATGGGAAAGATAGGAAGGGGAAGTGGATTTGATGAAGGAGTGGACGCAATCGGACGAAATAGCTAACACATTGTATACAGCGACTCACGCGAAGCTAATAGCCATCAAGATATATGTCAAGTATGTATATTTGGATTTCGTTAATTGGATATATTTGTTACCTTAACGATACATCTTGATCATTTTGACTTGCTTCAGTATTAAGATTAGATGTATTACTTTTCGTAGAGTTTCCTCTACCAGAATGCCGAGCTAGAACATGCTCTGATAACATTGCGTCTGTTTTCTGAAACATCGACAAGTTAACTTAATAACTTTAGTCTAGGAGTAACGTGATCCAAGAACTAATCTTATATACCTCGTCTGGTTGATCCAACAAAATAAAAACCAAATCAAATCTTGATAGTAACGCCGAATTCAGCTTTAAATTCTCGGCAACTGTTTTAGCTCTGTATGGAATTAAAGAAAAACATTGTAGGTTTCCGATACCAAAATATATCATTGTCTCTGTTTTATCAAAGATAGTGAGAGGTATAACGATATGTTTCATACATGGTATCAGAAGCCAACAATAAATAGAATAAACGCTAATTAACTATGATTGTCAGGGAAAAGTACTTCATAGAAGAAATTTTTCTTTTGTTTCTATTGAAAGCTTGAATGAAATAAATAGAAGAATATCAAATGTCATACATAGCGGCCATATTGATATTTGACTTTGATTTTTTGAAAAATTTGAAAAATGATATTGCAAAATAATATTGGCTAATCATAATTAGTAATGTAAGTATTTTATTATAAATATTTTAGTATAGACTATATATAATTTTAGTGTACATTGTAGGTTGTCTATGGTTGGAATGAGCTATATTGTATTGAGTGTATGTGTGAGTGTGAATGTGTACGACCTGTTGTAGGAGCCGGCGGCGGGGTTGGCGGCGGCGAGGAGTGTGGCGCGGGCGGGCAGGCTGCACACCACGCCGCCCTTCGCCACGCTCACCCGCCGCTGCTCCATCGCCTCCAGCAGGCTGCTGTGGTGTGACGTCATCTGATCACCACATAATATTCATCTATACTTTGTACCCTCCATATTTATTAAATACTCTAGTAAGACTGTGACAAATACATTGACAATAAAATTACGCGAAAATTAATTTGATAATCGTGCTTTAATTTTTTTTATATAGGTATCTGATATTGTACTCATGAACAAGGAGGTAAGTAAAGAAAAGTAACGATGGCTTGCGATGTTACCTTATCCAGTTCATCAAGACAGCAGACGCCCTGGTCTGCGAGCACGAGGGCTCCCGCCTCCAGCGCAAAGTCCCCGCCCGGCTCGCGGCCCAGCGCCACCGTCAGCCCGCCGCCAGATGCCGACGCCCCGCACACGTACACGCCTGCGCGCCGCACGCAATACGTACGTTTATTTAAATTAAAAAAAATCTAGTTGTCTAACAAAAGGAGGTTTCAGTATTCCTGCACACATCAGCTATCATCCAGAAAAGTTCCGACAAGATCGGCCCAGTCGTTCCGGAGATTACCCGGAACAAACTCAGAGTGTGGGCACGTAGACAGAGTAAAATTTTAAATGGGTTTTTCGTTATGGGTAAAGCAAATGTTACACGAAATATAATTCTTCATGACATCATATCTTAAGCAGAATAAAACAAAAAAAAACTACTACAAAGCTTGTAAATACATAAAGAAAATAAAGTCACAATACATTATAATAATTTTCCTACCTCTCGGTGCCGCGTGAGCCGCTGCTTGCAATAGCTGCGACTTCCCAAGGCCGGGGTCCCCCACTATCAACACATGAGGGTGTGGTCTGGTCCCACCCTCGTCCTCCGTACCACCCAACAGACCCAGTATTAAACCCGCTTTCACAACTTCATGTCCAAATATCGACGGACACAATGAATGTACCAACAATCTGAATACATCTTCAGATGCATGGATTTCCTAAAAAAAAAATATATCATCCAAATCCAGAAAATAATAAACAAAACTTTGATTATTAAATAAGATATAATATGAAATTAACCTGTATAGCATAATAATCTTTCAATGTGAAAGATAGAGTAGGATTGCTTAGATTCCTTTGACCATGTATCGAGACTGCCTCTATATATAACTGTAAGAGTCTCGCCGCCCTTCTACCATCCTCCCCTCCCTTGCTCTCTCCACGCACCTGTAAATAATTTATTAAACATTTGATATTCATTAAAAAAATACTCATTAAAATTAAATATCCATTAAAAAATTGATATTTATTAAAATTTTAATACTCAAATATTAGTTAATAGCGGACAGTACTGTACTTTCATGGAAGGATGTTTATAACTCCACTGACTCAGAAACATTATGTTTAATGTATGTGGGTTTGTATGTATGTAAATTTAATTATATTTTTTTTACTAACATAATACATCGTGTTTCCATTATACCTGAACAATACCAGTAACAGAGAGCACATCACCAGGGCATGCTGTACTAACTAAATCACCCTGTAATTCTATTTCAACACTTCTTGGTATAGTTCCGGAAACACTCTGAAATAAAAAAAAAACTAATATGTTAAAAAATATTGGTGTGTTTTCGTTTTATGAATAAAAAAATATGAACCTGAGATTGAATCTCTTGTATTTTGGCCACTTGCCAATCAGTTGTATTTGTGAAAGGAGATGATTGCAGCGGTTCAAATTTGTGCCCACTTTGACAGCTTTGGCAGAAGTTTGGAGCTAGAAAATGTTTTAATTTATTGTATAAAAGTACAGATATAGCATAAATAATAACAAGCCTATGTATATTTAATTCTTAAAAAAGCATAGGAACACTTAATGCTAAAGTAACCAGTACTAATTAAGTAGGAAACATTATAAATTTCAATTAAATTGAAGTGGCAATTACTAATATTATAAGTGCGAAGGTTTAAAAGGATGGTTA